CATGCAAAAATCTCAGATATCATTTTGTACACACCTTTTTAGCGATAAAATTCAGAAAATGATCTTTTTGTGTCAGTGTTTGACTGTCATGTTTCCTCACTGCTATTGCTTGCAAACATGAAGTAGAAGTAGAAGATAGTACAGGGAGTAATCATTATTGCAATTTTTTTGATGATGTTACGGTAGTGACATCAAACCTTGTGACAAAGTTTGACCTTTTTTCACAAAATGTTTTTCCATACAAAAAAGGCCAAACCATGCCAGGCATGTAGCTGTAACATCATTAATTATATGTAAAACAATTTCCTTTGGAAAACATGAAAAAGACACACAAAAATCGAATTGCACATCGGCCACTGGAGTTGTGACACATGAAAATTGAGTAAAATTGATGAAAAAAGATGAACTACAGTTCATTTTCCTGATTAGGAATGTCTGCTGGTCTCCAATAATCCAGCCATATGACAGCAATCTGTATATTATGATGTTCGGACCAGACTGTCCTGTACTTGACATTTTTAGCAACAATCTGCGCCCTTGGGGTAAGAGGATGTTGGGTTATATCAGTCATTGAGTCTGTGGAGGAAACTTAACTTTTTCTAAGACTGATTAAACTACGAAGATCTTGTAGTCTTTGAACGGCATTTATAAGTGGTACAAATAAATGCAAAAATGTTATGGATACTCATGTTAATCAAAAATAAAGAAGTTGACATCCATAAAATTATTGCCTTTACCTAGATCTTGAAAACACATTTTATTTTAAACATAAAATACGAATAGCTGGAAAGAGTACATCCTACTGTCATTCTGGGCTAAATTCACACTTTGCAATAGCTTTTTTTTAATTAGCTATATAAATTCGATTTTATGAAAGTTTTGTATAACAGTACCATAACAGTATAACAGATAGTATCATGCCTCCACTCCGACCACTCAAAAAAATCTGATGTTAAGAATTGGATCGAGAAGATCGTTTTTATTGGGGATTTTTTAAAGATTATTTTACCATAATGAAAGAAATTTTTAAGATGAATTTAACTCAGCTATAAAATGTCATCAGACATGCAGATTTACCACTTCAATTTCATTTCCTCTAAGCGAGCCACAGTTTTACATGCAGAGATTAAGATTACCACATGTATTGGTATCGTGAACTAAGCTGGGAATAGCTAACAGCTGTGTACATGTTCTTGCCTATCTCCCAGAGTTAAAAATATCCAATACAAAACTAAATGACACTGGCACAAAATGTTTGGAGGACACCATACTTGCAACTACAATTTTACCAGGAATAAAATACTCAAATATTAATCTGTAATGTCTTAGTTGAAGTGATTGAAAGCACCGACACTTGACAGCGATACTTCTGTACATAATCATCCCTATCTGATATCCTGTACCTATTCCAGCCATGTTTCCAGAGTACGTTTAAATAAGTCTCCCCTGGATCAATAGGATTTCCATGGCAACACTGACGATGGAAATATCACATAATTATAGTGAAATCATTTTGGATTACCTGGTACACATTTAGTACAACTGTTTTTAACAAATATTTCATGTATACCATTGTTTGCTTTTACATTATTATCAATTGTTGTGGGGGATGTGTGTTGTTTTTTATCCTAACAGAACTTTGTAAATTACAGAGTTAATTTGTGACTTAATTACATGAAATAGACATTGTTAAAAGATCCAACCATTGCCTTTTCACATAAAATAACAGGAAGTGCAGGACATTGGGATTGTGACAGGAAGGAACAGCTTGACAAGTTACTATTTTGAGCGAGTGAGTGAGTATAGTTTTACACGCTTTTAGTAATATTCCAGAAATATCATTGCTGGGACACCAGAAATGGCCTTCACACATTGTTCCCATGTGGGGAATCGAAACCCGGGTCTTCGGCGTAACGAGCCAACGCTTTAACCACTAGGCTAACCCACCGCCCCTACTATTTTGAAGTTTCTTGCACTCAAACTACAACGGTTATGAGTTTAAAGTGTCAATCTGATCATGCCCTGCTGTACATAATGGCAAGTTGTTCTGTCTGCTGCTCAGTTCACACAATTTCTTTGTTATTTCTACTGTAAAACTAAGACTAACATTTTGTGTAGTAACAGTATACTCACTGCTGGGAGGATAGTCAGAATGCACTGTTGTATTTAAGCTACCCAATAAAAAGATGTGTCTGGGAAACATGTTGCCAACAATATCGAATTGTTTGGAAAAAAACTCTAAATACTTAGACAAAAATGTCCTGACATTCACAAGTGCTTGTATAAGTACTCCCATATTTGAAAGTAATATGACCAGTAGTGGAATTGTTTGCATATGTGGAATTGTTGATGATGTGACTTTAATGACTGTTAACTGAACACTAATAACAGGTTTACTTTAGCTATGTATCTTAAGACTGAAAAAACTTTTCAAGCAAGCCGTAAACAAAAAACCATAGGTGCAGCATAAAACACAGTTACTCATTGTCATATTTTGGCGATGACAACAGGGTGGTACTGAATTATATAAACCACTGAACGAATGAAAATATGTTGGCATGAAAGAGAATAATTTTTATGTGTAAAGATAGTAACTCTTATGATCAAAATATGCTGCAAATATTCAGATACTGCGTCATATACTTATTGATAATCGGCTGTTGACATATCTGACACACAAAGCCTAGTTCACATTTTAATAAAGACCCTGCATCAGATGACCCCAATCTATGATAACTGACTTCTAACATTGTTACCTTCATCAGTCACTCATTAGCACTATTCAAAACTGGTCAAATAGTTGTCATTACCAAGAGTGAAGACGCTGTCAGACATAAGGCATATAATGAAGACTGATAGCAAAAATGAAAAGAAATTAACTTCTTGTTGCATGACAGATCATGTTTCTAAAAGTCATGCTAACCAAAAGATGAACATAATTGACAAGATCAGCCAAACAGCACTCACTTAGAGCCTGTTCAAACTATTCACTGCATGTTTGATTCCTAGGTATTACACACTGAAACTGGTGTATGCTCAACACATTAAGAAGTACCAAAAATAAGTATTTGAATACATATGTAAGTACAAGTATTATGATACCTTATTTGTGATTTACAGATCCTAACACTTTGCTAATCAGCATTTTTTTTGTAGGTCAATGTGTACATTTATGTACGATAAAGAATATTTTAACTTCCTAGCAAGTCTAACCATGAAAGTACACCAGTGTTACATATTTTCATTATCTTCATTTTTAATAAGGCAATTAAAGTCCAGGATTTTTGTTAGGTCTCCTAACAAAGTGTCTTTTCTCTTTTGTTCAAAATAATGACTTTAAGGATTGCAACTTGTAATTTGACATGGCAAAAGAAACTGTCATCACAAAAATTGGGGATTGTTTATATCTACTTCTGATCTAAATGTATGGAAACTTGTGTACATTTAATATCTCAACTGTGTAATAGTGTTGGGAATTGGTCAAAAACTCATAATTTGATGATTGGTTCATTACAACCGATCAATCATTGAAAATAATTGGTTAGCGTCATTTATGAAATGTGTTAATGCACACAAAAATAAGGAAAAAACATGTAGTTCTTTGGGGTTTTTTTGCAAAATTTCACATCTTTAAAGGATGACTACTATGGAGGAACATAAATTTCTTAGTCTTGAAGATAAATTCAATCATGACTTGGAATGAGCTTGTAGTGCTTATGAAATGTAACAGACAAAACCAACCTAGTGTTAATGAAAACAAGTGTTCTAGAATTGTTTGTGTTCGATTATGAGAAAACATGATCGATTGCTTGGTCGTTTAGTCATTGCGTCCAATCTTCAATTTTTTCAAATAATCGGACCACCACTACTGTGTAATTGGCAGAAAAGCAATCGACATTAATGCAATTGACACATACCAGGAAAGAAGTTTCCATACAATTTGTTCGTCATACGATCCACTAAAAGAACTTACTCATATCTATCAAACTTCCTACTACTTCTACTAGGAGCAGACATCAGTCCTTTACTTCAATTATTTGCAAAGACCAGTTTTGAAAAGTTTTCAGTTTGAAACACATTGAGCACACACTAATCCTTCCTTTGCCTGATCAATTCTTTTCACATTTAAACTGCGCTGGAGTATAAACCGGCATCAGTGACATGCGATCTTATTCGGAAGTGTTATATCGTTTATCTACGAAAACACCGCTCGGGTTTGGCGTAGCTATTTCTTAAAACATCACATTACCTAGTTCATGTGATCAATTTGTCACTAGAAACAAACCTCCTCACATGAACTTACTTTTTATTAACGAATTCTAAATTTCATTTGCGAAGATACACAACCACGTGATTCGGCGGCGGGGTCACCGGGTGCGGGACAATGTTTTGTAACACGATTACTTCATCTCGGCTGGGTTTTAAACTCGTTGCGAAGATACGGCACAAAATGTGACTGATAAACGTGTATCACCGGAATGATTCGCCGACGGTAGTTTCACAAGAAAACAACGTAGTAGGAATCAGAGAAAATGCAAATGGCGATCGACACCGACCATGCCATGCGAGTGGGCTAACAATACCACCATATTCCCCCTACTCAGGATACACTTGCAGTCTTTGGCCCATGTCCTGAATCAAGTTGGCCGCCTGCTGCCTATAGGCGAGTTCTTTTGCGTAGTCTATTCCGCCTTTTCGGCTTGGGGTATTTTGAAGTTGTTCTTTGGTGAAGATCCATCGTTCCGCCATTTACCCAGTGCCGAGACGAACAGACAGACACGCATGCGCACAACAAGCAAGGACAGCAGAAAACATCATTTCTCCAAATTTCATTGGATGATACTAACGAAAATAAAAATAGAGAAAAATACAATAAACGCTTATTTTAATTGAGGTGAATTTATTATGATATAAAAACATATTATTACATATTATATTAAGAAAATAATTTAAATATACAAATAAAATAAATTATGAAAGTCGCGCACCTGTTAAGTTATGTCGATTCAGAAAGAAGGGCACTGTCAATCTGTGGTGCAACATTTCCAAGTATAGAGTCTGGGTTCCCAGGAATACTATCTCTGATCATTTACGTAACACGGCACAAACAGTCAGGTAGACACTTATATCCATTTTAGAGCTGAATGTAGTCATTAATGTCACTGAGAGCGTGTTGTACGCTGCGAAATGTGTCCTCTATGAAGAGTTCGGCCCGCGCCATGTTCATCCGTCCATTTAACATGGCGTTGTGTTATGTACGGGCAGGTATCCCACCATACATTGCTGTTGTGACCTCATTTGGACTGGCGCCATATTTGATGGGATAGACATGTTATCGTTGCATAATGCATTATGAAAGCGTGTTTCTTTTGGGGCTCGTCGTTATAGCGGTATTGAGCGAATTGAAAACAGCTGATGTTTCTTGTTTAGAGGCAAATAGTTTTGACAGGCTCATATTTCATAAAGCAGCCATTTATCGTACACTTTACATGTTACCAAGCATAATCAGGTCTTAATGAAGTTAGTCTTATCTGTCACTATTGGATGAAGATGATTTGACTTGTATGATTAAAAACATGGTGACATTTTTTTTTTCCTTTTCTATAGATAACATAAAAACATGACATTTTCATGTATGGCCATGATGACTGACATCATATTACGGCTCTTTCATAATTAAAGGGAAACAAAACTCAACTCTTAGTTGTCAAGCCGGAGCAACATTATCTTAGCCCGTATAATCACTGGATGCCAATTAGCAAGGAGTGCCTGGTTGAAAACCAGGAATCCCCTAAAATTCTCATATTTGATTGGGTTATTTTATTCTTACAAAAACGTTTCACCTTGCAAATAATTAGTTGTGTGCTATTGTTTATGTATAATTATGTACAGCAATTATAAGTACATATTGCAGCAATGAAGTTCACACAAAGTACTCAAAACAGTGATGACTTACTTTTTCAGGCAAAATGCATATGATACAACCATTACTTCACTCCCTTTTTTGCCATCCATGTTTTAGCATATAAGCCTACTGATGCCCAGTTAATGACTTTATTACAAGTATTAGTGATGATAGTGTTTGGGTTACCAAGACATACAAAATAACTGAATAAAGTTCACCTCATCTCTTTAGGATTTGATTATTTAATCTAAGATTGGATTATAATTTGGTTGATGTGGTGAATGGATTTGAAAAACGTATTTGTATGTGAAGGTTTACTTAGGCAGGCAGGAATGCACCCATATCTAGACAGCTATGTATAAACATGCTTTGTTCAAAGAGCAAATATTGATTCACAATGTTGTCTAAATAAATTGAATTTTTTAAAGAACCTTGGATGTGACTGTCATGAACAGTTTTGAACACAGATGTTCTGTGTGCTACCCCAGCTATCCAGTAATATGAAAAAAGGTGAAACAAACAGTCAGTTGAGAGACGAACACGAAGTTATGATATCCTGAAATAGTCAATAGTCATAGATTATTCCCAAGTGCTAAGATTTTGTAAATATTTTTTGTAATAGCTGCAACTGAAAAATAAATAAATTACACTTTCATTCGATCATTGCACCAAAACACCAGAAGTTATTTTATTGGGTATTTGTAGGTAGATTTGCAAAAACTGTGCATTCAGCTGGCGACTAGTTAACGGCTTAGTTTACTAGAAGTAGAACATACACACTGTGATCTGTATATCTGCATATAGAACTATACCTTGCAGAACAGAAAATAAAATTAGATGGGTAGTCATCATAGATCTTCCTGGACAAATGGTGGCATAACAAGGGTAGACTGACACTGTAGTTAATAACCCTCATTTCTGCCTTCTTAGTCAAGTGGGGCGATGGGGTAGCCTTGTAGTTAAAGCGTTCACTCATCACGCCAATGATCTGGGTTCGATGCCCCACAATGTGTGAAGCCCACTTCAAATGTACCCACGCCATAATGTTGCCGGAATATTGCTAAAAGCGACATAAACCTCACTCACTCACTCACTCTCAGTCAAGTTACGTTTTGAAAATGTTGAACTAATACATGACTTTTTCTCTCAGCTTCCTGTAGCCATGATACGAGGCAGAGTCCAAGCTCTCCGTGGTGTCAAAGGACGGTTGCCAGCTGAAGGCTTGTTCTGCAACTACAGCCACAGGACATGTATGCAGAACCGTCTCAAAGACTCTGAATACTGCCTCAAGCATATCCTAGAAGATAAAAACAGTCCCTTCAAACAGTGTAGTTTTGTGTCAGGGAAAAATGGAAAGAGATGCCCAAATGCTGCACCCAAGTCTGACCGCAAGGAAGGGTAAGAGAAACTGGTATTTCTTCAATAAATTTCACCAGCCAGATTGTGCGATTATTTATCATGATTGCAATGGAGAAGAATGATGGTCATATTGATTTTGTGTGTATATTACTTTTCTGCAGTTGATTTCAGACTCATGGTTTTGGTAAAATGGCTAGGTTTTGGTAAAATGGCTAGATTTTGGTAGAAAACATTTAGTCTCTTTTAATCTATACTTGTCTGGGACTAGCGGATAAGTGTTTATCCCAGATAACTTACATTTGGTGTCGGTTGATAACACATTAAACATTTTGAAGGGGACTTTGATTTGAGGAGACTGCCTCCATGGTGTAGTGGTTAGAGCGTCCGCTCGCGGGTTCGATTTCCAGCCGTGTCATATCAAAAGACGTTAAAATATGGTACTTGTTGGTCCCTGCCTGGCGTTCGGCATTAATGGGTACAACAAGGACTGGTCGGCTCGGAGTCAGTATAATGTGTCTGAGTGGGGTATTCATGCTTCACTGCGACATGGTATCTCAGTGGGCTAGCACTATAAAACCAGCTTAAGTCTGGGCTAGTACAAGCAGCCACACATACATATGCATACCCATCGTCATATGAGCGAAATATTCTTAAGTACGACGTTAAACCCCATTTCATCTCACCTCACCTTGATTTCGAGTAGGGCTGTGTTTTGACAAATAATCTGTATTGCAATATATTGTGATTCTGGTACCTGTTTTCCGATACATATTTGGAGCTTCCGTGTTTGAAAGTGAGTGACTTTGATTGTACATACAGAGCCTATTTCCTACATACTAAAGCCCCCAAAATAAATGTTATGGTTGTGATAACAGAAATCTCGAATTTAGATTTGATTTTGTCTTCTAGCTACTGCCACGATCATGCTAAGAAGGCAGCCATCTTGAGACAGAGAGCCCAGCGTAAGAAGAAACCTAGAGAGACATCAGAGAGTCTGTTAGAAGAACTTGCCCAACACCATGGACCAGCCGCCACAGTGATAGAGCCAGCTGTACCCGATCCACGCAAGTCACGACTACCCTCGGATAGCCTTGCTAACAAAGTCCTAGGTAGGAGTCTTTAGGACACATTCAAATTGTTTTTACAGATAATTGAGATGATTATGAGTGAGTGAGTATGGTTTTATGTCGCTCTTAGCAATATTCCAGCAATATCACTGGGGGGAACATCAGGAATGAGCTTCACACATTGTACCCATGTGGGGAATCGAACCCGTGTTTTCAGTGTGATGAGCAGATGTATAGTAGACTACCCCACCGCCCCAGTGAATGAAAAGTGTCATCAGACCAGGCTGACTGCTAATGAATTCATGTTTAAGTATGTCCATGTTTTAAGGTTTCTGAATGTAGTTCTTGTGATCCTGTACACTTTCATTTTATCCCCCCGGCATGTAATGCCGGGGGGATATAGTCGACGCCTCATCCGTCTGTCCGTCCGTCCGTAATAATTTTGTTTCCGGAGCATAACTCAAAAACCGTTCAATATTTTTCAACAAAACTTGGTAGATATATCAAAAAGAACCTAAAGTGGTGCCTTTTGCTATTTGCAGATTTTTGTGAGGTATTTTTTTCTCGGTTTCCATGGAAACGATTCAGACTCAGTCTCAAAAGGGAGGGGTGGGCTTCATTTCTGGAGCACAACTCGAAAACTTCTTAATATCTTTCAGCAAACTTGGCAGATATGTGAGGCAGATCCCAAAGTGGTGCCTTTTGCTATATGCAGATTTTGGGCATTTTTATCCCCACGGCATGTAATGCGGGGGGATATAGTCGTCGCCTCATCCGTCTGTCCGTCCGTCCGTAATCATTTTGTTTCCGGAGCATAACTAAAAGACCATTCGATATTTTTCAACAAAACTTGGTAGATATATCAAACAGAACCTTAAGTGGTGCCTTTTGCTATTTCCAGATTTTTGTCATTTTTATTTTTCTTGGTTTCCATGGAAACGATTCGGACTTAGTCTCAAAAGGGAGGGGTGGGTTTCGTGTCCGGAGCACAACTCAAGAACCGTTCAATATCTTTCAACAATACTTGGTAGATATATCAAACAGACCTTAAATGGTGCCTTTTGCTATTTGCAGATTTTGGGCATTTTTATTTTTCTTGGTTTCCATGGAAACGATTCGGACTTAGTCTCAAAAGGGAGGGGGGTGTGCTTCGTTTCTCGAGCATAACTCAAGAACCGTTCAATATTTTTCAACAAGACTTGGTAGATATATCAAACAGAACCTTAAGTGGTGCCTTTTGCTATTTGGCAGAATTTTGGCATTTTTATTTTCTTGGTTTCCATGGAAACGATTCGGACTTAGTCTCAAAAGGATGGGTGGGTTTCGTTTCCGAGCACAACTCGAAAACTTCTTTAATATCTTTCAGCAAAACTTGGCAGATATGTGAGGCAGATCCCAAAGTGGTGCCTTTTGCTATTTGCAGATTTTGTCATTTTATTTTTCTTGGTTTCCATGGAAGCGATTCAGTACTTAGTCTCAAAAGGGAGGGGTGGGCTTAGTTTCCAGATCACAACTTCGAAAACTGTTCAATATCTTTCTACAAGACTTGGCAGATATATCAAACAGATCTTGAAGTGGTGCCTTTTGCTATTTGCAGATTTTTTGTCATTTTATTTTTCATGATTTCCATGGAAACAATTTGGACCTAGTCCAAAAATCAAGTTGGACTTTAAGTAACTGTCAGTTGATTTGTTCTTTCAAAGATATGGGGGCTGGGGATATGTCATCTTCTGATGACTCTTGTTAAATGCCTTGTTATCCATGGAAGCGTTTTCGGACTTAGTCTAAAAGAGAGATGGCGTGCACTTTTGTCTTTTCGAGCAGAACTCTAAAACTGTTCAATATTTTCTTCACCAAACTTGGCACATATATCAGACATAATGGTGTACTGGTGCCTTTTGCTATTTACAGAATTCTAAATAAAATTTTTTGGCATTTCCATGAAAACAATTCGACTAAGACTGAAATTGGAGGTAGTGCTCTTTTCCGACAGAACTCTAAAACCGTTCACTATTTTTCAACAAACTTGGCAGATATGATAGATCAGATGGTGTACTGGTGCCTTTTGCTATTTGCAGATTTTTTCATTTTATGTTTTTTGGTTTCCATGGCAAAGATTTTGACTTAGTCTGAAATTGGTGGTTGTGCTCTTTTCGAGCAGAACTCTAAAACCATTACGGTAATATCTTTCACCAAACTTTGCAGATATGTGGCAGATATGTGATAGATCCCAAAGTGAACTGGTGCCTTTTGCTATTTTCAGATTTCTGCATTTTATTTTTTGGCGTTTCCATGCAACAAAGTTTGACTTAGACTGAAAGGGGTGGTGGTGCTCGTTTCCAGATCACAACTCTTAAACTGTTCAATATCTTTCTACAAGACTTGGCAGATATATCAAACAGATCTTGAAGTATTGCCTTTTGCTGTTTGCAGATTTTTGCCATTTTATTTCCATCTTCTTGATTTGACATAGACTGAAACAATTTGGCTCCCTAGTCCCAGAACTTTAAAAGTTGGATACTTTAAGTAACTTTTCTATATACACACCTTGATATTAGACATTTCAAATTTATAGACATAATCATGGGGAGATTTGTCATCTTCTGATGACTATTGTTGACTTTGTCTTCTTGTTAATACTGTTTCAGCATTAATAAGCACAAATATGAAACAATTTCCAGAGTAGAGCCAAATTGGGAGACTAGTGGTTACAGCATTTGCTTGACATACTTGGATTTGAACAAATGTGATTCCTAACACGAGCATCAATGACTAAGTCTTGGTTGGATATTCCTCTATACCATTTTTCTGTAGTTGACAGTAAGTACACAAGACTATTTTAGTCCTGCTCTTTATTTGTAGATTATGCCAGTTCAAGCGATTCCGAGACAGAGTCTCCCCTAGTGGACCAGGCATGGCGAGGTGATGGGGACAGTGATGCTGAGAGTATCGACAGTGAACAGGAGGACCCACTCAAGTGAGTTGTAATTTCCAGTCAGCAATTTGGTGTGCTCCACTTAAATTATTTGTGTAGTGTATTTCACTGGTCATGCAGGAAATATAACTAATAAAGAGAATGATCATATGTATCCAGGATTATCAACTTAATGTACCTGGCAGCCAAACCGGGGAAAAAACTTGAAAATAGATATTGAGTTGCAACATGGCAATTGGTAATGGTATTTTGGCTGCAAACATTGACCTGAATATTGCCACTGAGTAGGTCTTGATATACTCGTGTGATGGGGACCCATGGTACTTAAAAATCCTAATTTTGGACAGAAAAGTTTCTTTGTCAGAATTTGTCTGCCATTGGCATTGGGCTTTCCCTGCTAAATCACTCTATGTTTACAAGTCATGCAGTGGGTAATGGATGCATGTGTAAATGTTTGTAGACATGCAGGTGTATACACAGCAGAGGAGGCCACCCTGATCCTGCGGGACAAGCTGATTCGACTCCAGTCCCTGTACATCGACCAGTTCAAGCGACTCCAGCATGTGCTCAAAGAAAAGAGGCGTAAATATCTGCACACACACAAGCAGGAACGGGAGACATTAGGTTAGAACCTCTTTGTAGCAGTTCTTTTGTGTCGGATGAAATATGGTGTCCTCCAATCTGATGACAAGGGTGCACCATATTTTTTGTTAGGTTCATGTTTCATGGAGTTATTATTATAACATATATGCCTGGATGTGAATTGTGTTGCCCTGTTTCATTCATGTTATTAAGTTCAGTTTTAATCATGAAAAACATAATCTTGGTGCTTGGACACCAGAGCATCAGAAAAAACTCAATTGTTTTGTATTTCATGGCAGCCATGTTGTTATTCCCGAACAGTGAGTGCATGTCCTTGAAGGGCAGTTGTGTAGCCTAGTGGTTAAAGCGTTCACTCATCACGGTGAAGACCAATGTTCGATTCCCCACATGGGCACAATGTGTGAAGCCCATTTCTGGTGTACCCCGTCGTGATATTGCTGAAATATTGCTAAAAGCGGCATAAAACTAAACTCACTCACTCAACTTCTGTGATGTTGATACCTCTAAGTTAAAATTAAAACTAATTAAAACTAACAAATAATAATAATAATGAGTCCATTTGTAACACGCTAAACTCCACGCCAGAAGGTATGCTCATGCTACTTGTTAAGCATTTTGTCATATGTGAGGTGCAGTGTCTTGCCTTAATAATTCAACCATCAGTGCTGGCGTCCATGTCTTCACTTCAACCAATCAGTCTTCGCTGTTACCCCTGAGTCCATTGCCATGTCTTCACTTCAAACCATTCAGTGCTGTTACCCCTGAGTCCATTGCCTATCAGTGCTTGATCTTTTGAACTCCTGGGTTCTATTTGTTCATTGCCAATATCATCCAGCACCAATTAACTACTGGCTTCCCTTGTTAAGTGTACACCATTGTCATCTTATAACTGGTGTTGTTTCACATGTAATTACATAGCTGCTTCCTAGTTTTCAATCACCTGATGAAGGAGTAAGAATATATTCCGAAACCTCATGTTCCTCAATCACCTGTTACAGAAATTGGCATCTATAAAACTTTCACAGAAGTTGGCATCTATAGATTTTTCACCTTTCATGTGTGTTGCTTCTAAATGCCATTCAAAGACTTTTTGGGGACACCTTTATTTGTTACCTATAGGCTTGAAGGTAGAATGTGTGATTACTCAGTATGACTTGCTACTTCAGGTAGTATAAAGGTGTACAAGACAGACCCAGAACAGAAGGAGAAGTACCTGAAACTGAAGGCTCTCAAGAGGTACCACAAGAGCTATGGCAAGGTGAGCATTACAGAACATCCTTCGTGTCAGGAGAAGCTAGAAGCTTGTGTATAAGAACTTAGGAATGTATACACCAAAACAAGAGGAAGAGCACCCACAGTTGGAAAGCAGAGTATTGCAACACCAATCAGCCATGGCATATTTACTACAGTCTTATGGAAACGCGTTCTAGTATTGCATATTTTTCATCAGAGATATTCCTTGGTTCTAGTATTGAATACCATGCCTAGTATGATTTTGACTACGTGTAACAGCATGAAATCTACCAACGGTCATTTTAATTGAAATATACTTTAGCCATAGGAACATACTCTGTGGGCATATGTCAAGAATTTTGTTCTATATTTACATGTAATTTGGTGCTATTTTACTTCTTTAATTAATTATTTGTAGTCTTACCCTGTCTTCATTTGATATGTTGTTTTTATGCCACAGGAGGCATTACTGCATCGTAGTTGCAAACAGAGAAGAATTGCTGTGTCAGAGGGCAACCACTACAGACCTCCATCTTACGCTAAGTGCATCCACTTGGATAAATCTGGAGTGAAGTGCAGTGCTCGAACACTGCCCCTGTCCAAGTACTGCATTGTCCGTATCCTTTAAATACTTGTATTCATCTCTAATGGAACCCATGAAGAGCCAGGTTAGAAAGCAGCAACCCCTGCTTTTTGTTAGAGGCAACTAACGTGATTTGGTGGTCGCTGACTTGGTTGACACATATCACCATATCACAATTGTTTCAGATCAATGCTTATGATGTTGATCATTGGGTTGTCTGGTCCAGACTCAATTATTTACAGACTGCCGCCATATAACTGGAATATTGCTGAGTGTGGTGTTAAACAACAAACCAACAACCGACCTTTCAGGGTTCTCAAATTCGAACCCAGAGCCATATGAGCTCATCAATGTGTATTACACAAGTTCCTCTGTTTACATGGGATGTAGTTCTTCAAAGAATGATTGTTCTATGTCCTATACCCATACTTACAACCCAGCTCAAATTCCTTAACCAGTACACAGACATCTTGAATGACCCAAGCCAAGTGTTGTACCAGCCTTGCCGCTTTGAGAATGGCAAGTGTGGTCGTCCAGTAGCCCCATGCACAGATGCCGTGTTCTGTGTGCTCCACACTCAACTACAGGAAGCAGTGTATCGTATACCACTGACAAGCCAGGTAACTGTTACACAACTCTCTGCTTACACAGGGGTGGTGGGATAGCCTAGTGGTTAAAGCGTTCACTCGTCGCACCAAAAACCTGGGTTCGATTCTCCACATGGGTACAATGTGTGAAGCCCTTTCCTGGTGTCCCCTGCCATGATATTGCTGGAATACTGCTATAGGCGGCATAAACCTAAAACTCACCCTACTTACACATTAACAATGGTGCAAAATGATAGTAGCAAATTCAAATTATTAAATGCTGAGTTTGATTTTTCTTGATTATTTCAAGTCGTGCAATATCTTTTGTGGAGAGTGTTTTCACTAACAGAAAAATAGCATGCTAAAACAACTCTCTGTATAATCAGCATTATTTGTTTGAAAGATGGCTATGCTACAAAGCTTGAATTCCTTTTTTGCTTGTGAATAGGATAAGATAGAATTGAACAGTGATACACCTTTGTTTAAAGGAGCTGATCACCAGTCCCTTCAAATCTACATCATGTTGATAGAAAAAAACATGAATCTATGATTATTCACTCATTGTTATTGCTAAAGCAAGGGTTAAGTTTTGTCTTGGTAAAATGGAGGTAACTCACATTATATAAGCCATATTAACTGTACATCCAGTTGCTAAGTTTATCATTTGAAATCTCATGCTCTGGATTCAGTTCTTCGTTCCATTGGCCTAGTTGTTAGGAGGTCGCTTGTCACACCGAAGACCTGGGTTTGATTTCCCACATACAAATTGTGAGGCCCATTTCTGGTGTATCCTGCTGTGATATTGCTGGAATATTGCTAAAAGCGGAATAAAACCATACTCCCTCACTTCCATTAAATCTATAAGTAACAGATCTATATTGAAATTCCATTAGATTATGCCCTACTTATCCAACATCTAAATTCCGTCACATGCTTTTGACGATCCGATGATATAAGGTTCTGTTCCCTCTTGTTCCAGGAATCGGAAAGTGTTGCGGTCACTGACGAGAAGCATGTCATAGAGAAAGACAAATCAGACGCAGCTGCCACCACAAGAGCCACAAACCTTGAGTCCATGTTGCGGAAGACAGAGACGGTTGTTACCCAGACACCTCGAACCCCTAGTTATGAAATTAGGTTGGAAGAAGCGAGTGATCCGGGTCAGGACGGAATGGATACCAGCTGAACAACATGGACATTAATGTGCATGGAAGGGTTGAATGAAGAGGATTTACAATGCAATAGTCCTCTGTCCTGTATATGTGTCGGGCTGAAACAGACTGATGATCACACTATGCAACATTCATCTGAAGTTGCCCCCAGTGAATCTTTCCTTTCAGTATATGCTGTATGGAAAAATAATATCATTACGCTGATATCACACTGCAAGGCTTGTGGCTATCCAAGACTGTTGACATTAGTGCTGGTTATCGTTCACGGTATGCAGATCCATAATGGGAGTTTAGTAATTGATCAATAGTCGATTGTGCTTGTAAACCCTACCACAAAATACGTCAGCAATAACGAGACACAATCATAACATGGCGCCGATTTATACTATGATCAAGATGATCGAGGATACTTCCTGTTGAGACAGACCCGTGAAGGTCCGGGTTTGAATGAACCTTCAGTAACCCATGCTTGCCGTAAGAGGCGACTAACAGGATCGGACGGTCAGGTTCGCTCGCTTGGTTGACACATGTCATCAGTTCCCAATTGCGCAGGTCGATGCTCATGCTATTGATCACTGGATTGTCTGGTCCAGATTCGATTATTTACAGACCGCCGCCATAAAGCTGGAATATTGTTGAGTGCGGCGTAAAACTTAACTCACTCACTCCCATTGAGACATGCATGCGAGTATGTTGTTTACACTGCAGTTTTACAAAGAAAATTGCATCAGTTGTGTATGTCTTGATTTAACAAACATAACAATAAGAAACATAGTTTCTGAAATTAATTTGATGTTTCATTATGAATATCGATTAGGCTCTGGAGCCCATCGATAATTGCTGATGCAAGCAAGAAAGATCGTTTGACCAATTTTTTTATCAATAGCTCCAGCACAGGTTGACATCTGTTTGATCAATACGAGCCTTTGTATTTCTATTGAGTGATCTGAGCTCAGTGTCAGGACCACTGTTGAGTGACCCTGAGCCCATTTTGATACTGATTAATACAAATAAAATATGTTCAGAACTCTTTGTTACCTTGATGTTATTCTTACTTTCAGTCCAAATTTCAGGTTGACATGGTGGGTCAGGCTAGTTCGGTGTTGGCAGGTTCGAGATTGGGGAGAGACTTCTCTCACGATGGTACCATACACACTTGTTTTATATTACAAAACTTTATATTACAACTGACCATGCCAACTTCTGTTCATGTATTGATATTTGGGCAAATATACCTATTTATTTTTTTCAAACTACGGTCACTATTTTGATCCTCTGGTGTGAACATTTCAACATGTATGGTTGTGGTGAAGAACATTTCAACTTGTTGGTTGTGCTGAAGAACATTTCAAGATGTATGGTTGTGCTGAAGAACATTTCAACCTGTTGGTTTCAGAATTTCCTCTCTAGAGAAACTTTGAAAACAGTTTAATCAACACTAGTTTCCTGTAACACATCTCCAAACCATTGTAAGCCAGTCGTAAGAAGAAACCTAATCCTCTGCTGAAACACCATCTATCTTGATAGTCAAGCCAATACTGTTTTCTCGTTACCTCGCAATGTGTTTAGAGAGGTATACTACTGACAAAGACTAAGGGAACTGATATCATGTAAGTGAAGGTGTAATGATGATAAATCTATACACAAAGAACTTAATTAAGCACCCCCTGTATTTTTGCAATGATAGGTTTTCAAAATGTACATAAAACTTCTCGTGGTGAGAAGTGCTCGAAAACTTGAGTTTTTCCGACCCGTATGATCTTCTGAGTCACAAAAGAACGACAAAATGATTGGAGTCCATGTTGATGTTATGATAATTGCTCATTTAAAACAAAACACTGATTTTCATACAAAACCATGTCTGTATGGCCCTGGAATTTATTGGTGAATGTGAACATTCAAAATGTCATTTTGTGTGTCTTTACACGATTCAGGCCAATACCGAGTGTAACCATGTGACAATGACAGCCAGCACTCTCTTCCTCATAACCCCTGTCAGCCTCCTTATCCTGTGAAGGGGCACTCTCTGCCATTCCTCGTGTAAAGCAGTTTCCAATTCGGCCTTCTTCTGTACAGGAGGATCCATTTGTTGCACACAGAGACCATATAATCTATTATATGGTCTCTGTTGCACACGACGACCAATCATGTCACAGACATGCTCCTAAGAGTTCACATCGGGGTTCATTCGTTCGAGAGATATGTCAGGGTGTGCTTAACTAAGTTCCTTGTGTATATTTAAAATTAATTGCGGGAGTTTCCATCAATATCTTGTGTGTCAATATGGTTGCTTGCCATAGTGTATGCAGAGCAATCCTTAGCTGGAACATATCAGCAGGTGCTACCCTCTCCGCAAGAGAGCGTCCATCCATCTTTTGTGGAATTGCATGGGAACTTATCAGGCCTGTCTATTGTGCGTTTGGCTTCTGGTTCACAATGATCGTTTGACGCCCTTGGCAGTATGTGGACTGACATTGTCATCTTAGGGTTCAAACGTTCTGCGATAATTCCAGCTAATAGGATAATTTTGTTATCTGGTCAGTCAATTGTCCATTCATGACAACCAACTCAGTTTGCCGGATATACACAAGACACAACTCTTTCTGCCACCTGGGTTGAGCGGAGGCCTTGCTTGATGTTTGGTGTTTATGAAGGTCGCCTTCGCCGTCATTTCAGCAGACGTATCCTGCCTCGGGATGCATGGGAGGTTGTCCCTCCTTGGGACTCATGAAAAAGAGTGTCCCTGTTTAGCTGAGGCCAAACATTTATACATCTTATAGTGTGCCGCACAGCCCGTACCTTGGCTTCACCAAGCTCATACCTGTCTATGGTGTTCTGTAACGATCTCAACATTCGCAAGACATTTGCTTTCAGGCGGTTGTAATGGTGGGGTGATGTTGAAATTCGCCTTCCTGTTTTTGTACGGAATTCTTTGAGGATAATACTAATAGGAGCTTATACATGTAAAGCACTTAAATGTACGATCTTGTCTGTTTTTAGTACTTTTTCACTGAGGTACATCTTAGAGGCATTGTTTAGCAGGCTATTGGCCCAGTTGCTACACACTAAACCTCTGTTCATGCATGATGTGGGAGCATTTGTGTTTGTTGTTTAACACGGCACACAACAGTATTAAGCTAAACCAAGTTTATTTCTTGTTTTACGGATCCTTCGGTCATATTTTTTCAAGAATAAGAAAAAAAAAAAAAAAGTTTTGCCCGCTCTAAAAATAAAGTCCTGGGTGCCGTTCCACGAACCGATCTTAACTAAGATCAATCTTAGCAAGTTACGCCAATTTTACAATCGTCTTAGGTAAAAGTTACACCCGTTCCACTAACCGATCTTAGGCCGATCGTAGCCGGTCCCGATCTTACGATCCGATCCAAGCTTAGATGGAGACTCTTTCGTTAGAGAGATAGAGGAATGCGAGGCACGCGTTATCTCCCTTTGCATAGTCTAGCAAATGATAGAAAGTAGTTTACGAACCAACTGAGTGAGTGAGTGAGTTTAGATTTACGCCGCACTCAGCAATAGTCCAGCTATATGGCGGCGGTCTGTAAATAATCTAGCTAAGATGCATAGCCTTCACTAACATGAGCGTTCATGTTAGTGAACGGTATGTATCTTATCTATAAATAATCGAGTCTGGACCAGACAATCCAGCGATCAACAGCATGCGCATCGATCTGGGCAGTTGGGAACTGATGACATGTGTCAACCAAGTCAGCGAGCCTGACCACCCAATCCCGTTAGTGGCCTCTTACGACAGGCATGGGTTGTTGAAGTTCAATATTCTAACACGGTCCTTCATGGGTATTTTTCCAACCAAGTGTAAACGTGGAGAAAAAACCTAGAGCAAAATATTAGGGTAGTGAGCACCTTGGTTTCAGGTGCAAGTGCGTGAGAACGCTGGGTATCAAGCATAATATAATAATAATAAATGCATATTTATAGTGCGCCTATTCCACATCCTTGGGCATGCTCAAAGCGCTGTGTACAGATAGATTTACACGAGAATATTTACAGCCGAGATTATAAGTAATATACTGAGAACAGGTTTTAAGTCTGGACTTTAAAAATGTCAATTGTGTCAGAGCTTTTAATATGTGCCTGAACCTTGTCAATCAGAATAAACAAGGCGTGACGAGGCTATAACGTATGTAGAATCTGCCAGTGGTCTTGAATAACACGCGGCCTGTCTTTAGAATCCCCCGCCAAATAAGCGCACGTGAAATCAAACATATTTGTATCTTTTTGCTTCAGAACATTGATCACTTCATGACCCGTCCCTATTCTTAACCATGACGTTGCAATATTGTTGTACAAATGTGTTACACTATCTCGCTCGGTTGTGTTCCCATGACGACAGTGGTCAGACTGGCCTGACATTTGTAAGGCTTCAGTGCAGTGTTTGTTTACATCACAGAAATATACAAATTCATTTCATGGGGGATTTTAGGGGACGCTCACGGTGAAATGCTCGCTCTTATTTTTCACATAGAATAGGAAAGCCACCATTTTGGTTTCTCTACGATTGATTTTAGCTATCCTAATTTGGTCATGAGCAACTTAGACTTTGAATCTTAACTTTACGATTGACTTAGGTAAGATTGGTTAGTGGAACGGTATGCCGATCGTAACGTCACGCTAAGATTAGGACTTTAGGGGTTTACGATTGGCATAGGGCTAAGATCGGTTAGTGGAACGGCACCCTGCTGATGTTTTTATTGGCCAAAAATGTAAACTTATAAGAAATTCTTTTTTGATTGTTTTTTTTGCCCCATAAACACTTCATAAATTGCCAGAAGCAAAATACTTTTAATATTTAGAAGGAATATTACTTTTACTGTTGATTATTATTTTTTTCCCTCCTGCCTTTAGGTTTTCTGAGGACAAAAATCCGTAAAACAAGAAATAAAATTGGTCTGGCCTTACATTGATCTGTAAATAATCCACTCTGGCCAGTGATTTACATTATGAACATGGATCTAGGCAGTTGGTATACCATGCCATGCATCAACCAAGTCAGCAGACGTAACCATCTGATCCCCATGGTCATCTGTTGCAAGCATGAGCTCATGAAGACCAATTCTAACCTAGATCTTAAGGTGTCTAATGTGATATGTCATTGTGGTCACGTTCTGCTCAGATATAATCCCATAGGATTGTAAATGTACTCCTCATTAATGGCTAACCAACAATGCAAACCGTCAGTTGCCCTATACTTCATGTTGGTAGAATACTAGCTTGGCAGGCTGTCATTGTGGTCACGTTCGGCACAGATATAATCCCACAGGATTGTTATGTACTCATTAATGGCTAACCAACAATGCAAACCGTCAGTTGCCCTATACTTCATGTTGGTAGAATACTAGCTTGGCAGGCTGTCATTGTGGTCACGTTTGGCTCAGATATAATCCCACAGGATTGTAAATGTACTCCTCATTAATAGCTAACCAACAATGCAAACCGTCAGTTGCCCGATACTTCATGTTGGTGCAAGAATACATGTTGGCAGAATACTAAGCTTGGCAGGCTAGCTTGGCAGACTGCCTTGGCTCTAACTTCAGCATTATAGATTTAATACTGCTAATTATTTGGAAACCTTCAGCTAGACAATTCATGTCAACTCGGGCAGATGCAGCGGGGGTGCATGCTATTGAGAATAGGGAGGGTGCACATTCCATTCTCAAGACTGACTGACTGAGTTTTGGTTTTACGCCACTTTTGGCAATATTCCAGCAACATCACGGCGGGGGACACCAGAAATGGGCTTCACACATTGTACCCATATGGGGATTCCAGTCTTCGGCGTGACGAGCCAACGCTTTAACCACTAGGCTACCCCACCACCCCTCATTCTCAAGAAGCGGGGTGTGTGTGTGTGCGCGCTTGCACCCCCCTTCTGAATCCGCCTTTGTCCACTGTACTGTGGGTATCAAACTTTCTGATAAGGTCACTCTTACTTTCATGACCAATAACACGGGCATCACAAGTCAAGAGTCATCAGAAGATGACAAATCTCCCAAACCCCACATATTTGAAATATCAAATAATCTGACAGTTACCTCAAGTCCAACTTGAAAAAAGGACATGAAGGCATTGTTAGCACTTTATCCGAATGGATTTATTGGAACATATCGACATATATACACAAAGATGTACATAAAGTCTTCAACCAACTATGCACAAGGATACCAGGGAACAGCAGTGAAGTGAGTTGAGGTGTGTGAGTTGAAGACTCAGAATCAAGTAGTGCTTGCCAATCATGGATCAGACTAACTGACCAGTGGTACTGATAACTTGTCATAAAGACTTTCACAAACAGCATAGTAAACTGTCATCAGTGCTACTTACAGTCATATGGTCACCCAGTGAAGACCTGTCCCATTACAACTGTACTTCAGTGATACAAGTGTTGTTTATGTTCATTTGTGAACATCGGGATGTAGTGAGTGGGAGGACCCTCGAGAACATTTTCCATCCCAGGAACACCGAGAACGTGTGTAGATTTTTGTTTTAAATTTTTATGCATAACTGGCCACAAAAAGTACACTTTAATATTTTCTTGCCATTCCACAAAGATGGCTACCAAAATGATGTTAGACGATAATATCTGTCCTCTTGACGCCATTTAAATGGAGACGAATCATTATCCCCCTGCCACTTAACACAGTCCTACAGTGGCCACCATTACCTTTGTCTCGTACAATTTGTTGGCTTCAATCTATCACACCTCCGGTGATAACTGAACACATTCTGGACAAAACGAGGTCTAGTCCACAAATAAGTTAGAAACCATGAGCTGGAGACAACTGTGTCTGTCGTCATGAGCCAATGGTGACTCGGTCCAGGATGTGGCGGTACACGTCCACGTGATCCTGGAAGGCCTTCTCCAGATACAGGTGGCGCTGTTCCAGTGACATGCAGCTCAGGGTCTGCGACAACTCTTCTGGCTGTAGAGCCTTCTCCAGCTTCTTGAAGTCACGTCCGTTCTTCTGCAACAGGTAGTTAGAGGTTGAGTGAGTGAGTTTAGTTTTACGCCGCACTCAGCAATATTCCAGCTATATGGTGGCAGTCTGTAAATAATAGGGTCTGGAACAGACAATACAGTGATCAACAGCATGAGCATCGATCTGCGCAATTGGGAACCGATGACATGTGTCAACCAAGTCAGTGAGCCTGACCACCCGATCCCATTAGTCGCCTCTTACGACAAGCATGGGTTACCAAAGATCAATTATAACCCGGACCTTCATGGGTGTGAGAGGTTTGAGTGAGTGGGTCAGGCAAGGTAGCTGAGTGAGTTTAACACTGTACTCAACAGATATGTGCGTGCATCACCAGTTTCATGTATGTTGATGGCCAGTCACCTTAATGCAAGGAGAAAAAGTGTTTGCCACTAATATGGCAATGTCCCCCGCCACTAAAGAAGAATGAAATATTCATAACATATTTACTACTTTTCATTTTTTGGTCACATACAAGATGCCTGAAATGACTGGAGTCTGCATAATCACCAGTGTAGGCTGTCGACATAATTGAAGACATTGGGTGCAATGTTTTATTTTAAGACATATCGCGTTTATATAAGTTTGAAAAGTGGTCAAAGTGTCATGGTGACCTTGAAGATAAGGTCAAGGTCACCCAAATTGTCTGGTGTCTGCGGAATTCCCCAATGCGGGCTGTCACAACATTTAAAGACATTGGGTACAACAGTTCATGAGATATCGCGTTATCAAGAATCGGGACGGACGGACAGAGCTGCTGAGTACATAGTCCCCCGTTCCGCGTTGCAGCGGGGGACAAAAAAACCCAAACCAGCACTGTGGAACTCAGATGTTTAACAATGGTGAAGACAAACAGACATTCATAGCAAATCTCGGCCTCAAAACCATTATCATTCCACATCAAATGAGGTGCTTCAGACATGGCCAACTGTGGCCTATAACCGAAGGAAGACAAGACAGGGAAAGTTCATCCATCCATTTACTGCTTAACATAAATTAATAGATTACAGGTTTAGTCCTGCTGTACAAGAATCTATCTGTTGGCTGCATTACAAGAGCTTTACCTGGAAAGGTGCATTGAGACGCTTCTTAATGTCCAGTCTGTACTGGCGGTACATTTCCTTGTTACTTGCGTCTGTGGCTCGGAGTCGCAGCATCTCGTACACTCGTCTTGTCTGACGCTGCAGAGACAAGCCAATTTGTGTCACTTTCTAAAAACCATTAACGATGACATCTGCAATATTATAGCTCAGCAGCTTATGTAAACAAACCAGTGACTGAAAATCTGAGCAAAGGCTTTGATCTTATATTTGTTGTGTAACACCACTCTCAGCAATGTTCCAGTTTATGACATAAAAAGACCGCCAACAAGGCTGATCACGTCGCCTTCTGTCGCCTGCTACAACTGCCATGGGTTGTTATGTAAATTTTAACCCTGATCTTCATAGGTTCTTTGAAGGACCATGTTTCAAATAGTTTGAAACACAGAAATGGCTGAAATAAGACTGCTCACCCGTGACAGTTTGAGTTTCTTCTGTGCCTCAATTACCATGTCCTCGGAGAAGCCAAGATACAACCTGTCTGGTTCGAAGCTAGTCAACTCCATGCAGTTCTTCACATCCACAAAGTCACGTAATCTCTGGAAATTCTCAGATGGGTCTTCAACTGAAATTCAAACGTCTTTGGTGATTGCTGTTTATTCCCATAGTAATATTCAGGAAACAAGGGACACTAGGAAGTCGGTCACATATTGTACCTATATTAAAGTACTGTCGGAAATAGAAAAAAACCATTTTTAGGCTGTTACTCTGTATCCCTAAAATAGGGATTGCAAATAGCAAATGTCGAAATAACCCACTTCGACCTAACTTGGCATTCAGTGGGATGCGTAATAGAATATCCAGAAAGCATGTTTACTCGTAAAATCGGGCAAAACTTACAAAAAATACGAATAGCTGCTGAAAACAATAGATCAGACTATAGATGGCAATAAGGTCACTCAGCCAGGTATGACGACGGACCTTCGACTCACCTGGCATGAAATGCACGTCCTGCCTACAGGCTCAAGGGGTCATCTCAAAGATATTTTGTGCGTATTTATGTGTGTTGACTATGCCTCATCTATTGATTAACATCTTACGTGTCTTTCTTTCATAAAGTTTATGTTAAGATATGTAACAGAGTATGATACCTGATAATCATAGAAATGCATCGTATTGAATGTATTAGGTGGCATGACCACCCGATCGCGAAGATCGACAGGACTGGATATTATTTGTAAATTGTTATGACATGCCGTGTACTTCCCCAGTATAATTGCCCTAAAGGATTATCTTATCTTAGCTGATATCTCTATCCCCCAGCCCGACCCCAACGATTGTCTGCGACAACCGTCCAGGCTTTGCTTTTGAGACGAACCCTCCTATACAGTGACACTCCACGGTAGCTACATCCTTAATAGTTTCAGCATGAAAGTTATTATTTTTTTACGCCAGCTATCTTTTATAATGAGGCTACGTCTAATTTCAAATTGGGCATTTAAAAAGTGTCCTTTGTAATACAATATCATCGCACTCTAATTTGCATAAAGCCATGGTCTGTTCCAAATAAATCGCTTTGGACTTAGAAAAAAACCTGCATTGCTCATTTCTGCACTAATCTCTCCTCAGTAAAGTCCTTTTTCTACGTTTCTTATGTCCCTACCACTGAGACTTGTAGTTAGGCCGAACTTAGTTTAACAGATATTTCACACTTGCACATATCAACTACATAAATTGTAGAGATAAAAGAGAAAATACTGTTTTTTTTATTTCCGACAGTACTATAGGATCAAACCTTGGGCCTAGATTTTCAAAGCTTTTCGATAGCAGGGATAGAAATACTTTTTGTTTTAAGTGTGCCTTTGGGCACCATGAAAATATTTTAAATGTGCCTTTCAGAAATCAAGTGTGCCCACATGTTTTTAGAATAAACGACTGTAGCAAAGATGATGATCTCTTGAAATTTATTGTTAGTACACAACAAATGTAACCAGTTTTCTGTTATCACTGATATGTCTTCTGTTTAAGATGGCTTTCTTATGTTACATTTGTTCTGCTTCCCCAACACTTTCAAAAGCTAAGAAGTTGTGAAAGGTTCACTTGTTAAATATGTCTAACATGCTTAATTTCCTTTTCAATAACCAAACTATCAGTACTCCCAACACTCTAAATGGAAAAACAACCAGATTTCTTTACATCATTAGTCATAAATCCAGTGATTTCCTGGGTGATGAAGTCAATAAATGTTTTTTCTTGTTTGTCATTTGAGCGCAAACGTTTTGTTTGGGGGATTAAATGACTAAAGGTGAGTTATGTCTATAAAAAATTAGACGTGCCATAAGGGCACCGGGAACATATTTACCCGTGCCATTGCAATATTTATCGTGCCATGGGACGCTAATATATGGGGTATTTCGAACCCTGGATAGTCTTAAGTTAATGTTAATGTATGGCACTTATGACTATCGTAGCGCTAAGAGAGCTTCGAAAATCATGACAAACATTCATTAGCAGTTGATGTTTCCCTTCATAATACATCGACAAACCTGCATTCTTTACATGTTATACATGCTATACATTGTATAACAAATGTAAAAAGAATCCTAATATCCACTATATTTTGAGATTGCTCTCATCAGAGCCCTACATGTGAAAATCCGGGCTAGAACTGATCTTCAGTAGCCCATGCTTGTGGTAAGAGGCGACCAATGTGATCCTGGGGTCAGGTTCTCTGACACAGGTCATCGTACCCCATCTGTGTATATCGATGCTCATGCTGTTGATCACTGGATTGTCTGGTTCAGACTCGATTATTTACAGACTGCTGTCATATAGCTAGAATATTGCTGAGTGTGGGGTAAAAACTAAACTCACTCACTCATCAGAACCATAGCATATATTTGCATATTTAGCATATATACATAGCCTTAACATGTAGAAAACAGCATCGGCTTGTCATGCACTGCAACTCCCAACATATCACATTACAGGTACCTGAATCGCAATATTACTGCACTACAATATACTTTCCAATACACAGCCCTACAACAGATGGTAAGTTGCAGGTAAATAATCAAGTCTAAACAAGAAGACAAAGTCATCAATATCCCCCGCAATAGCAAAATACTCTTCATGATAATGTCTACGAGTTATGATTATGTCAAATATTTAGGTGTGTATATAGAAAAGTGGAAGGAGAGTATTGAAAGGTTTTTAAAGTTCTGCTCCAGAAAGGAGCTCTATCACCAATTTCTGTCTATGTCAAACTTGTTGCCATGGAAATGCCAAAAATATTTTATTCAGAAATCCAAAACTACCAAAAGGCACCAGTACACCACCAGATCTATCTATGTGCCAATCTTGGTGAAGAAACATTGAACGGTTTTAGAGTTCTACTCCGGAAAAGTTCACTACCACTAATTTCATTCTAAGTCGAACTTGTTGCCATGGAAACGCCAAAAATGATTTATTCAGAATTCCCAAACTACCAAAAGGCACCAGTACACCACCAGATCTATCTATGTGCCAAGTTGGGTGAAGAAATATTGAACAGTGTTAGAGTTCTGCTCCGGAAAAGACAAATGTGAACGGACGGACGAACGGAGTCCATTTTAATACCCCCCGCAAAACGTGTTGAGGGGGATAACTAGCCAATTCAGTGATTGGCATCAATAGCATCAATGCATGCACAGGGTGAGGTTTCTCTGTTTACAACCTGCTCTGCTGCAAGTTAACAATGGCTGGTGCAGGTTACATTCAGTAACAGGTTGCAACAATAAATCCTCCAACATTGATAGCTGTCATCGTATGTTTTAATTGGGAAATAAGTGACTGGAAGTAAAACATCTGTGTACTCAGTTACGTAGCAGTAATCATATAATTCAGATTTATAGTGAGTGAGTTTAGTTTTATGCTGCACTCGGCAATATTCCAGCTATATGGCTGCGGTCTGTAAATAATCAAGTCTGGACCAGACAATCAAGTGATCAACAGCATGAGCAACGACCTGTGCAATTGGGAACAGATGACATGTGGCAACCCATTCGTAACTACTCGTGTCATTCCGGCAAGCCAGATGGCGTCTTGTACCCCTCTCATGGCCATGTTTACGATTAGGCCCTGTCTAAGCGCAAACGGGCACGGAGATGAAAATAGTCTAGTACTAGTACCAAGGAAAGATAACTCTGAATTTCCAAACATGAATACTCCAAAAATAACCTATAGCTATATCCCGTGGATAAAACAACAATACAGTCATTCCCTTTGTAGGTAAGTTTCAGTGTTGAAAGTTGCTGATCCTGTAGCTCAAAGTTTGTTTAAATTGTGCTTTGCATAGTTAGCAAAGTTTCAAAGTTCAACGGTGCTGCCATTTTAATGCTTGAAATGCGTGTGATTTGATTGGTTTGCCACGATTCTTGGCAATAATAACCCATTGCCGATCGCGTGGGTACAAAGTCTTCTTGTCCAGACTTTCCAATATTAATTATGTTGTCAAGGAAAAAGGCGGTATAGTGGAAGGAGTCAGGGAATGGTGGCATGTGCCAACCAAGTCAGCAATTTTAAGCCTGACCAGTCTTCTTGTAGGTCCCGTTAGTCAATCTCTTGCACCCGGTCCGTTAGTCGTCTCTTACAAGCATGGGTTACTGAAGATCAATTCTAGCCCGGATTATCACGTGTGGGGCTCTGATGAGAGCAATCTCAAAATAAAGTGGATATTACTGTTATTACGATTCTTTTTACATTTGTTAATCAATTCTAAGCCAGACCGTCACGGGTTGAGATTTATAAATAAAGGTAATGCAAACTTGAAACTGAATCATGCAATCATCAGTGATGTCAACTGAGTACTTGTTATGAAAATAGCTGAACAAGTATTTATGTTACATTTAAGATGGTGGTGCCAAATATATAAGCCAGGCTTCCCTCGGTGCAGGTATTGAGAATAACCTGAAATCACAGTGCAATTATAGTGTTGTGCCGTGAGCGTGGGCTTGCAGGAATAACGCAGTAATTTTTCACATGGCAAATAAAATTTCTTATAGCGCATCCCATTTCTAAAGAAATCTACCTTCACAGAACCTACCTTCACTTTATTGATGTGCTGTGATTAAACTTATTCTTCGTCTGCAATACTCGACAACCTAACAACACGATGTTTAGTATTGTTTATGTCACCCTTTTGAATGCATTAGCTCTTGGCCAATCAGATTCATTGTTGCATATCCATGCGTCAGTTTTCTCTTTCTATGTATTGAAATTTTCGGGACCCACTAAATTTTCTGGTGTTCCTTAAAATCATACATGCAGAAGCCCATATTTTCCAAAAGCTAGGAACAACACTAGCAATTGTGACATGATGCTCTGCATCAACCAAGTCAGCAAGTGTGACCGACCGATCCCATTATTCACCTCTTACTACAAGGATTGCTATTAGACCAATTCTAACCCGGATCTCAACAGATACTATTGTGATGTAGATACCTGTAATGTCTAGCACATCCGAGCTGGAGTAGCAGCTGTTGTAGAAGGTTTGGAGAAGCTGAGCACCATGACCCTGCTTCTGGAACGGCGGCAGGATCAACACTTGGCTGTAACACACCATGACAATAGCAAAACTAAACCTGGTAAAGTGAGTGAGTTTAGTTTTATGCCACACTCAGCAATATTTGAAATTCAATCGATAATCTACCCGATCCACTTGTAACATTTGACAGTTGGCTCCTTTCTGTTACGTATTGTTGTTTACTGGTAAGTCAGGGTACACACGTCAACAACTAAACAAAGCGTTTCTGTAATTTCCTTTGCATATTTGGGACGCTACAGATATATTTCAGTGCATAGTTTGGAAATTTCAATGCATATTTTACACAGATACATAGCTTATCTAGACTTCTGTAGTCCATTTTGATAAAAGCCATTCATTGAAGAAGTATTGAATATGATCAAACAAACTGAAGGCACTCCATTGTTCAGTGATTTGCTCTTATGACATGGTTGTTCTGAGCACAATGTAACCATCGCAGAATATTCTGTCATCCTGGCTGCTCAACACCTATAGTTTTCATTTACAGTCTTTAAAAAGGTTGAAATCTATAGAGATGCAAAAACTGCATCAGCAATATCAAAACATAATTTACATCAAGTCTAACACCATGAAACTAACACACAGCATAAATAAATAAATAAAGGATTTTACCTGATTCTTGGTCGAATCTTTTCTGGATAAGCATAATAGTTATACACTGTCATGTAGCCGACAATGGCATGCATCGGGTTCCCATTGCTTTGGTATTTCTCGAATCTGAAAGTACAAGTTAAATCATGATTCAAAAGAATTTTAATTACATTATCAAAAACATAATCCAGAGAACACAACATATTTTTCAGGCACATATTTTTCAAATATGCTTTGTTTAATCGAAGACAATGTTTTGCAATAAGCCATTGCTGAATGAGATATCTTTACAAGGTATAGTCCGTTTGGCTCAAAAGCGGACTGATGAATTGCAATCTAACTCGAAAACTAATAAAAATATAATACTCAATGAAACGCTGGTCATAATCAAAACATCAGACCAACTCTGTGAATTTTTGCAGAATTTATGTTGTAATAATAAAAAAATTGTTTATTACTATCATTAAAATATTTACATGGGGTTCACTATTTGTTAAGAGGGAGGAGTGCAAAGAGAGGAACAGCCAGGTGTGCGAGAAATGATGGAGACAGCACAGGTGAATGATTCAATAACTTTGTTGGTGCTTGTGTTCGTGCTTCTCGTACACGTGGCTGTCCCTTTCTCTGCACTCCTTCCTCGTAACAAATAGTGAATTGTGTCAATTTTTTAATGATAGTTTGTTAAACAACTTTTTTATTATTAGGACATAAATTCTGCAAAAATCTCACGGAGATGGTCTGATGTTTTGATTATGATCAGCATTTCATTGAGTATTATATGTTTATTAGTTTTCGAGTTAGATTGCAATTCATCGGTCCGCTTTTGAGCCAAACGGACTATAGTCGCTAGCATAGAACATATAGAATGTGTTGGGCAAAACATGAAGAGCTCAGTAACCTACAGAAGATAATAGGACCATCTGTCATCATCAACATCAATGAAAGATGCTGCATCAATGTAGAAGAGGATGAACGTCTGGAGCCTGTCATGGTATTCTCGGAAACCAGGTGCTTCTATGTCAGTCTTGAATATCTCAAACTCACGATTAACATTGTCTGTAAAAACAAAAATGAGGCACAAACTGTTGTTTTAAAGTCCAACCCAATTGTAAAGTCTTTGAATGGATTTAGAAGTGATACACATAAAAGGTGAGAAATCATGGATGTCATTGCCAACACAATTGACGACATGTATCAACCGAGTCAGTGAACCTGACCTGACCCCCAATCTCATTAATCACCATTTCTGATAGTGACAATCTCAGGTTGCTTAAGACCAAATCTAAACCACATCTTCGCTGGAAGTCAGCAACACCTCAAATCATCTGCTGCACCCTTGGTCGGTCGGTTGGTTTGTTGTTGTTGTTTAACGTCTCAATCAGCAATATTCCAGCTACATGGCAGCGGTCTGTATATAATCGAATCTGGACCAGACAATCAAGTGATCAACAGCATGTGCATCAATCTACATATTTGGGATATGATAACATGTGTCAACCAAGTTAACAAGTCTGACCACCTAATCCCATTACAAGAAGCATGGGTCACAGAAGACCAATTCTAACTAAGACCTTCATGAGTACCATTAGAGTGAGTGAGTTAGTTTGGTTTTACGCCGCTTTTAGCAATATTCCACCAACATCACGGCAGGGGACACCAGAAAAGGGCTTCACACATTGTACCCATGTGGGGAATCGAACCCGGGTCTTCGGTGTGACGTACCAACGCTTTACCCACTAGACTACCCCACCGCCTCAGTACCATTAGAGATGAATACAAGTGTTTCAAGGATGCGGACAATGCAGTACTCGCAGTACTATGTGTCAACCAAGCCAGCGAGCCTGACCACCCGATCCTGTTATTCAGCTCTTCCGACAAGCATGGGTTTCTGAAGACCAATTCTAACCCAGATCTTCACAGGTCCAGCACCCTTGGACCATCAGCGACATCAGAACACAGAACAAAGTTTACCTCAACTGACTGTGTGGACATACCTTTATTGACTGTATATGAATGCAGTTTCTCTCCAAAAGGTTTGAAGTTGGCATCTTTGGCAAGGGAGGTAATAAATTCATCCCTGCTAGTGTAGAAGCCAGGAGGTAACTCCTTGGTGAGGGTTGGCAGAACATTGTCCGGCTACAAGATACATGGAAGAAACAAGTTTCAAGTTGTCATAAATCTATTTAAAGTAATAATTTCTTCTGTCAAACATTGTCAGTTATTGTGTTTTATTATGAGAAAAAACATGCACATTTGGAAAACAAATACCATTTAACTATTCTCATTAACTTTGGCATTCGTTGATAGAACAAACGTAATGAAACTATGGATTCCTCTAAGATTTAACACCAACTCCATGTTCATAATAAAATGTTGGAAACTTGACAAAACGCTGAGCACCAAAGGGATTTGTTTTCAGAGCCATCATGAGGACACCTGTTGTGTTACGAACCTTAGAAAGGCATCTCAGACCTTTTTTGAATACTGCCACAAGAAAATGTTCATTGACTCAATGTTCAGATTTAAAGTTAAATTTTAGAACTTCTTCAAATGATTATTGAAGTACCACAGTCTAAAACATTTTAATAGTGTACCTACCCTCAACTAAAGTTTATGTCAAACCACCATTGGTGATCAAGAAAGCAAAAGCTAAATATAAATTTTGTAAGATCATATAGAAGGACCATATCTTGAGCGTGTCAGGAGTGGATAATAAATTGCATTCTTACTGGAGGCAGTGAAATAGCAGCACTGTCAACTATCTTGTCTGGGGTGAGTTTCTCACTGTACTTCATGTTGATGTAAGTGGAGAGTCTGCAGGCACTGTAATACATCTCCACCACAAGGTCCTTGTAGCCAAATATACTTTCTCTGAAAAACAAACAAACTATCTGATCAAGAATTCAGTCTAAGTAAACTAAGTCTCATTATTTGTTACACTGCTATACTGAGTCTAACAAACCCTAGTAGAAGGTCGCGTCAGGTAACCTTTGAGCGACCTATGACCATCCAATCAAGCGAAAGACAGACGGACGGATTTAATCAATCAGACAACAGGGTTTGGTGGGACTTATAAACTGTTTTTGTATTTTCTCTCCCCTGGTTGCTGACACTGATCTCTCAACTAACGAGAATCAGCATAAAACACACATATTTGACCTGCAGTATATACGCTTATGGGTTTCTGATGACATGGTTGCTATTAGTTTGTATTGCCGCAAGATGACATCCTGAAATATTGACAAAAACGCTATTTTCAGCGACTGTTTACTCACTATTGTGAATAATTGCATCCTCCATGTGTATCACTCGGAAGCGATCGTATGAAATTTCATTCGGAATTGTTTGAGTATAAACTTTTTTTCGAGGTAAAAGTTCAAATGGTATGTGCGAATGTTAAATTTCGCAATTTGGTAAGCTGTGTTCTGATTGGTCAATTGGTTTGTTAGACTCAGTATGTATAGCAGTGTAATGAATAATACTGAGCCTAACTTTACTTAGACTGACCAAGAATTCCACTGACTGAGTACATACATACCAGAGGTCTGAAAAAATGAAATCTGGATCAAACTAACCAGTGATTGATATAATGAATAGCTTTCCAGCTACATCACAGCATGTCAGCCTCCTGTTGGAGGAAAGCCTGAAGCGATGCTACTCTCAGACGTTTACTACTTTGAAAACCCCACAAGGTCCCAAGTTTGGTTTGTTTGTTGTTTCAAACACTGCACTCAGCAATATTCCAGCTGTATTACAGCAGTCTGTAAATAATAGAGTCTGGACCAGACAACCCAGTGATTAACATCATGAGCACTGAACTACGCTATCGACATGTCAACTAAGTCAGCCAGCCTGACCCCTGATCCTGTTAGTCGCCTCTTACGATAAGCATGGTTGTTCAAGATCAGTTCTAGTGAGTGAGTGAGTTAAGTTTTACGCCGCACTCAGCAATATTCCAGCTATATGACGGCGATCTGTAAATAATCGAGTCTGGACCAGACAATCCAATGATCAACAACACGAGTATTGATCTACGCAATTGGGATACGATGACATGTGTCAACCAAGTCAGCGAGCCTGACCACCCGATCCCGTTGGTCCCCTCCTACGACAAGTATGGGTTACTGAAGATCAATTTTAATCCTATCTTAAAGGGTCTTTCATCAAGTGAGTGAGTGAGTGAGTGAGTGAGTGAGTGAGCTAGTGAATCAGTGAGTACAGTTTGATGCCCCTGATAACAAACCTATTCTAGAATCTCCACAAGGACTCATTGGTCAAACCAAGGTTCAAATCACACAAACATTTCTGGAATCCTTGATAATAATTTGATGTAATTTGTGCAGCAGGCACAACTGTCTTAATGAAATTAGATCTTATACTCTGATACAATATCTAAGAACCTCATGGAAGGTCATATCAAATCCACTCTGAGTGAACTTTGGTTGCCCAGCCACTAAGACTGCAAAACGTTACCGCTATACCCCAATTCACTTTTTTATAAAAAAATACATATTCTGAGAACCGGTACATTGGGTAAAACATAATCAGTTTTGACATTATCCCTAAGGTTTGAGCTACCTCTGCAGTTCCCCATTGTAATCATTTAATGAAAAGACATACTTTACATGCAGCGTTTGGAAATACCTGCCTGCCCGAACGCCCAGGATGGGTTATTTTCAACACGGACTGCCAGATTATCGATGAGAATTCACCTACCTGACGGATGGGTTATTTTCAACCACAAGGACTGTGGCCAGATTACCCTGTTATATGATGCAATTCTCTTCGAACCTAGGAGTCCTGGCGTTTGGGTTAAAATTGGGAGTAGATATGTTCATATGAAGATATTTTGATAATGATCACGTTATGGGTTACTTTCAGTGCATTAGGGTAAATAAAATGCATAAGTCATTACAAACCTAGCCAGTTCCCTGTGGTCCCCAAGGACTGAAATTTTTTTGGGGTACTTCACCAAATTTTCATACCATAGAAATCTTTAGTTAAAACCCTGGCTATGAATTGTATAAAAAGGAAAGTATCCTAACTATCCAACCTATATATTAGATGGATCTGATCAGATTTGTTTTGAGGGTCTTAGTATGTCAAAAATAGGATCTGCATGTACAATCAGGACCATTTACTGTCAAACACTTTAGCTCCCAGTATATCGTAAAAGGTATTGCAATACTGATACCATTAACACAACATATTCCAATATATTATATTTGCCAATACATAGCCCTACCAGCCACCATATGAACAAAGCATGGATTCTTGGGTCAATCAGCAGATCAGATGACAGCTTTACAATACAATATATTTTCATTTGTTTACTACCCTAATTCAAAATTATTTTATTTCTGACCAAACAAATCATCACAGAACCCAAATGTTCCCTCCATCATGTCCACTGTAACCACAACAAATTTAGAGTACACATTTAGATATCTCTAATCTTCAAGCAGTTTAACGTACTGGAATTAATCCATCTAATCTTAATGAGATTAGCAGACCCCCACAACTAACTACTCATGGATTACTTACTGATCCCCAAACAGCTGGTGGGTCATTTCAGGTTTGAATGTCGTCGTTTCAGTAAATATGTCGGATTCCTGGCGCACTGAAATGAAAATATTTATCTAATTTCATTCGATCTGCCACTCTCCAAACCATATATGTAACAATTCAACAAGATTGTAGGGCACATTCCTTCATTGAGTTTCTGTAGGAGAGTATAACATTCTTGAATTACACACCATTGATAACTGTAAATCAGTTGAGGAAAGGGGCTCATTGAAACTTACATTAGATATTACCACATGATTTTTTCATATAGTTACATTGAGCTAAATACATTTTTAGACATGAGTGAACAAAGCTCACCCCTTCTATGACTGTTTCTTCCCAATGCAAGAAATTATGAAATGTCATGCTTATTTTTGGCCTGAGAATGGGCTCTTATAAAGATTACTTGCAAATTAATCTTGAAATCAGTTCCGGTCATTCTTTCACCAGGGCAAATACAGTACTACAAACAAAATGCATATGAAACTTTGTATTCACCACAGATGCAAAAATCAAGTCAACATGTCAGCTTCATATCCTATTTCAGTGGAAATGATGAAGTGTAAATGTTTATAAACCTCTTACCAAGTTTGAAGTGGACGACATCATTTGCTGAACACTTGAATGACTCAAATTTGTTCTTCAGTAAGCTCATACCTGTCCAAAAAGAACAATGAAACATCACACTCACTTTTTACAGGCAGCAAATGTAACAAATCCCAAAGAAAGCTCAGGCACTAGAAAAATCAATGGCCCAAAAGAATAGCAACCATAATTGAGAGTAATGATTACTTCATTTTGCATAACCCTGCACACACACGCTTGTGAAGTAATTCATGCTTTTCAGTGCCAAGGTCTAAACAATGGCATGTTTGCCCTCTGCTTGAATAGTTTATTATATTTGTTATACACTAAGTACTTACACTGTCCATACATAAGGTGAATAAAATAAGGAAACAAAAAATGTAAGCAGAATTATTCAGAATAAAATGTTGCATAATTTTGCATATAATCAGGTAAGTGATAGTTGAATGCTTGTCTTAAGATCAAACAGCCATCTAGATGAAAATAACACCATATCTTCATGCTTTGGTTTATTGGATTGATGGAATCGATTCCAACAAAACAACATGAGTAGTAATCACATGCCTTCCTCTGAGAAACTCACAAGTACACATGAGTAACAAATTAGTATATCAATGATGCTACGAATAAAAGAATGACAGAGTGTGAAATTTGCTGGTTTCTCTAACTTAATCTGTTGTATTTCATAACAGAAATTGGCAGTGAAGTTTTAGTTCTGGCTGAAATTTACTAAGAGAAAATTCCATTTGTCAGCATTGACAGCAACCAAAACAACACCAGATGCACTTGAGCATGTTCATTATAATTTTTCTGAACACAATTATACTAGCTCAGATAATAACCAGTTTACAAACATTACACTGAAACAATCACACACTTTACTACACCACTGTTTACAATTTTATATACATGCGCAGTTTGTGCATTAGCCTAAAATATTTGCAGTTACTTGCTGCTTACGTCTTTGAAGTTTACTGGTCTGCAAAAAGCTAGTAAAGACAAAAACGGGTTAAGCTTCCTTCTTGAGCTTTGTTTTTGTTCTAATTATTCTTCATCAGCTGTCAATCTATGATATTAGTGCTGATTTGACACTTACCCGCCATTTTCGTCTCCTTTTCTCCACTCCCGCGTGTGTTTTGAAGGTGCATCCGGTGACTACGGCCATTTACTTCCGGGTTGTTGGGAGCCCTAGCACGTGGACAAGGAAATGTGTTGACCAATGAAAACGCACAATTCACGTGATAACCTTCACCTTCGACGTAAAACATGGCGGGTAAAGACACGGTATGTTTTGGTGTGTGAATGTAACATGAATGTCAATTGAATGTTGAGCTTCAACTAAATATCTTTGGATGCATGAAATAAGAAAGCCTTATATAATGTAACTTTTGAACTGACTTTGTTATTGCAGGGTATTAAGTTGGAGATTGTTTCCAAGTTATGGCCTATCCCCAAACGTGCTGAGTGCGAATCACCCAAGAAGGTTGTAAAACTCACCACAAACTGCATGCAATAACAAGCTTTCCCCTTATGTGACCGCTTGCGATCCCTCTCCCTCACCCGTCTTGCAATGACCTTCGTGTTCCCTCTCTTCACTGCACATGCAATGTTGTTATCCGTGATCAATCTCGATGTCTGTTTTGTGTGACCTTTACGAGTTTTTCATGTGTCAAATGAACTTGACTTACTTAGAGTGTATACCCTTCATTCATTACTGCTTTCATGCGTGTACGCACTAGTCATAGGCATGTAAGCAGATGAGTTCAATACGGTTACAGATATGAATTCATATCTGTGCCCGATTTAGAATTAATAACTGCATACAGATTCACATTGTAAGACAATATTTACCATACTGGAGAAAGTTATAGACTAGTTATTGGAGTTTAGATCGTATCTACTGCACAAATCAATTTCTGAAGCAGTGATGACCCAAGTGTTTAATTCTGTTGATATGATTAGCCACAACATTGTATATCATTACAAGTAGTTAACCTAAGATATAATCTCAGCTACTAATTACTTTTTAAATTAATTAACATCTTTTTTTAAATGTTTAATGTTCAACTGACATCCAACATAGTTCATGTTTAGAAGCTTATAGACTAGGAGAGATTGGAGATTCTATGTAGATTACATCCATACTGGATTACACTCATCCTGTCCACTGGCCAAACTATCTGCTGAGCATTATCTGAACCTATTAAATTCTATTCTGTTTCATAACATGCAATATGTAACATCTCAAATGACTTTGAAGGCAGAAATTTCATTTGTTAGGACCACTGTATTCCAGAAATCCACCTTTCTGACAATTTAACCAGGGATGGTTACATGGATACAAAATTACATTGGTGCATGCCACAGAAATGGAATTCTAGAATTATGTAATCTGAAATATTGTTCCGGAAAGCCACCGTCTGGATTAATGGATTTTTACTATATATGGTATATATATTTATAAACATTGTTAACTTGTGTAGTAAAAGTCCATTCACTATTTTTGACATGAAGTTCAGACACATTACGTTTGTTGTGGTTATGTTTGCAGACAAATCAGTGTTTCAAATGAAGTATAGTCATGTCAAGGGGTCCTTGTAGCTCTTTGTACGCTGCATGTGTAAAGATTTAAGGGATCCCACTGTCAGACAGTGTGGGGCAAAGCAGACCACAGGGACCCCCATGACCCCACTTCACTTTAAACACTGCAAGTTCTCAGATGATTTGGCTGGTAGACAGTTCATGCCCTATATGTCATGTGCTTGTGTCCTGCATGTCCGAGGTAGCTGCTGAATATCTTTGGTCAGTATTCAGCATTTGCATGATATGTTTGTCAATTGTTGTTGTGTTTCGTCTTGTGTTCTTGTCATTGTCCTGAACAGTATTATCTTTGTATGATATAATATTACTCCACTTCAGTTAGCATGATCAGCTTGCTGTAAAACTGACAATATGTGGGAGCATTGTTTCAATGTTTAAACATGCTTAACTGACTAGAAGGTTTCTGGAAAAAGGTGTTGTCAAGATTTCAACCATGAGAGTCATTATGCTCAATCTGTGCCAAAATTATTTGAGTCTACAAACCCAAACATAGGTCTTGGCATCACTTTCATTCAATTTTGTGATATCATATGCTTTCTTATTCATTTCTTATATATCATGGTAAATATTGTGGTACTTGAACAAAAAAAACTTGGTATACCGTGGTACTGAAATTTTCGTGGTACCCAACCCTACTGTTCGGTATATGAGAACTTACTTCGGAGAAAATAGCAGCCATCTGGCAAAGAAATCGTAGATTTTGACAAAATGATTTTAGAAACGGTTTTAAAAGGTTAATAAATGATGGAACGAAAACCGAAATTTTGGATTGCATTAATGAATAATGTATACCAAAACCAAAGGTAACATACTGCGGTTTTACTAATACCGCAGAATACCGTTTCACTCCTACTCAGGGCATCAGGCTCGCTGACTTAGTTGACATGTCGATAGTTCAATGCACATGATGTTAATCACTGGATTGTTCAATGCACATGTTGTTAATCACTGGATTGTCTGGTCCAGACTCGATTATTTACAGACGGCTGTAATATAGCTGGAATATTGCTGAGTGCGGCGTTAAGTAAGAACATTTTGACTCCAGTGGACCACGTGTATGGGTTTATACGATACACTGTTGGCGTTTGGACCTGATGTTTGTGGCAATGTTTCTTGAGTTTGTAGGTCAAATTAACTACCATAAAGTTAGGAAATATCTGATACTTTTCAAATGTTGAATGTGGGGTTCTTAAATTGGTCCCCCGGTATGATAAAACATTAGGGTCACAAGTGAAACAGTTGATAAGACGGTTACCTGGACTACAGATATACCTAACCATTCGGTCTTCAGGCTGATGTATGTTAACACAATGGCCTGGAAATGCATTTGAACGTTTATTCATCCTTCGTGCATAATTTTGATGTACAGATCAGGGACATGATTTTGATGAACATACCATAAAACAGAAATATTATTATAACATGCTTCATTGCTTGTGTCAATATTGTAACTAAGGTGAGTTTGTTTTGATGTATACATTTGGTAAAGAGGTAAATATTCTGAAAGAATGAACTTTTTCTGGTGCAATTGTGCTCTATTTCAGATCCATTTCTAATTGATCTTCAGCAACCCATGCTTGTCGTAAAAGGCGACCAACAGGATTGGGTGGTCGGACTCGCTTACTTGATTGATACTCACCATCATATCCCAATTGTGTCGATTGATGCTCATGATGTAAATCACTAGATTGTCTGGTCCTTGTTTGGGACATATGGCTGGAATATTGCTGACCCGTGAAGGTCTGGGTTAGAATATTCATCTTCAGTAACCTATGCTTGTCATGAGAGGCGACTAACGGGATCGGGTGGTCAGGCTCTATGACTTGGTTGACACGTGTCATCGGTTCCCAATTGCGCAGATCGATGCTCATGCTGTTGATCACTGGATTGTCTGGTCCAGACTCGATTATATAGCTGGAATATTGCTGATCGGACGTTGAACAACAAACAATAAAGCACTTACATTTTCAACTGGGAACCGGTATATTCCAAGTTCTTCAATAAGGCGTTGCTGCATGCTGTTGGATGATGTTGCATGGGTGTGGAAATATCAGTATTGTGAAGTGGTTCCTTGTCTTCTTAAGGTGCACAGGCTCCATTATTTTGAAGGAATGGAGAAATATTTGAACATTATGCTCCATATAATACATTTAAAAGTGGCATTATCAGATGCCAGAAATTGTTCTCAAATGGGAAATAATAATTTCTCGATTCATGTTCATATGGTTATAGTAAGAGACGATATTTGAGTCCAAAGTTGGCATTTGTCATTTTTTTCTAAAATGTTTGTTCCCTTTACATCAGTTTTAAAAATGGGGTTGATATCAAGCTTTACAATTCTTATTTTTTTTTTTATTATATTTCTGCCATGATGGAATGTCAAATTTATGCTTTTGTGTCATTGTGCATGATGATTTACCTTTTGAAACTGATTTCCTGTTGTGCTAAGCATTGCTTAACATGTAGTGATTAAGATTAGGCCTAAAAACAAAATGTTCCGATTACCCAACTGACCCTTGAATTCTGGTTGCCCGATCCCATTTTTATTTAAAGCTTTATGAATAAAATAAGCTTTCAGATACCATTATTTTTTCTCGGCACTGACGGACATCGGTCATTCTGATAGAGAAAGTCAACTTGATGGCCGCAAACCTGCTTGAATAAACAATTACACATTGATAAATATGTTATTTGTTCGTACTTTACTTTACAAAAAAATATGTTAAAAAAGAGATTCTGTCTACCAACCCTAAATTTTAAAGAGATGTAATCTGAACCACAACGTTTTTTGTTATTTGGCCTTACAATGAATCCGTAAAGAGACTATTAAATGTGATACATGTCGCAAATATTGGGAAACTATGACAAGTCATCAATTATTCAGTGTATTATTATTCAGTGAAACAATAGCAAAATATATTATTTGACATGCTTTGACCGAACTAACAGTTAAATTTAACATGACATGACCAGTCAGTACATTACTGTCAAATTAAATATATAAGATTATTGTCTGTTATCCTGCCTGGCTTGGGAATATTCCTTTGCATATCTCGTTTTGATAAAGAACACCCAAATTAAGTAGAAACACTCCTTTTTAATATATTGATGAAAATATGATTCCAGTGTTTACAAATTGAATTTATAAACATGAAGAGATATGGTTCGATTCACTTAATGCACACATGAATAGTAACAGCCCTACTAATGAACACTATGTATAAAATATGCAGATTTCTGAAAATGATGAATATTGTTTGAATATAGTGATCATATCACTGCATATCAATTACTGTGTACTGTATTCATATTTCAGATTAGAACCTTTTGATGTTTGCCATTATTGAAATAATGTACCTTGTGAACTGTAAAGGAGTGAAGCATGAAGTGCAAAATAATCAATGATAATATATATTTGTGTCAGAAACTATGGACATTTTAGGACATCAGTTATATCTCTGTCCTAATGAAAGTGGAGTAAGCCTATGGCGTTGTGCATTGTCCACCAAATGTCATTAGTTTAAACTTTCGGTCTTATATGTTTATCATGTTATACCTTGTGTCTAAACCTCAAGGTCATTGGGGCGGTGGGGTAGCCTAGTGGTTAAAGCATTTGCTTGTCTCGTCGAAGACCCGGGTTCGGTTCCCTACATGAGTACTATTTGTGAAGCCCTTTTCCGGTGATATTGCTGAAACATTGCTTAAAAATGGCGTAAAACTAAACTCACTCAGTCACTCAAGGCCACTGAACTTGGTAAAGGTGAATCTTTCTTTTAATAACCCTTGCCATGATGTTTAAAAAAATATACACAATTTCTGACCATTTATAAATGGCCGTCTTTGCAGCCGAATCGAAAATGATATTTTGGCCAATTTCTTAGCCATTCGTCAATTGCTGTTATGAAATGTGATATCAAAAAAGTTAATACAGTAATTTGTTTTGTTAAACACTATTCAGCTGTTAAACTTTACATATATGTTAGATGTACAAAGGTATTTATGTGCGCACATGACACGCTTGAAGTCTTATATTATGTCGTACTTCATAGATTTTTAGGCGTACATTACGCCTGTACGCCCCTAATCTGTACCCCTGCAGATGTTCATCAAATGAACTCTGCTGATTCAGCAGAAAATTACTCAATCAGACCATACTCTTCTCTTTAACAGTCACTACCATACGGACAAAACCTTATACGGACAGGCTGTTCGCTATCTATGAATAGTAATTGCGAGAGAAAAGCCGACAACAATGTTGCTAAGAAATGGCAGATTCATAGATTTATTTTATGGTTCAATGACGACGAGCAAGGCTGCCTGTGGACAGTTTTTATTCACCTAGGTTGTGTACCTAATGAACTATGTATAAAATGTACATCTCCTGGTATTAGTTGATCGTGGGCTCTAATCAAAGATAGTGTTGGGAGTTGGTTGAAATCACGTGATGGATGATTGGTTCCATTACTAACGAGCAAACATCAAAACTGTAATGAAAACAATTTATTTCAAATACTTTACTCACATAGCACTGGTATAAATGAATAGAACACACTTTTTGCACTAGTTCAATGCTACTCTGTAATCTGTAATGAAGACAATAATACTATTTACACAGTATTCACTGTTTACTAATTTAATGTCACAACTGGCCTCACTCTGTCACATACAGCACTAAAATTACTATGTTTCAAAATCTCTTAACCAAGTTTGAGAAGATGACCAACTGCATCAAGGAACTCAATAGGGGTTTTCTGTCATTGAAAACCAGGACCAGCATGTCCTTAAGGCATCTCAGGTGATTTCCAGTCACTCTGTACACCCGCTTTCTGTTGGGTGGTGCAGCACCAAAGTCTAACTCTGCAATTTTTGTCCTGTCAGCACACTCTAACATCTTGATCACTTCTACAAATCGGTAGATATTCGTGTGGCAGCGGGGTAAGGTTCTGTTCAGGCGATGGTAAAGTCCCTCAAGAGTGTTGTTAAAGTATTGTCGGAAATTTAAAAACCCTGTTTTTTCGCATTTATATCTACAATTTATGTAGTTAATGTGTGAAAATGTGGAATATTTGTTAAACTAGGTTTGGTCTAACTACAGTCTCAGTGGTAGGGAGATAGGAAATGTAGAAAAGGGTCTTTTCTGAGGAGAGATTAGTGCAGAAATGAGCAATGCAGTTATTTTCTAAGTCGAAAGCGATTTATTTGTAACAGACCATGGATTTATGCAAATTAGTATGCAACGATATTGTATTACATAGGAAACTTTTTAAATGCCCATTTTGAAATTAAAATTAGCTTTATTATAAACGATAGCTGACGTAAAAAATAATAACTTTCATGCTGAAACTATTAAGGATGAAGCTACCCTGGAGTCTCACTACCACTAAAAAAGAAACAGCTAGGAGGGGGTCATCTCAAAAGCAAAACCAGTATGGGTGTCGCAGACAGTGGTGGGGGTTGGGCTAGGGGATAGAGATATCCACTAAGATGAGATAATCCTTTAGGGGAATTAAACTGGGGAAGTGAACAGCATGTCATAACAATTTACAAATAATATCCAGTCCTGTCGATCTTCGGGTGGTCATGTCATATATATATTTTTAGACATTTAATATGATGGCTAATTTAAGCTTTTCTATGGGTATCATGCTCTTTTACATATTTCAACATAAACTTTCTGTAAGAAAGACACGTAAGATGTTAATCAATAGATGAGACATACCGTATATTACCGTCTATAAGACGACCCCATGGATAAGACGACCCCCAAACTTGACCCTTAAAATCCGTGTCAAAATGGTATGTTTCGTGCATAAGTCAATCCCGCGCGATGGGGTCCTAATCGCGGCAAACACAGACCACAGACAACTGGCAGTTACCAATAATTATAACTTTGGTCCACATTATTCAAAGAATTCACAGTCATATATATTGCGTCTACTCACGGATCGAAACGAAGTGTAGTTGACAGAAAATGCACAATATATTTTGTTTCTCTAAAAATCATATTTATTGTAGCAACAAGCTGGCTTGCTTAATTTACCCCATTCAACAATCACGAACTGATTACAGTCTCGTTTTCCATTGACTGCTAGTTTACAATAACATCGGTAAAAATGTGTGAATTTAAATGGCTTCCGTATTTTACCCCATTCCATGTGCGTTCAACTTCTGCTAACCACGTTCATGAGGGTCCATATAACCTTAGTGTTGATCATATATATTTTACATAAAAACTGTAATTAAAATTACACATGGCTAGGTTATTTCTTTGGGTTAAATAATAGTACTCTGTATTATATTTTACTAATGACTGCGTCAGAATTCGTCCCGTTATATTATTGTGCATATTTGAAATTGTCCGCTGCTGATTGCTATTTCAGGCTCAAATACACACGGTAATCTTAATCTTAATTTATTTATAGAGCAAAAACTGTAATTAAAATTACACAATGCTAGGATATATTTCTTTGGGTTAAATAATAGTATTCTGTATTATATTTTACTAATGACTGCATCAGAATTCATCCCGTTATTTATTGTGCATATTTGAAATTATTCGCTGCTGATTGCTATTTCCGGCTCAAATACACACGGTTATCTGAATCTTAATTAATTTATAGAGCAAAAACTGTAATTAAAATTACACAATGCTAGGATATATTTCCTTGGGTTAAATAATAGTATTCTGTATTGTATTTTACTGATGACTGCGTCAGAATTCGTCCCGTTATTTTATTGTGTATGTTTGAACTTGATCGCCGGGAAACATGTGCACAGCTGATTGCTATTTCTGGCTCAGATACACACGGTAATCTTAATCCCTGCAAATAATACAATGCCCAGCAAAAACAACTTAGAACTTAAAAGGTAAATAATCTTGCCTAGTGATGTTTAATTGCAAATTTGACATCTCTACTGACAAAGTCGTCTTCTGTTGTTTGTTCACGTGAAGTGATACGATGTTGTTTTCTTACCCCTGGAAAAAAGTTTGACGAAAGCGTAACCCATGGATAAGACGACCCCCTTCTACAGACTGCGTTTTTTGGTCCTCACAACTCGGCTTATAGACGGTAATATACGGTATACAACGCACATAAAAAAGCATCAAATATCTTTGAGATGACCCCTGGTGCCTGTAGGCAGCACATGCATTTCATGCCAGGTGAGTCGACGGTCTGTCGTCATACCTGGCTGGGCGACCTAATTGCCATCTATAGTCTATTGTTTTCAGCAGCTATTCATATTTTTTCTAAGTTTTGCCTGATTTTACAAGTAAACATGCTTTTCTGGATATCCTGTTACGCATCCTACTGAACGCTCAGTTAGGCCGATGTGGGTTATTTCAACATATGCTATTTGCAATTGTGTAAATTTTAGGGATACAAAGTAACAGCCTAAAAATTTTGTTTATATTTCCGACAGTACTTTAGTGTAACTATTTAATCTTCCCAAAGTACCTTTCCTTGCCTTTCTAAAACAACATGGTAAAGAAGCTAATGAATCTTCTTATTTACATGATTCTAACACCGTGAACCTGGGTTAGAATATTAATCTTCAGTAACCCATGCTTGTCGTAGGAGGCGACTAACAGGATCGGGTGGTTAGGGATCTGACTTGGTTGACACATGTCATCGGTTCCAAATTGCGTAGATCGATGCTTATGCTGTTGATCACTGGATTGTCTGGTCCAGACTTGATTATTTACAGACCGCCGCCACATGGCTGGAATATTGCTGAGTGTGGCGTAAAACTCAACTCACTCACTCACTAGAAACTTGTCTAATTCTTAGAAAACTCACTTCACTTACTGAAGAGTCATGACCGAATAGTTCTTGAAGATTCTGTGAAGTTTATGTTCATGATATATATGTCATCACTTTAAAGAAGCAAGTTGCATCATTTTACATTGGATGCGAAATTTGCAAATGCAATTTGCAGAGTTTCATAATGAAACAAACAGAGCAACCTTACATTTTTGAAAAATTCCATAGAATTTTAGGAATTCAAAAAAACATTTTCATGACACTTGCTAGATCTATGATGTGATTCACAAACTCTTGATATGTTTGAATATGTCATTTAAAGTAATTAGTTCATGTACAAGTATTTGGAGTTTACTTTATTAAATTGTTTACTGCTCAAATACGAACGGGGGCCGTGGGGTAGCCCAGTAATAAAGCGTTCTGTCATGCCCAAGACCCGGGTTCGATTCCCCACATGGGTACAATGTGTGAAGCCCATTTCTGGTGTCCCCTGCTGTGATATTGCTGGAATATTGCTAAAAGCGATGTAAAACCTTACTTACTCACTCATGACCTTTTATACCAATTTGCCACCAATTTGCCACTGATACTTATAATAACCAATACAAATCATGAAAAATCTACATGAATGTTTTGCATGTGTACAATACATATACTTACATAAAGTACAAGCTGTAGAAGCATGAAGCAAATGATTATTGTACACATATACATTATCAATTCCATTTTGTTTTCACGTGTTCTTGGTCAGAGTGAAGAAATTAAGACAAAATGTTTATCGGGGTTAATTTGTCTTTAGTTACGGTTAACATGGTAACGGTTTGTCTTCTTTTTTTTTCTTTCTTTTTTTTGAATCAATAACTTATGAAATAAGACTTCTTTTTTTGGTACAAATGCAGTGAATTTGTCTGACATGTTGAATGAATTTTGTATTTTCATTTTGATTTGTGGATGTGTAGAAAATTCATCGTTGAATCGTCTTTGAAATAGGACAGTATATATTTAACTTAATGATCATTATTGTAATGTTATTTCTATTGTCTGTTTGGCTGCTTCTTATGGGCGATGAAGAATAATGTAAGTCTATCTGATGAGTGGTTTACATATAGTATTGTATGTATGTATGTATTTACTTTCTTGTGTTGTATTTGCACATGGCTTATTTCACTTTTCCTTTTCTTGTACACCCATTAAGAATAATCCAGGGATTTAACTAAAATATCAGGAGATTTGTCTAATACTTAAAAGGCACAATGTCACACCACACTTTTCTAAAAATAAATAATGCATTTCTCTCAATAATACTAACTATCAGCCCTCAGGGAAGCTACCATATAATTTATTAAAAAAATATTTACTCATTTAGATTACAATATTAAATTAAAACGTTCGAATGAATTAATGCAACGTTGCATTAAATCGACTCTCGCACCCTCCACCGACCGAACGTTATTTCAAGCGAACCCCATGGAGTTGTGTCCCTTGGAGCACTCTTTATGAATATCCTATGCATACCGTGTGATTTGAAACCAGTTCGTCAAGCACCGACAACACCACATGCGACTGTTTTCGATGTACGGAGCAATTGTTTACATTCCATATATGGCAAGTGTTGTCTATTTGGAAGCTGTTCGCCTCAAAGTTTCAATTATATCGATTTCAGGCAAGTTGTAAGGAATAGTAAGTCTACTATTGCATCAGCAGGAAGTTAAAGTGAGAGCATATGCCGCAATATATAAAATATAGGTCAAAATATTGTCGAAAATGTGTGATATTGTGCCTGTAAATTATCCAGAAGGTTAGCAGAAATATTATCAACCTAAGAAGTTCAGGGGTATAGAGTTATATCAAGAATTTCTGTCCATCCGTCGTTTTAACGACATATTTGTTCCACCTGTAGCTTGTAAAACTATTGGTTGGATTGTTCTCAAATTGGGGGCCACCTTTATTGTCTAAATGTGAGGTGCAGTGCAAATTGTGATAATGATATTGTAAACTTTTTTAAGAATTATAATAATTTAAGGATTTGAACTTAGAAACTTGCTCAAACAATAACTTGGAAAATCATTGGATTATTTTCAAATTTGGGGACCAATTTTAGTCTAAAGGAAAGATGCAGTGCCGAATTTTATTATGATATTTTAGTTTTTAAAAGAAAATATTGTTTGTAGCAGCAGCGAAAATATATTGTCTGGTACGTCAGCAGTGATCAGGTTTTATTATGAATAATTTGCACAGGGACCTTGGGCTTGTTTAATTTTCAACCCTGATTGAGTTCAGTCAAGCATCTTTCGCTCATTATCATTATAGCTTACAGATGGTATAGACAGTAGCTGTATCACATTACAGGTTTCTCTTCTGAACCTTGTAATCAGCTTCTCAGTATGTAGAGAAGCTGGTCTAGAGCATGTATGGTATACTTTCTTCTTCGTATGATTTGTCTCCAATTACATGCCAGATACCCTGAGTACTGCATGAGTCTGTAATTATATGTAATCAGTAATGACATTTTGTAAGCATGTTACATGTTGTAAGTGTTCATAATGACAAGATTTTAAAATATTCACTTAAGAAACATTCCCCACTTGGGTACAATGTGTGAAGCCCATTTCTGGTGTCCCCGCTGTGATATTGCTGTAATATTGCTAAAAGCGGCATTAAACCAAAGTCACTCACTCACTTAAGAAACCGTCAATTTCATAGTGCATGACAAAATATACTCATGGAAACAAATAAGGGAACACCTGAAAGTACAAGTGTTCCTTTATTCTTTTCCAGATTTTCACCCACAGTGCAATTCAAAGCTTGTGAAGAAACCAGGAAAAGAATAAAGGAACATTTGTACTTTCAGGTGTTCCCTTATTTGTTTCCATGAGTATGTATTGCAACTAACTGCTGAATGTTACAACCTTAATTATAATTGCATTGTGTATGAAAATGAAGATGGTAAACATAGTAAGTAAGAATTTTCTGATGATGAATGTATTTGACTCGATTATCGGCTCCAAATAAAACAATTCATATGCGTTGATTATTTCCTAGGCAAGTTTTATTTTTGTTACAATCCTAATTTTTCTTTCCTGTATATATGAAAAATGAAGGCGGCAGGCATAGTAAGTATTTTCTGATGATAGGGAATGTATTTGACTCAATTATCAGGTCAAAATGAAACAGTTGATATGTGATGATTATTTTCTAAGCAAGTGTTATGCCTGTAAATCATTCCTTGATTTGTCTGGTAACAAGCTGCACCATGTTGATCAAGTGCATTAATGGCAACAGCTGTATTCAATAAAGGAAAGCGTTATTGTGAAACATGTTAAATGTATCATTTTCTATATCATGTATCCATATTTCTATGACATATGATTATCAGTGGTATAACTGGCAATAGTAAAGTGTATTAAAGATCATGCTATCTGTAAAGGCCATTCATTGAAGTAATATTTATCTGTATATCAGTTTCAATTATGTATATCATGCATAGATGCATGTCCACTTTATTATGCACTCTGATCTCGGACGGACCAATGAGTCCTTGTGGAGATTTCAGAATAGGTCTTTGGTAGCCATTTGTTGACAGGGGCATAAAACTCACTCACTCACTCACTCACTTGTAAAAAGAGCAGATCAATGGAAAGGGAGTGCAATGTAGCGGGAACTGCCCCGACATCGTTGCAAGGATCCATGCTTTTTCTAATAATCAGTAATTTAGCTCCATGCTCAAACTGGGGGTGGTGGGGTGGCCTAGTGGTTAAGGCGTTCAGCTCGTCGCGCCGAAAACCCGGGTTCGATTCCCCACATGGGCACAATGTGTTAAGTCCATTTTCTGGTGTCCCCCGCCGTGATATTGCTGGAATATTGCTAAAAGCGGCGTAAAAACTAAACTCGCTCACTCACTCTAATAATCAGTAATTTAGCTCCATGCTCAAACTGGGGGCGGAGGGTAGCTTATTGGTTAAAGCGGTTGCTCATCACGCTGAAGACCAGGGTTCGATTCTCCGCATTGGCACATTGTGTGAAGCCCATTTCTGGTGTCCCCTGCTGTCATATTGCTGGAATATTGCTAAAAGCAGCGTAAAACTAAACGCATTCACTCTAGGTCACACTGTATACATACATTGCGATCTATTATATTGTATATATTACCTGCCTGCACCTGCTGCAACTATGAGGTCTCCAATGGGCTATAAATGTCAGTCTAATACCAACATCATCAGCATTGGCAGTGTTTTAGTTGTTAGTCTTCAAAATGTGGTCAAACATGGAGGTAAGTGTATTTCACCCTAAATGGAGCCTGGAAGGGTCACCTGTACTATTTTAAGCCTCATGGATGATGTCTCTTTAGTCAGATTAAGTCCTGATTTCTAGTCCAAACTAAAACCCTACTTGACCCAATCTGTGTTGACACAGATCCTACACCCTGAGCAGATAGCCCATAATCTTGTGTCTAGTTGATCGTTATGTAGGGTATGTTCAAGTGATTATTTTGTTGGTATATTTGTGTATGTTTGTGGATAGTTGTGGTTAGGTTGTTTTCGATGAATCTTGGAACTTGAGCCAAATGCACAGAGAACCACATTTTTCGTCCTTTGAGACCTTTGCATCATGTTCACCACTGGCTGCCTAACAGTTATTGCCATATTTTTGCGGTATTTACAAAATTACTGCCGTCTTTGGTTAAATTAGTGAAACAGAATTAATTATGATATTTAATTAGCTATTCATTGATGTGTCCAGCCCATTCACTGCTGCCAATCATGTTTTTATATAACCCGGTGGAAGGGAATCATAGCAGTACTAGGTCTTTCTCACAACTAACTGTAAACAAAGACGTATACGTCTTTGCTGTAAATAAAACAGTTATCGCTATTTCAGAATTTCTCTTGTCATTTGTGAAATAATTATATTTATATCATAAAGTAACCTCGAATAATTGATTGTGTGACTACATGAGTGTTTTTTACAGTAGATTGATAAGGAATGAAACAATTAATGACTTTAGTGAACTTGAACTTGCTATTATATAGATCGTGTGACATCCACCCGACTAAGTTAAAACTTTTTATAGGGTTCATAACTTATCTTTAAGTTTTCTTTTATGTTACTTACCGTGAAGAATTTGCTTTTTCTGTCTTTTTATTGTCATCAAATACTGTGGGGGGAAAAATACCGGAAGTGTAATTGAGTGATACTGATGTATTGGCAATAGCTGTTCGCCAGCCAGTACACATTTGATATCAAATAGCACAGCTGTGAAACTTAAAGTTAGTGGTGGGAATCGGTTGAAATTTCATAATCGAATATCGGTTGCTATTGGATTGTCCCATCCGATTAATGATTGATTGTATAATCGGTTACACTGATTAAGATTTAAATATGTATTGGCAATAGCTGTTCGCCAGCCAGTACACATTTGATATCAAATAGCACAGCTGTGAAACTTATAGTTAGTGGTGGGAATCGCTTGAAATTTCATAATCGAATATCGGTTGCTGTTGGATTGTCCCATCCGATTAATGATTGATTGTATAATCGGTTACACTGATTAAGATTTAAATATGTATTGGCAATAGCTGTTCGCCAGCCAGTACACATTTGATATCAAATAGCACAGCTGTGAAACTTATAGTTAGTGGTGGGAATCGGTTGAAATTTCATAATCGAATATCGGTTGCTATTGGATTGTCCCATCCGATTAATGATTGATTGTATAATCGGTTACACTGATTAAGATTTAAATATTTTGTACAACTTGTGCAATTCCCAGGTAAACATTTGAACTCTTTTACAATACTGCAATGTTGTGTATTTGTCATTTTCTTAATTATGTGATGATAGTGAGCATTAAATGAAATATATCAGCTTTTGTGGTTGGTTTCTGTGAAAAACGTGACTTAAGGGTACATCTACCAGAACCTAAAAGATCCTAAATATAATATTTTTCATAAGTTTTAATTGTCATTTGAGGCAAGATTGTACAAAATCACAAACAACCCAAGTCTACACTGATCAACAAAAAATGTGTACAAGAATAAATATTGACAGGCTACCAAGATATAGAAAAGATGACTGTTCAACTATCCATTTTCTGTCAACTACACTTCATTTTGAGGCGTGAGTAGACACAATATGATTGTGATTTCTGTGAATAAAGCGGATAGAAGTTATGATTATCGGTAACTGCCAGTTGTCTTGTGGTCTGAGCTGGGTATTCATTGCTGTTTTCGTAAGAATTAATAGCAACAATCGATTATGAAATTTTGCAATCAGTTATCGCATCGGAAAAGGGTAACCTATCAATTATCGATTATAATCGATCATCAAAACACCACCACTTTGTGTGTTACTATTTTTATCAAGATGACTTCAAAGATATTTATTTTTACGAGATAACATTTCAAAGAATATTTTTGCCTTATTGACTCACTTAACTGTGTCAAGTGAGTTACATTGAGCCATATTGTCTGCTGTCCTTTAGCTTCTGCATTACCCACATCTCTGCATTTCAAAGTTTGTATGAAGGACCCAAACTAAAGTGTCTCTTTAACGAGCTAAAAAATATCCTGATTCAACAATGAATATAGAAATTATAGGGGAAATATAGGAAGTATTATGGTTGAACATATGGAGAATATAAAATCCTCACTCTCGCTTTCAAGTGCCTCCATGACAAAGCTCCAATCTATCTGAAAGATCTCCTCAGTGAATATGTCCCACCACGGCTTTTAAGATCAAGTTCTAATTGTCAGTTGAATGCCCCCAAGGTCAGATTAAAGTCATATGGACATAGACAGTTCTCTTACACAGCTCCCCTTTTCTGGAACTCACTGCCTCTTCACATCCGACAAGCCGCGTCTGTGGAATCTTTCCAGTCCCAACTGAAAACTTTCCTTTTTAAACAAGCTTATGAACTTTAATCCTTTCTTCAGATCACTCTATCTTTTATCGCCTAGAGAAATTGCCTTGCAGTTTGATTTGTGCGCTATACAAGAACACTTATTATTATTATTATTATATATTTTGCCTTTTCTCTGTGTGTAACTATGAAATTGTCATACAGCCAGTATGTTTGTTTAGTTTTAACATAAACCTAGTATGTTTGTGGGTTTGTTATATTTTTTAGTTACTTTCACATGATTTTCTAGTGTTGCTGCAGTTTCAGCATCTGAAAGCCTACCATGTGTTCAGTTAAAACCTTGTATGAATTGTCACACCTTTATAACCTGTGAAGATCTGGGTTATACTTGGACTTAGTAAGCCATGCTTGTTGCTGCAGTTTCAGCATCTGAAAGCCTACCATGTGTTCAGTTAAAACCTTGTATGAATTGTCACACCTTTATAACCTGTGAAGATCTTTGTTATACTTGGACTTAGTAAGCCATGCTTGTTGCTGCAGTTTCAGCATCTGAAAGCCTACCATGTGTTCAGTTAAAACCTTGTATGAATTGTCACACCTTTATAACCTGTGAAGATCTGGGTTATACTTGGACTTAGTAAGCCATGCTTGTTGCTGCAGTTTCAACATCTGAAAGCCTACCATGTGTTCAGTTAAAACCTTGTATGAATTGTCACACCTTTATAACCTGTGAAGATCTGGGTTATACTTGGACTTAGTAAGCCATGCTTGTTGCTGCAGTTTCAGCATCTGAAAGCCTACCATGTGTTCAGTTAAAACCTTGTATGAATTGTCACACCTTTATAACCTGTGAAGATCTGGGTTATACTTGGACTTAGTAAGCCATGCTTGTTGCTGCAGTTTCAACATCTGAAAGCCTACCATGTGTTCAGTTAAAACCTTGTATGAATTGTCACACCTTTATAACCTGTGAAGATCTGGGTTATACTTGGACTTAGTAAGCCATGCTTGTTGCTGCAGTTTCAGCATCTGAAAGCCTACCATGTGTTCAGTTAAAACCTTGTATGAATTGTCACACCTTTATAACCTGTGAAGATCTGGGTTATACTTGGACTTAGTAAGCCATGCTTGTTGCTGCAGTTTCAACATCTGAAAGCCTACCATGTGTTCAGTTAAAACCTTGTATGAATTGTCACACCTTTATAACCTGTGAAGATCTGGGTTATACTTGGACTTAGTAAGCCATGCTTGTTGCTGCAGTTTCAGCATCTGAAAGCCTACCATGTGTTCAGTTAAAACCTTGTATGAATTGTCACACCTTTATAACCTGTGAAGATCTGGGTTATACTTGGACTTAGTAAGCCATGCTTGTTGCTGCAGTTTCAACATCTGAAAGCCTACCATGTGTTCAGTTAAAACCTTATATGAATTGTCACACCTTGTATGGAATTGTCCTTTATAACCTGTGAAGATCTGGGTTATACTTGGACTTAGTAAGCCATGCTTGTTGCTGCAGTTTCAGCATCTGAAAGCCTACCATGTGTTCAGTTAAAACCTTGTATGAATTGTCACACCTTTATAACCTGTGAAGATCTGGGTTATACTTGGACTTAGTAAGCCATGCTTGTTGCTGCAGTTTCAGCATCTGAAAGCCTACCATGTGTTCAGTTAAAACCTTGTATGAATTGTCACACCTTTATAACCTGTGAAGATCTGGGTTATACTTGGACTTAGTAACCCATGCTTGTCTTAAGAGGCGACTAATGGGATGTGGTGGCCAAGCTTGCTGACTTGGTTGGCACATGTCATCGTATCCCAGTTGCAATATTTATCTTGTAAGAAGAAATGCCTGTCATTTTGAGCTATAGGATTATCAGGCTTACCGACTTGGTTGACACATGCCATTGTATCCCAATTGTAGATCAATGCTTATGCTGTTGATCACTGGATTGTCTGGTCCAAACTCGATTATTTACAGACTGCCACCATATAGCTAGAATATTGCTGAGTGCGGCATTAAACAACAAACCAAACCACACCCAAACCACACCACACCACACCACACCACACCACACCACACCACACCACACCAAACCACCACACCACACCACACCACACCACACCACACCACAGCCTTACCTGACCCAAAGTTGTTAAAAATTGGTCACAGAGTTTGGCGATCTTAAATATGCCTGCCACTATATTTAGAACACAATAATCAGCCCTTTTAAAAAAAAAAATTGGCAATTTTTTTAATTAATATTTTGGTCATATCGTGCAGTATAGAAAATTCTTTTCATGAATCAGTATTTTCACCAACAGCATGATAAATTAATTGTGCCAATGACTGCTAGCATAACAAACTTTGACTTCGCCAAAACTGTTCTTGAGAATTTTGATGGAGGTGAAACTAACAAACCCAGTAGAGGCAGACCAAAACATCATCTGTATCAAAATGTCGATCTCGTGAAATAAATTTTGTTCGATATTGTACATCCCAACTTCAAAGAAGAGGCTGATGAGTGTGGGAATTTGAGTAATTCAATCTGTATATTTTGAGATATATATTAACCTTTTGCAATTTTGACCAATTTATCAAGTTATTTATAAAACCTCTCTTGAATATGTTCTTACAAAGTTGATGGGACTTAAGAGCATATGACTCCCTATGTTCATGGGGCACATAATTGTCTTATGTAATTTGACAGTCCTGAATATTCTATTTCTATGTTGATCAAAAAAGTGCATTCTGTATTGCATCTTATATTGGTAAAGAAAAGTAGCATTGACAGGGATTAAACCTGTTATTTTAAGAGAAATATAAGGGTCACTGTGTGTGGTTGTGAAGGAAATAATATGCTTGCTATATTCAATAGAGATTGTCACAGAATGTAGTGTGAATAAGCATGAACACTAGTACGTCATGTTTTAAGTGATTAAATATACTTACTCAGAGGTACAGATAAGCTGCGTATCTGCATAAATTACGCAAATATTTATGCGAAAACTCAATTCCTATTAAGTCTATTGCGGACAAGTACGCTTGAAATTTTGTAAACACTCAATAGATGTGATGTTACATGCGTACACACAAAAGTGTCAAATCTTAGCTTGCGTACCGGTGGATAGATACAATAACTGAGGTATTGAGAGGTTCTATTTCAGGACATGAACTTGGCAACTTGCAGTCTCTCTTATCGTTTCTCATATTACAGATCAAATATAAATAACAGACACTAACATTTAAACTTTATTATATTTTAACAATTAATGGAAAATGACAAAATACCCAATTGACTTTGAGTGAGGTGAGTACATTTTATTTGGTTACTGAAAGGAAAATTAGAATATCCAATTGAGATGACCACAAGCGAGTACATAACTCAATGACCCAAAACGTTATCTGTAGCTCTGCTTACTTAGCTGTCAAACTTTGGCGTCCTAAGTCTCTTGTCTTTACCTGTGTACATCTGTGTTCGCAATACTGATCACTGGATTGTGTGGTCCACACATGATTATTTCCAGGATGCCATCAAATGGTTTTAATATTAGTGAATGCCATGTTAAACAACATTTAATCAAAACAATCTGGAATCTTTTGAATTATTTACATTAGGACCTGATATCTTTTCTTGCTTGTCTGAAAGATCTGTCTCTCTTATTCCATATGTTTGACAGAGTTTGTTTGTATTATTCTGTGCAAGAAAGTGAACATTCTTTTCACCTTACAGGATGACATCTTTAAGAGTCGAGCGAAGCCGGAGGAACTCAAGGAAATATTCTTGAAGGTGAGAAATGATATGTTCCTGGTGACAATCTTTTTTATTACCACATGATTATCTTAGGTCATTTAGAAGTGATACACATAAAGAAGAAAGTTTTGTGGATGCCACCTTCTTTATTATGAGGAACACAATGTTTCTAAGTGTATACTTACATTTTCTGCAGGTGGATGAAGGAGTAAGTACACATTGTATATACTTCAAAACATCGTGTTCCTCATACTGAAGAAGTTGGCATCCATAAAACTCTCTTCCTCTCAAGAGGGCGGTGGGGTAGCCTAGTGGTTAAAGCGTTGGCTCGTCACGCCGAAGACCCGGGTTCGATTCCCCACATGGGCACAATGTGTTAAGCCCATTTCTGGTGTCCCCCGCCGTGATATTGCTGGAATATTGCTAAAAGCGGCGTAAAACTAAACTCAGTCAGTCAGCTCTTCCTCTCAAAGTCTCGTTGGCGGTGGGGTAGTCAAGTGGTTAAGGCGTTTGTTCGCTCACGCTGAAGATCCGGGTTCCGTTCTCCACATGGGCACAATGTGTGAAGCCCATTTCTGGTGTCCCTTGCCGTGATATTGCTGGAATATTGCTACAAGTGGCGTAAAACCCATTTCACTCTCTCACTCTTCCTCACATGATTATCTTAGTTTCTATGTGTTTATCACGTTTGTACATTGTTATGATTATGAAGAAGATACAGGTGGTTAAGTGACACCATGTTGAAACACTGATATTTACAATGAATAAGTCAACACACAAGTGACACCATGTTGCAACACTGATATTTACAATGAATAAGTCAACACACAAGTGGCACCATGTTGCAACACTGATATTTACAATGAATAAGTCAACACACAAGTGGCACCATGTTGCAACACTGATATTAACAATGAATAAGTCAACACACAAGTGGCACCATGTTGCAACACTGATATTTACAATGTATAAGTCAACACACATGTGGCACCATGTTGCAACACTGATATTTACAATGAATACTGTAAACGTACTTATTTTCGGGTGGTGCAATTTTCGCGGAATTGACAGTTTAGACTACATCGCGCAGTCAATTATTCGCGCAATCAGTAATTGCCGGAACTGCCAGCTGTCTCTTTGGCCGCCACTAATAGCGGTGAAAACAAACAGAGTGGCTTAACCTGTCAGGCGGCGTTTATTACTTACTCACAGGAAATCCCTATCTGTGCGATATACTGGTACACAGTAACCCGTTTACTCACGGAAGAGATGAAAAACACATCAGTATTATGTTCCGAATTCTGACAATCTGACTAATTAACTTATCCTGTATATGAAGCTCTTTGTGATTTCAAACAAGCCGGGTTGTTGTGAATGAGATGATTGAGTGTTAGTGACTATTCGCTTCATGATGATACGTTTGTATCTAAATGAATAAATAAAATACTGCTGTAGATTTCTGTCTTCAAACGTGATGTGTTATGGTAACAACTCAGGGCGAGCGTGGCTAGACTGAATGAATGACAGGTTTATTCGCGGTGTATAAATTTTCGCGCTAAAATGTTTTGCGCGGAACAAGCGCGAAAATAAAATCTGTGCGAAATAAACTACGTTTACAGTAAGTCAACACACAAGTGACACCATGTTGCAACACTGATATTTACAATGAGTAAGTCAACACACAAGTGGCCAGATGATGCTGTGTGTTTGTATCATAACTCTGCTTGTGTGATTGGTTATATATTCAACATACTGAAAAACAAACCCAAACACATAACCTGAAGAAAATGAAACAAAAAATGATAAAGCAAATACCAACCAAAGCACCCTGTAGTTCAGCTCCCCTATTTATGCAACCTTAAAGCCCCATTCAGGTTGCCATATCTTTGTCATATCACCTCTCTTTCGATCAAACACTAAATGGCCTGGCGGGTCTGTGCGCGAAATATGTGTAATATCGCAACGCCACACATAAAATCTCCAAATCATCATCATGATCATCATTAGTGCTTGTGTGTTTCACGTAAGTGGTTGCCATCCAATGTTTATGTCAATACACATCATCAGTGTATAAATACATGAACCTTCAAGTGTTTCACAAGGAGAGAGAAGTAGCTCTTAACCGCTGTGACAAACAATAAAAGAAGTTGTTATCTGTAAAATGTTTCATGCATTCATCTTCTTCCAAATTCTAAATGCCTTTCAAACATTTCAGTGTAGTTATCATCAACAGTATAAAAAAAAATAACATTAATATTGACTTGATTAATGACCAAAGTCATTTGGTCCTCACTGACACACTGACGGATAACATTTTGTGAGAGCGATGTTTCGTTACAGAATCTTGTACCACTGACAGACAAGGGTACAAGAATCTGTTACGAAACATTGTACTAAAAAAGAAGAAGAATATGTTATCCATAAATCTGTCTGTATTCTACTTCCCAAGTTCTATAAATGCCACTCAGAGAAGTCATTTTGACCTTTCCCTGTCGTTGATAACACTAAGATGTATCACCCACTGTTTCAGTATGCAACGAAGGAGATAGAAGCTGAGAAGTTTATGACCTACTCTGACCTCATCCATCACTATCTCCAAGTCCTTGACTCCAAAGACTACAATGACTACACACTCCAGTTGTTGGCCAGCAGCGTCGACACTTCTCGTGACGGGTGGGCACAATATTATCAGGGAGGATGTACACATTAAGGATTGGGAAAGACGGGCCATGGGCAATTTTGCACATTAGAATAAAAAATAGCGCATTAAAATTTTGAAGTTTACTATTGATAGAAGGGCAGTGGCCTATTCTAAATTCAGATAATGGCTGGTAATCCTGAAAATGGCCCATTGTCAAAGTTCTTGATCCCAATCCCTGGCACATTCAGAAATATTCCATTTTCTTAAAAAGCCTGATCTTCGTCTGTATGGTACAGCTGGTTTCAAGCAGTCTTATGTTAACTGGATGTCTGAAGTTTTAAGGAAATGCCAGCTGCAGCATTTCTGGAAACTATGCCATGTAAACAGAACTTGGACACATGAAATATATCAAGATTCATACATCAAGGCGTAGGAAAATCTCTTGTGAAATAGCGTTAGGGTAGCCTAGTGGTTAAGAGTTCACTTGTCGCACCAAAAACCCGGGTTCCATTCTCCACATGGGTACAATGTGAGAAGCCCATTCTGGTGTCCCCTTGCCATGATATTGCTGGAATATTGCTAAAAGCGGCATAAACCTTCACTCACTCACTCACTCAAGGACATGCCCAAGCCTAATAAAAGGTTAAAATGCCCATATGAAGCCAGATTGATACTTGAACACTTGAGGAAAAGTTTTAAGGTTTCATTTGAAAAGTTTTGATGGTTTTGAAATTCTGAATTCAAATGTTCCTTTAGCTTGGTTTAAGAATAAAAATGTTTACTTATGCAGTAGCATATGAACTATTAATCAACTGTGCGCTAATATGCTCAAATAGTCCCACATATCATAGAAGCACTGAAGGGTCAATGCGGTTTAATGGTTCATGTGATTTGAGCACATAATCCTTACGCTGCAGTCACAACAAGGCGATAGACTGTCCTCACACATACTTACAACAGGAATTTTGTATGTTTAAAATTGTGACATTCTTTATGTACTACTTGGACAAATATCCTTTAGTCAATAAATATATGTGACTAAGTACGTATTTTTAAATTGCTTTGTTTTAGGTTCAAGGTGAGGCATATTAGCCTGACGTAGGCTGCATTCTATTTATGACAATACCAATCTAATAACATAATTATGTGTTTTCTGATGACAGGCTCATTTCGTTCACGGAGTTCCAGGCGTTCGAGGCCCTACTGTGTCTTCCCGATGCCATGTATGCCCTGGCCTTCCAGATTTTCGACCGGAACGGGAATGGTTACATAACATGTGGTAAGTGATATCAGTTTTATGGCACTTGAATGGTGACATACATGTGCATGCGGACGTGCGTTCGTGCGTGCATGTGCGCGTGCGTTCTGTATGTTCTGTACACTTGTCAGGACATATATTGGTGTTATGGTGTTAGCCAACTGAGATACCATGCTGCTATTAACATGAATAGCCTTTACATGTGTACTGACACTCAGCTGACTTGTTTTATACCCTTAATGCTAAACCCGTGAAGGTCCGGTTTAGAATATTGATCTTCAGTAACCCATGCTTGTCATAAGAGGCGACTAACTGGGTCAGGTGGTCAGACTCGCTGACTTGGTTGACACGTGTCATCGGTTCCCAACTGCGCAGATCGATGCTCATGCTGTTGATCACTGGATTGTCTGGTCCAAACTCCATTATTTACAGACCGCCACCATATAGCTGGAATATTGCTGAGTGCGGCGTAAAACTAAACTCACTCACTCACTCACTCACTTAATGCCGAACACGAAGCATAGTAATAACAAGTACCATCTCTTAATGTTTTGTGGTGTAGAGCAGCCAGGGGATCGTGCCCTGACCATACGCTCTCCTGGCAAATGCTCCCAACCACAGAGACAGTCATTTCTATTACAACCAGCTCAAGGCAACGGTGACCATTTTGTGTGAGCTGTCAAGACAGCTGTGGTTTGACACCAGGGATTTGATTTTGTTTCAAGTTGTGTAGTTTTCTTTCACCTGGGGTGGCAGGGTAGTCTTGTGGTTAAGGCGTTTGTTTGTCACGTCAAAGACCGAGGTTCGATTCGACAAGGGCACAATGTGTGAAGCCCATTTCTGGTGTTCCCCGCCGTGATATTGCTGGCTAGAAGCGGAAGTGTAAAACCTGATACACTCACTCACTCACTCACTCACTTGAATCACCTCCATCAACCTGCAAGCTTATGGTGTTGTGAAGTATGGTAATAAGGTACAAAAAATGTTTAGTGAAACATTGATCTAAGGGAGATAACTCCATTTTCTTTAGCGGTATGCAAGGTGAGCATGTCGCTGGACAAGGGGAATAACTCTGGGGTTATGAAGGACGTTTGAAGGTTGGAACTGTTTCTGAAATAAAAAGCTCAACTGCTTACAACTGCACATGTGGTGATGATCCCGAAACGATCCAAATAAGAGCCAAATTAAACTTGAACATTACCGAGGATTGCCACCCTTTGAAGCATTGAAGCATGGGCGGCAATTCAGAGGTATCATGATGATCAATACGATTCAGTTATGTTGTTGTGTCTGGAGGACACTGCTTTGCAATGGTTTCTGGATTTGCCTGATCATGTAATACAAAGTAAACAAAATAAAGACAGCATGCCGCTGGAAAAGGGGAATAACTCTTGGGTTATGAAAGACGTTTGAAGGTTGTAACTGTTTCTGAAATAAAAGGCTCAACTGCATAGTATTCTCGAAGCGAAATTAAAACCTGTAGCATAAAACCTGTTGAAGTCAAACATATGTGGAAACTTTGTGAATAACTAACTACTGAGAATAGTCTTTGCTCGCTCAATGAGGCATAAGCATTATGACAACTTGTGAAGGCCATGTGTTTCACTTCCAGATGAGTTCGAGGACATCATCAAGCACACCACCCTCCACCGGGATATGCCCTTCAACTTCAGCAGTGACTTTATCAAGCTGCACTTCGGCAGCACCAAGTCCAGGAAGGTGTCATACGCCGAGTTCACACAACTTATTCACGTGAGTTACTTCCATGTTTACATTCACCCTTTGTCCCTGCTATCCCATAATCATCTCCTTGTGAAAGTTCCAGCAGAAGAGGTTCCGAGTACCATAGTTTCATAGGTGCATATGCAAAAGCCCTGGTTCGATTCCCCACATAGGCACAATGTGTGAAGCCCATTTCTGTTGTTCCCAGTTGTGATATTGCTGGAATATTGAAAATGTTTAGTGAAACATTGATCTAAGGGAGATAACTCCATTTTCTTTAGCGGTATGCAAGGTGAGCATGTAAGCTGGACAAGGGGAATAACTCTGGGGTTATGAAGGACGTTTGAAGGTTGGAACTGTTTCTGAAATAAAAAGCTCAACTGCTTACAACTGCACATGTGGTGATGATCCCGAAACGATCCAAATAAGAGCCAAATTAAACTTGAACATTACCGAGGATTGCCACCCTTTGAAGCAATTTTGAAGCATGGGCGGCAATTCAGAGGTATCATGATGATCAATACGATTCAGTTATGTTGTTGTGTCTGGAGGACACTGCTTTGCAATGGTTTCTGGATTTGCCTGATCATGTAATACAAAGTAAACAAAATAAAGACAGCATGCTGCCGCTGGAAAAGGGGAATAACTCTTGGGTTATGAAAGACGTTTGAAGGTTGTAACTGTTTCTGAAATAAAAGGCTCAACTGCATAGTATTCTCGAAGCGAAATTAAAACCTGTAGCATAAAACCTGTTGAAGTCAAACATATGTGGAAACTTTGTGAATAACTAACTACTGAGAATAGTCTTTGCTCGCTCAATGAGGCATAAGCATTATGACAACTTGTGAAGGCCATGTGTTTCACTTCCAGATGAGTTCGAGGACATCATCAAGCACACCACCCTCCACCGGGATATGCCCTTCAACTTCAGCAGTGACTTTATCAAGCTGCACTTCGGCAGCACCAAGTCCAGGAAGGTGTCATACGCCGAGTTCACACAACTTATTCACGTGAGTTACTTCCATGTTTACATTCACCCTTTGTCCCTGCTATCCCATAATCATCTCCTTGTGAAAGTTCCAGCAGAAGAGGTTCCGAGTACCATAGTTTCATAGGTGCATATGCAAAAGCCCTGGTTCGATTCCCCACATAGGCACAATGTGTGAAGCCCATTTCTGTTGTTCCCAGTTGTGATATTGCTGGAATATTGCTAAAAGCTGCGAAAAACGAACTAACTCACTAATGTGGTATAGTAATTTAGATGTCCTGGTTCAAGAAGTGGAAGATTCTAATAATTTGTCAATGTTTCATTTTGCTATTTACTGATGTTATCTTTTTGTGGAGGAGAGTTGTATTTCACACATGTACACGATCAAGAAACAAGAAGAGTCTTTGATGACTAGTTTTGCATTTTTGAATTGAATGACACTAAATGACTTTTGAGAAAATCTGAAATTATCAACAAAATTAAGTTTTTTCCATTATTTGTCTGCCAAAGACAATTTCTTCCTATTTTTACATCCTTTTATCAGTAAAGTACAGTTTATTACTACATAGTCATAAAAATAGTGATTTGTTATATCTATTATACACTCGAAAAAGTTTTGGAATTTTTATTGACGTTCTGATGTTTTAAGACTTCAACCTGAGGTATTCCACTCTGATTGTTCCAGGACTTCCATGATGAACATGCCTGGCAGGCTTTCCGCAAGTTCGACAAAAACAACAGTGGCTTCATTTCTGCCAAGGATTTTGAGCAAGTGATGATTTCTTTGAAGAGTTACCTGCTCACGCCTTTCGTCAGGGACAACATTGTTCCTGTGAGTACAGCAGAACATGCACATTTTGTCTAGAATCTTGTCTAGAATCGTCGGAAATACTACACTGAGGTCATGGTATAAAGTATAATCATGTCACAAATTATCTATTTACATATAAATAAAGAAAATAGTAAGTGATATCACTTTTTGTAGATCGTGAAGATCCGGGTTAGAATTGGTGTGTAGTAACCCATGCTTGTCGTGAGAGGTACTAACAGGATCAGGTGGTCAGGTGCACTGACTTGGTTGACACATGTCATCGTATCCCAATTGCGTAGATTGATGCTCATGCTGTTGATCACCGGATTGTCTGGTACAGACTCGATTATTTACAGACCACTGCCATATAGTTGGAATATTGCTGAATGCTGCGTGAAACAACAATCCAACCAACCACTTCTCTTTGTAGCAAGTGGTAGGGTTTGCCATGTTATTGTTCACTGATAAGGCAGACACGATTAAACAATTCAGATAGGTAGGTATTTTGAGAAAATTTGTAAATGAAGTTTCTTTCTTTGGACTCTGTTATTAATGAAATTAAAATTACAGCTATCTCAGCTAAATATTTATTCTATTATGAACTGCGTTTTGTGTTACCTCCCCTTATCAAGCTTTACTTTGGCAGCTGATCCTTTTGACTTTGTGATCGTTAATGTATTCAAAATGATAGGCATATCAGAAGCTGTGATGTTGTGATGGAATGTGCATGTAATGCAGAGGGATATAGTCTGTACGTCCGTCTGTCCATCCGTAATCATTTCATTTCCGGAGCATGACTAAAATAACGTTCAATATTTTTCAACAAAAATTTGTATATATATATCAAACAGAACCTAAAGTGGTGCCTTTTGCTATGTACAGATTTTTGGCATTTCTATTTTTCTGGATTTCTATGGAAACAATTTGGTCTTCAAAGGGGTGGATTTTGTTTCCTTAGCATATCTAAAAAATTGCTCAATATCTATCAATTAAACTTGGCAGATATATGAGACACATCTTGGTTCCTTTTGCTGTTTTCTGATGACTTGTTAACATGGGGATTATATCTATGTACAGGTGCCGCTCCACTTACCAATACCGGGATTATATCTGTGTACAGGTGGCGCTCCACTTACTAATGCCGGGATTATATTTGTGTACAGGTGGCGCTCCAGGGGGATAAACATCGGCAGATCAGCTATGCATATTTCAACGCCTTCATTTCACTGCTCAACAACCTGGAGTTGGTCAAGAGGATCTACCTTGCAGCAACACGCCGTGACCCCAACAAGGAGATCACCAAAGGTAGCCCCGGCTTAATGTGTCCCCAATAACAAAGTTCATTGTTAGAATGGACAGAAAATATAGTGGATATGGTCATTTCCACACAGTGCAGTGTGCTATAAGGCCTCATGCCTGTGACAAGCAAAAGTTTGGATGGTCTGCAGATTGTGAATATCTCTAGTTTGACACATCCTTTTTACATGCCGGGGGATAAAATCGAAACCTTACGTACGTCTGTCTGTCCGTAATCATTTTGTTTCCGGAGCATAACTCTAAAACCTTTCAATATTTTTCAACAAAACTGAGCAGATGTATGAGGCAGATCCTAAAGTGGTGCCTTTTGCTATTTGCGGATTTTTGGCATATTTATTTTTCTCGCTTTCCATGGAAACGATTCGGACTTAGTCTCAAAAGGGAGGGGTGGGTTTTGTTTCCGGAGTTTCGAAAACCTGTCAATATCTTTCTACAAGACTTGGCAGATACCGGGTATATCAAACAGAGTTTTGGCATTTATATTTTTCATGATTTCCATGGAAACGATTTGGACTTACTCGTAAGAAAATCAAGTTGGATTTTAAGTAACTGTCAGAAGATTTGTTCTTTCAAATATGTGGGGACCAAGCCCTAGGGTAGAATGTCTCCAGCACCTTAATGAGGTGACTAGGTTAGGAACCTGTTGAGTTCTAGGTTAGGATTAGTTCAACACAACCTCTGCTGGTCATACGATGTTACTTAATGCACAAGGTGGCCAGATGGTCTGTGACTTGTTTCATGACAATCCTTGGAGGCAGGAATCATTGCTCACATTATTATCCCACCGGCATATAATGCGGTGGGATATAGTCGCCGCCTCGTCCGTCTGTCCGTCCGTCCGTCCGTCCGTCTCGTAATCATTTTGTTTCCGGACCACAACTCAAAGACCGTTCGATATTTTTTAACCAAAATTGGTAGATATGTCAAAAAATAACCTAAGGTGGTGCCTTTTGCTATTTACAGATAATTGTCATTTTATTTTTCTCGGTTTCCATGGAAACATTTTGGACTTAGTCTTAAAGAAGGGTGGGCTTCGTTTCCGGAGCATAACTCAAGAACCGTTCAATATTTTTCAACAAAACTTGGTAGATGTATGAAACAGAACCTTAAGTGGTGCCTTTTGCTATTTGCCGATTTTGGCATTTTATTTTTCCCGGTTTCCATGGAAACGATTCGGACTTAGTCCCAAAAGTGAGGGGTGGGCTTCGTTTCCGGAGCATAACTCAAAGAACCGCTCTATATTTTTAAACAAAACTTGGTAGATGTATGAAACAGAACCTTAAGTGGTGCCTTTTGCTATTTTGCCGATTTTGGCATTTTTATTTTTCTTGGTTTCCATGGAAACATTTTGGACTTAGTCTCAAAAGTAAGGATTGCTTTCTGTTTCGGAGCACAACTCAAAACCGTGATAATATTTTTCAACAAAACTTGATAGATATATCAAACAGATCCTAAAGTTGTGCCTTTTGCTATTTTGCCGATTTTTGGCATTTTTATTTTTCCGGTTTCCATGGAAACGATTCGGACTTAATCCCAAAAGTGAGGGGTGGGCTTTTTCGGAGCACAACTCAAAAACCTCTCTATATCTTTCAGCAAAACTTGGCAGATATGTGTGAGGCAGATATTGAAGTGATGCCTTTTGCTATTTGCAGATATTTGTGATTTATTATTTTCTCGGTTTCCATGGAAATGATTCGAACTTAGTCTCAAAAAGGAAGGGATGGGTTTTGTTTCCGGAGCACAACGCGAAAACTTCTTAATATCTTTCAGCAAAACTTGGCAGATATGTGAGGCAGATCCCAAAGTGGTGCCTTTTGCTATTTGCAGATTTTTGTCATTTATTTTTTTCATGATTTCCATGGAAACGATTTGCACTTAGTCTAAAATCAAGCTGGACTTTAAGTAACTGTCAGATGATTTGTTCTTTCAAAGATGTGGGGGCCGGGGGGATATGTCATCTTCTGATGACTCTTGTTATTTTTCTCGGTTTCCATGGAAACGTTTTGGACTTAGTCTTAAAAGTGAAGGGTGGGCTTCGTTTCCGGAGCATAACTCAAGAACCGTTCAATATTTTTCAACAAAACTTGGTAGATATATCAAACAGATCCTAAAGTGGTGCCTTTTGCATTTCACAGATTTTGGCATTTTATTTTTCCGGTTTCCATGGAAACGATTCGGACTTAGTCCCAAAAGTGAGGGTGGGCTTCGCTTCCGAGCATAACTCAAGAACCGTTCAATATTTTTCAACAAAACTTAGTAGATGTATGAAACAGATCCTAAAGTGGTGCCTTTGCTATTTGCCGATTTTTGGCATTTTTATTTTTCCCGGTTTCCATGGAAACATTTTGAACTTAGTCTCAAAAAGTAAGGATTGCTTTCGTTTCCGGAGCATAACTCAAGAACCGTTCAATATTTTTCAACATAACTTGGTAGATATATCAAACAGATCCTAAAGTGGTGCCTTTTGCTATTTGCAGATTTTTGGCATTTTTATTTTTCCCCGGTTTCCATGGAAACGATTCCGGACTTAGTCCCAAAAAGTGAGGTGTGGGCTTCGTTTCCGAGCATAACTCAAGAACCGTTCAATATTTTTCAACAAAACTTGGTAGATGTATGAAACAGAACCTTAAGTGGTGCCTTTTGCTATTTGCCGATTTTTGGCATTTTTATTTTTCTTGGTTTCCATGGGAACATTTTGGACTTAGTCTCAAAAGTAAGGATTGCTTTTGTTTCGAGCACAACTCAAAACCTCTCTATATCTTTCAGCAAAACTTGGCAGATATGTGAGGCAGATATTGAAGTGATGCCTTTGCTATTTGCAGATATTTGTGATTTATTATTTTTCGGTTTCCATGGAAATGATTCGAACTTAGTCTCAAAAAGGAAGGGATGGGTTTTGTTTCCTCGAGCACAACGCGAAAACTTCTTAATATCTTTCAGCAAAACTTGGCAGATATGTGAGAGGCAGATCCCAAAGTGGTGCCTTTGCTATTTGCAGATTTTGTCATTTATTTTTGTCATGATTTCCATGGAAACGATTTGCACTTAGTCTAAAATCAAGCTGGACTTTAAGTAACTGTCAGATGATTTGTTCTTTCAAAGATGTGGGGGCCGGGGATATGTCATCTTCTGTTGACTCTTGTTAGTCACTTGACAATAACATTTGGTAAATGTGTTGTTAAAATCATCCTCCAGATGACGCTGTAGGTAGATCAGGGTAATTATACAGGTCTCTTGTTTCAGAGGAGTTGATGTACCAAGCACAAGACTTTGCCCAGATCACACCTTTGGAGCTGGACATTCTGTTCCAGCTAGTTGGTTTACATCATCAAACAGGGTACGTCATAATCTACTGTGTAGGTTAGGCATATTTATTCTTGTGAAGGGTTTGAATCCTTGATCTTTGACCATGAAATGAAAAGGATCACCTAAAATTTCTGCCCCTCATGGGGTCAAGAGTTTTGCTGTTAGATTGAGCTTATCTTCATGAACATTTGACCCGTGAAGATCCGGGTTACAATTGATCTTCAGTAACCCATGCTTGTCGAAAGAGGCTACTAATGGGATCGGGTGGTCAGGCTAATGCTGTTGATCACTGGATTGTCTGGTCCAGACTCAATTATTTACAGACCACTGCCATATAGCTGGAATATTGCTGAGTGCGACGTAAAACTCAACTGTGTATAGCACCCATCTTTACCAATGACAATAATAAAAAAAACCTTCTTTCCATCTTTATCCCAATTGCGTGAATCAATGTTCTTGCTGTTGATCACTGGATTGTCTGATTCAGGCTCGATTATTTACAGACTGCCACCATATAGCTGGAATATTGCTAAATGCTGCATTAAACAACAAACCAACCAAAAGCTTCTTTACGATTAATCTCCAAAAACCACAAGTTCATCTGTTCTAAATCGTCTGTTCCTTAGGAAGGTGAAGCTGTCGGACCTGGAGATGTTAAACCCAATGACAGGTTTCGAGAGTCCGTTCTCCATCCAGATGCAGATAGCAGAGGTATGGCGTCGCCCAACCGTCATGTCATTGTTTTAACCATAAGCCATGACTGGATTCTCAGCTAGAAAAGAGCACAATCCTCAAAAGCAGTCTTAGGGCTATTGTGGCCGTTGCTAAAGTAGTGGTGGTAGTTTCACCTAGAGCTGAGATAGTTATGAATAATTGAGCCCATTGCCACAGCACCCCATGCTTGTCATAAAAAGCCAGTGGGTGAGGATGGGGCAGTTACATTGGGTAACAACGCAGAGTGTGCGTCGTCCACATGGCTTGTTGCATGTGCCACCAAGATAAAACTGGATTGTATTCTTATTGAGATGAAAAATAACATTTGCACATGACAAAAATTTGCATGTGGAAAGTAGCCTCATGATCATTACAAAGTAGTGCTTTGAACATACATCATAGTAACAAATCTCTTCTGATAGCCCAGTAGTTTGCCAGGGGATTCCCCACCTTCAGTTCCGAGTATTTTCTCAAAATTCATGGTCTTCATCAGTTAAGGATCAGTCTAAAGTTGCCAGAATGAGGAAGTCATGTATGTATGTTTTTCAGGTTTGTTTTATGACACATTTCATGCAAATGTATAGAATAATGTTGTAAAAGTGTCCATTTTTGTCGACATTCTAATGTTGTGAGGAGAGCTACAGTACCAGGGTCCTCTATTTTCAGCAAAAACTGCGGCAGGAGCAGGGTACAGCTACAAGAACAGTCGCATCAGCAGTGATGGAAAGTGCCTACAGGTTCTTCCTGGGAGCCATCGCTGGAGGTGAGGCTGGCTAGTCTTGCTTTGGACCCATGAAGATCCGGGTTAGAATTGATCTTCAATAACCCATGCTTGTCGTAAGAGGTGACTAACGGGATCGGGTGGTCAGGCTCGCTGACTTGGTTGACAAGTGTCATCGTATCCCAATTTGAACGATGCTCAAGCTGTTGATTGTCTGGTCCAAAATTGATTATTTACAGACCGTCGCCACATAGCTGGAATATTGCTGAGTGTAGTGTTAACAACAAACCAACCAGCTCTGTTGCTTTGGGTTATGTTGGATTGAATATGTCTGTTGCAACCTTTCGGATATCATTTGCGGTGCTGTTAGATATAATAATTAAGTCAGACACCAAACTTGAACTTCCGGTTGTCCTGAAGTATATCACACACATTTGATAGTTGTAATCTAAGATGTGTTTTTCACCTATAGTCTGTTTGCGGTGAAAACGTACCAATGAATTTCACTTTAAACAAAAATGTAAATCAAATAAAGAGAAATTAAGATTGCGAAACCTCGTAATTTTACCTTGCCATTTCAAAATTTAAATCTTAGATTTTTATTCAACTTAGGATAAAAGTTGTTTAACAAACGATCATAGTTTCAAATCAGTATTATTGGTTTGTATTACAAGGGGGTATGCACATTAATGAAACACCAAGAACAAGGAGGGTTGGTCTAAGTTAATGCTCATCACGTACCAAGCACATGCATTTGTTTCACTGTTCCAACTACTGCGCTTTACCCCTTGTAATACAAAACCAATATAAGCGATTTGAAACAATGATCGCTTTGTTAAACAACTTATTTCCTAAGTTGAATAAAAATCTAAGATAAAATTTTTAAATTGGCAAGGTAGAATTATGAGGATTCGCAATCTTAATTTCACTGTATTCAATTTACATTTTTGTTTGAAGTGAAATTCACCAGTACGTTTTCACTGCAAACAGACTATAGACGTGTGTAAGAAATCATGTTATTATGACAGCAGTAACACATACTTTCCATAAAAGATAATAAAATGTGTGTAGTGGTCCCACATAGCCTTAGCAGATGTCGTGTTCTTTTCAAAGATGTGGGGGCCGGGATATGTCATACTTTCTGATGTCGTGCAGAAAAATGGCATTGATAAGCATTTGATGGTCATGCCAAAGAACCGGGTTCGATTCCCCACATTGGTACAATGTGTGGAGCCCATTTCTGGTGCCCTCCACCGTGATAATGATTGAATATTGCTAAATATGGATTATTACTAAACCCCTAACCATATACTGCTGCTTATCGCTGATGTATTGCTAAAAGCAGTTTAAAACCCAACAAAGAAGTTGAATATCCATAGAACTTGGTTCTCCTTCATCTTTACATCTTCTAAAATGCCTCTCAAAGAAGTTAAAACTTAACCCACTCAGACTATGTCTCTCCTTGCAGCTACGGGAGCTACTGCTGTTTATCCCATCGATCTGGTTAAGACCAGAATGCAGAATCAGAGGTCAGGGACGTTTGTGGGTGAGCTGATGTACAAGAACAGCTTCGACTGTGCCAAGAAGGTCATCCGGCACGAAGGTATTCTGGGTCTCTACAGAGGTCTCGCGCCTCAGCTTGTGGGTGTGGCTCCGGAGAAGGCCATCAAACTTACAGTGAGTTTGAAACATCATTTATGGTATCCCCTTTACCAGTTTCCAATGATCAAAATAATTTTTAAAATCTTGTAGTTAATGAATGATAACCCTTACCTGTGAAGATCTGGATTAGAATTGGTCTTCAGCAACCCATGCTTGTACTAATGGGTGGTCAGGCTCGCTCACTTGGTTGACACATTTTGTGTAGATCATTGCTCATTCTGTTGATCAGTGGATTGTCTGGTCCAGATTCAATTATTGACAGAGTGCAGTGTGAAGCAACAAACCAAAAGTAAATAGTTGTTTGATCGGCCGCCGGTATCCCCCCTTAAAATTCATTCTGGTCAAATCATATGACCTGAATATATATTCCTCATCTGATAAGGATGAGTTTTAGTATGTTTCTTTATTGGGTAAGACTTCCGCCTGTATCTGCCCTTAAATTTCTTTCTAGTAAAATCATATCGCCTGAATATATATTCTCATCTGATAAGGATGAGTTTTAACATGTTTCTTTAATTGTGTCTTAACATGCTGAAAGGCATATCAAACTTCTAAATATGTCACTCAAAGCAATTTTTCCTCATCATTAAAATCTAGGGGGGATACGGGTGGTAGTCTCACCGCATCGTCTACCTTAGTCAAACAGCATGTTCATCTCAAGTGATAACAAACCAAAAAGTATTTTATGGTAAAACATATATCACTCTATAAAACAAACCTGCATAATTAAAAGATACACCTTACCAGCAGAACATTATCTGTGATATCCTTACAAATATATACAATGAACAGTTATAATCATATAGGATTTCAAATGGCACAAACATTACATGTACCAACAAGTATACAACATGGCCGACAAAGATGGCAGCTGAGCAGGCACAAATGCTTGTGTGTTGCCTGACTTACCTGATGCCTATAAACATTATTTTACACTAATCTTAAAACACATTCATACTTTAACATCACACAATATTTTAACCTAAACAAGAATAATGTGTATAATATAACTATATTTAACAAATATTAGATCCTACATGCCATGTTTTATAATTAAGTTAGCTCACCTTAAACAGAGAGTAGTTGTAGATCAAAAGGAGAAATCAGACATCCGTCTAACTGTCACATCCATATGTTTAAGGTGCCTTCTTGTGCGGCTGTATGTGGTAGACTAAGATAAAATGTACTGATGTTAGTGGAGAAAAGTAGACAACATTAAACTGACCAATAAGAGATCAAGGAATAGCTTGCCCTTTGAGTGAGGAACAAAAGAACACCCTTCTCTCCCTCAATAGAGCCCAGGCTCAGCTTGGGCAATCAAGCTGGAGACAAATACCGTGGATACTCTTATAAAAACCTAATCCAATAAAACTACCACAACCAAACAGTTTAAAGATGATACCATATTTACACAAATAGATAAAATGTAAAAATATGAATTATGAAAAAGATCTTAGAAAATTCTACGCTTATGCACAATAGTCATGGTTCTGGAACGAGGTTCTTGTGGCATTTTCCAGGTCATTCTAATAATATTCTGTCTAATTCAGGCAAAGTTTAAACATAGCACACCACTACTTCTCTGAATCTATTGGTACAATGTGTGACTGTTGAAACACTGTTGCACAGAGTACAACACTACCTCATAACAATGTACACCTACAATCTTAGTGGATATAGCTTAAAGATTTCTGATGTGACACCAAGCAATAATCACTCGCCACTCACTCACTCTCCCACTCACACCAACATTCTTTGTTTATTGTAGATGAATGACTTAGTGCGAGACAAGTTGACAAAGTCCGACGGCAGCATTGAACTGTGGGCTGAGATGGTGGCAGGAGGATGTGTAAGTAGCATTAATGTGTCATAGCATGTACTGATCTTTCCTGCTTCCATTTATCAGTTACATTCCTCGTGAAGATCCGGGATAGAATTGGTCTTAAGCAACCCTTGCTTGTTGCTAGAGGCGACTAACAGCATCGGGTGGACAGGCTCGCTGACTTGGTTGACACATGACATCATCCCAATAGATTGATGCTCATGTTGTTGATCACTGGATTGTCTGGTCCAGACTCGTTTATTTACAGACCGCTGCCATATAGCTTGAATATTGCTGAGTGCCGCGTTAAACAACCAACCAACCATTTACATTACATTGTTTGCAAATAGAACACTGCCACTTTGCAGATTTGTTATACAGCTATATATATATGCTTCACGTTCAATGATCCTTACATCAGGATGGTTTTCTCCTATACTCTACTGACCCTTAATATCTAACACTCAATATAAGGATCATATCTTAGGATTACCACTTTCATGCTCAAAGTCTGTAAAACCAACAGATCCTGAAGGTGTGCTCTGTCAATGTTGTGGGATGTACCAACACTCACTTATGTTGCATATTGTTTTCAGGCTGGTGGGTCACAGGTCGTCTTCACAAATCCTCTGGAAATTGTCAAAATCCGTCTGCAAGTAGCTGGAGAAATTGTTGGCAGGTCAAAGGTCGGAGCAATTGGTGTCGTAAAGGAACTGGGCTTCTTTGGCCTCTACAAGGTAAGTTAGCATCAGGGGAGATAAGTCATAGAGAATCCTTGCGTCACCTCTCACTGACCTTGTAACTGATCCAATCTATAGGGGTTGTGTTGGGGTAGCCTAGTGGTTACAACATTCGCTTGTCACGCCAAAGACCCAGGTTCTATTCCCCACATGGGTACACAGTGTGAAGCCCATTTCTGGTGTCCCCTGCCAATATTGCTGGAATATTGCTAAAAGTGACGTAAAACCTCACTCACTCACTCACTCACTCACTCACTCACTCACTCACTCACTCACTCACTCACTCACTCACTCACTCACTCACTCACTCACTCACTCACTCACTCACTCACTCACTCACTCACAAGTGAAGCAGGCACATTTAGATGTGCCGTAATTTGGTGAGTATAGTAAGGATGACCAGCTATAGCTGTGCAGTATAAAACCCAACCCAAAAGTGATGAACTTGAAAATGTGGCATGATATCGATGATGTCTCGCATTTTTCCAAGTTTCCAAGATGGTTCTTCAAAGTAAAATCTATCCTGTTTCCAGGGAGCGAAGGCTTGCTTCCTCCGTGACATCCCATTCTCCGCCATCTACTTCTCGTGCACGCTACAACTCCCTGGCACACTAAGAAATTCTTCTGAGCTGGAAGAGGCTTAACTACGTTACAGATCCCCTGGCACACTGCTGTTGTCTGCCACCATTGCTGGTAAGTCAGGTCTTAACTGACGTTACAGATGATACCTTGTCAGACAATATGTAATGTATGATTGATTGCTATTGTCTCACATATGTACAGGTGTGCTTGTATGATTGATGCCTGCTGTTGTCTCACCTATGTACAGGTGTGCTTGTATGATTGATGCCTGCTGTTGTCTCACCTATGTACAGGTGTGCTTGTATGATTGATGCCTGCTGTTGTCTCACCTATGTACAGGTGTGCTTGTATGATTGATGCCTGCTGTTGGACATTGTGTATGTAGGTGTGCTGTAGGATGGATGTCTACTGTCAGTCAGTATGTAATGTGTGATTGATGCCAATTGTCAGACAATATGTAATGTGTGATTGATGCCAATTGTCAGACAATATGTAATGTATGATTATTCCTATTGTCTGACAATGTGTACAGGTGTGCTGTATGTTTGATGCCAGTTGTTGGACAATTGGTATGTACGTTTGGTTCCTATTGTCTGACAATGTGTACAGGTGTGCTGTATGTTTGATGCGAGTTGTTGGACAATTGGTATGTACGTTTGGTTCCTATTGTCTGACAATGTGTACAGGTGTGCTGTATGTTTGATGCCATTTGTTGGACAATTCGTAAGTACATTTGGTTCCTATTGTCTGACAATGTGTACAGGTGTGCTGTATGTTTGATGCCAGTTGTTGGACAATTGGTATGTACGTTTGGTTCCTATTGTCTGACAATGTGTACAGGTGTGCTGTATGTTTGATGCCAGTTGTTGGACAATTGGTATGTACGTTTGGTTCCTATTGTCTGACAATGTGTACAGGTGTGCTGTATGTTTGATGCCAGTTGTTGGACACTGGACACTATGTTTGATACCTGTTGTCAAGAAATGAGTACAAGTGTGCTGTTTAATGCTTTTCTGACTTGAAACTTGAATCTGGTCACACTTAGCCAATTAAAGGTCCTGAGATGTTTTTGCATAGGAGACAGGAATCTAGTTCTGTTGTGAATGCAGCTTGTGATAACTGCTGTGATGTTTCTGATGCCAGATGATCATGTACTGTATGATGCAGATGGCTGATGTTACTGTCTGTCCAAAGGTATGCCTGCTGCGTTTTTACCAACACCTGCTGATGTCATCAAGACACGCTCCAGGTGGCAGCACGGTCGGGCCAGACAACATACAACGGCGTCACAGACTGCACCCGCAAAATCTACTTGGAGGAGGGATGGGGGGCCTTCTGGAAGGGTGCACCAGGTATGGAAATTAGTTACTTGTTTATTCTTTGATTGTTCTTTCAGGGTTTCATGTCTTACCAGAATCTATGGATGTTGGCTAGGTGCCAGAATGTGATTCTTGGTTTTTCAGCACTTGTGATTGTTGGTATAAAAGAAATAAGTGCCTACAAGCTGTATCACTTACAAGGCTATAGATTGATACTGATGGTATCAATCACTGGAATGTCTGGTCCAGACTCGATTATTTGCTTACATAGCTTGAAAATTGCTGACTGCAGTTAAACAACAAACTGTAAGCAGTGGATATTAATATGAAATTTGCCCAAGTAATAATTAGTGTTGGGAATTGGTTAAAATCTCATAATTGATGATTGGTTCATTACCACCGATCAATCATCGAAAAAAATTGGTTAGCGTCATTTATAAAATTTGTTAATGCACATAAAAATAAGGAAAAAAACATGTAGTTCTTTTGGCAAAATTTCACATCTTTAAAGGATGACTAGTATGTTAGGAACATAAATTTCTTGGAATCTTTAAGATAAATTCAATCGTGACTGGAAACGAGCTTGTAGTGCTTACGAAATGTAACAGACAAAACCAACCATGTGAAAAATATTGTTAATGAAAACAAGTGTTCCAGAATTGTTTGTGTTCGATTATGAGAAATTGTGATCGATTGCTTGGTCGTTGCGTCACTACGACCAATCATCGATTATTTCAATTAATCGGACCACCACTAGTAATAATAACAAATAATGACATACCTAAGTATTGAATACCTTTTACATTTGACAAACTGACAATGGAGAGTCGGATCATTCCACTGTGCTTGCTTTGCTCCGTAGTGCCATATACACTGACATAATGGTGGGGAGGGTTGTATCCCATTACCCCTACATCCCAGTACCCCTACAATTAGTTAAAACAACACACGGCGTTAACCTGTCTGGCATAATGAACTTACCCATGGAAGCGATTAAAGTGTTGTGTATAGAAAATTTGTTTAGAAAACTAGTATCTTATACCCGCATTTTGCTCAGTTATCAAACACTGAACAAGCTACACTCCTCTTACAAACAGAAATATTTTTCCTTATCCTGACTCATGCTCTTTTTGCTTGTCTTCTTCTTCTTGCGAACATAGTGGAACACTTGTATCTCCCTAATTGAAGCTCCCTTCAATTTAAAATCACTAATTAGTATTCACCACGAGTTACCTCCTTTCCACAAGCGCGTGAACGAGGGCGCCACCTCTACCCATGTGCCTCACTCTCTCCTTCTTCGCCCAGTGAGCTGGACGTGAGAGCGCCTGTGTCTCCCGACACACTATATCCTTTGTTTTATATTTAGTTAGTTACCTCGTGATAGACATCTATAGAGGTTTAGCTAGTATCCTTCAACCATTATATATTGATATTTAGTCGCTTTTTTACAGTTTATTCAATGGACGCCGGTTTGTTTCAAGTGGATTACGTTGATGAAAATTCTGTACTATTGCAGATTACGCTTTTATGCTGCTGCTGATCCACCTTTAATATGATGTACGGCCATGTTTATTATATTCACACTGCAGTTGCGCGTACTAATTTATCCAATTCTACCTTTTATTAATATTTACTTTGGCGCTTGGCACGCGACAGCAGATAGGTCGCGCGATGCAGAGTCTAGTATGACTGATACACGGAACCCTCGCCAGTCTACTGCTGTTGGCCAACTCTCCCGTGGTGGTGTTCCGCTAGAGTGGTGGAGAGGTGTGGACGAGTCCGCCATCTCCAAGAAGCATCCTGCTTCCCCAGACATCCCATCGCCGCAGCAGAAGACTAGAGGGTTTTTCTACTACATCTCAACAACCCAGACCGCTCCCATCGGGTTTTGGGCCTGTATGATGATCAGCCGTCATCATACCGTTGTACATCAAAGATTGACCGATGTCGCACAGATCAGCATGCAGCCTGATGTACCAACGCGAGATATGATGATCGCCCTGAGGGTCCCATCATTACCAACACTCAACGCAGACGCCGCGACACCCAGGGCAGCGCCGACCTCTGAGGGAAAATCAACTAAGTCTACTAGGACTTTCAACCGAGATTGTTCCAACCGATGACCTGACCTCTACGATGATCAGCTGATCATCATCCCCGACGACGCCACAAGAAACGACCGGTGACAGCTACAACGACATCAGCAGAGATCACCATGCAGCCTGATGCCTCTACACTGATGTCGGACGATTTTCCGTGGACCCTCCATTAACACCGCAGATAAAGCAATCGACGCACCTCGCCGCAGACCATCCCAGAAGACATGATGCGACAAATTATGAACATCATGGAGGACCAATATCTGGCGTAGCAGGGTCCGAAGTTTCGCTGGAAGGCTCCAACGTGAGACAGCACCCCAGAGGCACCCCCGCCAACGAGCAGCCAGGACGATGTCACCTTCGCTAAGGAAGTCACGGACCACCTTGACGAAGCGACCTAGATGTACAGCCTTCGCTAAGGCCTTCGCTAAGGCGAAAGGACCTAGATGTACAGCCTTCGCTAAGGCGAAAGAACCTAGATGTACAGCCTTCGCGAAGGACTTCGCGAAGGCAGGATAGATCATCACCTTATGCGTTTCATCCCTAGATGTGGACTCGACCATCAGACATCACGGAAGCCTTCGCTGAAGGTCATATCGCTGCGTCTCCTCGACCGACGCAGAGGAAGCTTCTTCGCAAGGCATGCCTAAGGACACCTGAATCCAGATCATCATCATCTAGAAGGACATCGAGGGACTATACAAGAGCTTCACAAACTATCAACGCCCTCACAAGTCTCCAAGAAGATCAACCCATAGACAAGTTGATCATCGATATCAAGTATAAGAACTACAATCGTGATATTGGTTCTGTTGAATCCATGACGAGACGATGTTCGCTGGCCTAAATAGATCTAGAACGATCAATTAGACACTTATCACCAGACTTCGTGAAACACTCCACTTCTGAATATAAGATGATCCATGCCCTATTTTAGGCAAGCGCCACGATCCCACATCCTGTTAAACACAGAGGCTGTTCACGGCAAGCCATATATATATTTATATATATATATATATACTAATCGGCTTTTGATTCGACACCTTCGCGATGGTCGCTAAGGCTAAGTGGCTCCAAGTCTACTTCACCCAGAAGATCTAGAAGGGATACTTCGAGAACTTCGCTAAGTCTCCGGCGCTCACCGAGGAAGTCTCCTCCAAGGTTTCCATATACCAGCCACTCGCCATATATAGCTACTGCCAGTCCGTTTCAAGACGCCGCGATAAGTTGATTATCAACTGTATGCCAGATGCCGCCTATAAGCCTACGCTAAGATAATTGCTTAGGCTATTTACAACACAGAACGCCGCTGTATTATTAGTCAACGACATTTCATAGATCTTCACAGAAATCAACTATTCCGTGATAAATTGCTAATATACAATCTCGACGACGATACGATTATCTACATGCGACCATTACGCGATATCTGCAGACAATTCAATATCGAAATTGAACAGCAGCCTTGTTACAGCGAAAGTATAACTCTTAATCGCCAAAGTTTCTGAGAAGAAATATGTACAACAAGTTCAACGCTAATTCTACAATTATGACGATACATTCATGTATACAGTCTACAAGCTCACAACTTGCAAGTTGTTTATACCCTTATATATAAGGAAGTCGGAATTATATTCAAAACTGAAATTATTTTCACGACAACCAGGAAAATAACCTACCCAGCATAAAATTTACAGAGCGAGATATTTCATACCGGAGGTTTCGCTACGTTACCATTAACCCTCAAACACGCGGGTCACCGGATAACTTCGAAGCTACGGTGAAGACCGACGCTTATGCTAATATCAACGATTTTACAAGAATTTATTCAAGGTGGGTTTTTCCCCGCTACACCGTGACATCACAGCTGGTATTTATACAGAATCAAAATGCCTTGTTCTGATTGGACCGCTGAGGGACAACGACTCCACACAGAGGTCGCATCTCTGTTCACAGTTCAAGACTTACGCCACAAGTGACAACTATATATCAGTGAACGAAAGCAAGCCTCATTACAGTCCAGTTAACCTGAACATTCATGATTAGACTGCCTTTCTTCAGTTAGAGACCTCCCCTGTCAAGTTAAGACGAGGGATCGGCAGTCAGGCTGATTTTACATAAAGTTCAACGAGGACAGACACACCTGGTTGTGCACCTACATCGCCAAGGATTTCAAGAGCTTAATTACCTAGACGAAAGATACAAGTGGATCTAAATCCACAGCTTCAGACTACAGCTGAATTTCATCAAGTTTAATTAACACAACTAGATGGTTAGTAAACCTACTAAACTTCTGTTTGGAGAATAAAACGGAAATTTCACTTCAACCTGGGGATATGAATATAGTGTTCCAACACCTCACAAGTGAGGTTTATGAACACGCCTTGATGACATACTTGGACCCCATGATACGATGATTCTATCAAGATGGCCAGCAAGAGCACTGTAAATTTATCTCCACCAAACCAAACAGGAGGAAAAAAATGCAACAGATTATTTCCTCTATCATCAACTTACGCAGAGTGAAGTCTCATGTACTATATCTCCATTTGGATCAGAACTGTCATACTACGTGCATATGGATGGACCTATTCCGACCCTCCATGAGCTTAATACTCATGATATTATAGCTTAACTTCTAGAATTGTTCTACACAAATGTGATTGAAATAATGGAGGGTTTATTTCTGAACTGATATGGTGGTTGCAAACCATTATCTGAGAGATATCACCACCGAGGACGCCTCAGGTATACACCAATTGATCCCATGGTCCTCGACAACAGCTGACAGTTCTCGGAGAAGATAAGTCAATCTAACAGATTTTTACTTATCTTATAACAATACTAAATAGCTTCATGCTATATATAATTTACTTAAGTTCCTTTTATCATCACAGTACTATGATTATTACATCATACAATATATAAGTTAACAACTCTACAGAGTTTGTTATTATATATATTTACCTTAAGTTATTCATATCTTAAGAGTAATACTATGGTTACATGATAAATGCATTAGCTAACAAACTCTACAGAGTTTTTATTATTTTATACATAGCTTAAGTTAATTAAGCTAACAAACTCTAATGGAGTTTTACTATTATATAGGTAACTTAAGCTAATTATACCTTAAGCATAGTACTATACTCATATTATTAAAATATATTGGCCAACAAACTCTAAGGAGTTTTGCTATTATATAGGTAGCTTAAGCTTATTCATATCTTAAGCTTAGTACTATGTTTATATCATATAAGTAGATTAGCTAACAAACTCTAAAGAGTTTTTGCTATTTGGCTTAAGTATCATCATATTTCTAAGCAATATGGTTATATTATAACATGTATTAGCTAACAAACTCTACAGAGTTTTAGCTATTATATATGTAACTTAAGCTTATTCATATCTTAAGCTTAGTACTATGTTTATATCATATAGGTATATTAGCTATCAAAACTCTAAAAGAGGGTTTTGCTATTATATATTTCTGCTTTAAGTTTCATCATATTTTAAGCTTTATGGTTACATTATAACATGTATTAGCTAACAAACTCTACGGAGTTCTTGCTATTATATATGTAGCTTAAGTTTTCCTTCATAAGCTCAATACTAGGTTTATATCATAGCTAACAAACTCTAAAGGGTTGTTTTCGCTTATTATACAATTAGCTTAAGTTTTCATCATATCTTAAGCAGTATGTTTACATTATAAGCAGATTAGCTAACAAAACTCGACGGAGTTTTGTTATTATATATATATAGCTTAAGTTTCATCATAACTTAAGCTCAGTACTATGTTTTTAACATAAAAAGTATATTAGTTAATAAACTCTAAGGAGTTTATTTTGCTATATACATTTAGCTTAAGTCTAATCTTATCTTAAGCTTAGTACTATGGTTACACTATAAACATATTAGCTAATAAACTCTACAGAGTTTTTGGCTATTATATATGTAGCTTAAGTTAATAATATCTTAAGCACAATACTATACTCATATTGTAAAATATGTTAGCTAACAAACTCTACGGAGTTCTGCTATTATATATGTAGCTTAAGTTCATTATATCTTAAGCACACTACTATACTCATATTGTAAAATATATTAGCTAACAAACTCTACGGAGTTTTGCTATTATATATGTAGCTTAAGTTAATTATATCTTAAGCACACTACTATACTCATATTGTAAAAATATATTAGCTAACAAAACCCTACAGAGTTTTGCTATATATATGTAGCTTAAGTTAATTATATCTTAAGCTCAGTACTATACTAATATTATAATATATATTAGCTAACAAACTCTACAGAGTTTGGCTATTATATATGTAGCTTAAGTTAATTATAGCTTAAGCACAGTACTATACTCATATTATAAAAATATATATTAGCTAACAAACTCTACAGAGTTTGGCTATTATATATGTAGCTTAAGTTAATTATAGCTTAAGCACAGTACTATACTCATATTATAAAAATATATTAGCTAACAAACTCTACAGAGTTTTTGCTATTATATATATAGCTAAAGCTTATTCATATCTTAAGCTCAGCATTATATCTATATCATATAAGTATATTAACTAACAAACTCTAAAGAGTTTGCTATTATATAATTAGCTTAAGTTTAATCATATCTTAAGCTTAGTACTATGTTATATCTTAAAGTATTTTAGCTAACAAACTCTAAGGAGTTTATACTAGCATATTAACAAGCTTAAGTCTATTAGTCTTAAGCATTGTATTAATGTTATATATACTTTATCATAATAAGTACATGGTAATAACCTTTATATGGCAGCTGATAAGTTAGCAGCAGGAATTCATCAGTTCAGTGCCTTTATGAAGTTCCCATAGGGTTATTACAATCATCACAGTTCAAATCACTAATTATTAAAAATCCAAAGTATTAGTATTCCCACCTCCGCTCCAGAGGATGCTACAAGCAAAAAGAGATGAGTCAGGATAAGGAAAAATATGTAATTTTTGGAGTAAAATTGATATTTTATACTTATCCTGACTCATGAGGTCAGCCCTCCCATCCTCCCCAAATAACACTTTGGATTTCCTGTAAATTCAAAATGTTGGGCTCAGTATATGAGGAGAGAGTGAGGCACATGGGTAGAGGGTGGCTCTCGCTCCCGCTTGTGGAAAGGAGGTAACTCGTGGTGAATACTAATTAGTGATTTTAAATTGAAGGGAGCTTCAATTAGGGAGATACAAGTGTTCCACTATGTTCGCAAGAAGAAGAAGACAAGCAAAAGAGCATGAGTCAGGATAAGTATAAAATATCAATTTTACTCCAAAAAATTACATTGGCCATCTGGCCTGGTGTCTGTATTTTTCTATGTCTTTTTACCGTTGCCATTTTTTGACATGTAGGATGGGAGGATACCGTGGGGAGCCTTGTGGTTGAAGTATTTGATCGTCATGCCGAAGGCCCAGCTTCTATTTTATAGATGGGTGCAATGTGTGGAGCCTATTTCTGGTGTCTCCACCCTGATAGTGCCAGAATATTGAAAACAGTGGCACAAGACACAACTCACTCACTCAGTGTTAAACTGACATGTTAAAAGTTGCTGTGATATTGTTCAGTGGTACACTGGCCAGTTAAATGAAACAGAAAACCAGAAACTTTTCCATACGCCAGTCTTGTTTTGTGTTTCAGCCCGAGTGTTCCGGTCCTCACCCCAGTTTGGTGTGACACTGCTGACATATGAGCTGCTGCAACGTGTATTCTATATCGACTTTGGTGGAAGGTAACCTATAACCCTTCTATTTTTGAGTGGCATTTACAAAACTAGGAGCACATTGAGGTTCCGGGTTTAACTTAATACACAGAAAGTTATGCTGGTCTATAGATGCTGCTTCATGGATATGGTGGTCTTGATCTAGCGTCATCACTTACAGCATGTGTGACTGCTGATGACATCCATCACTGGATTGTGTGGTCCAGGGTCATTTAATTATAGAATTAGCTGGAATTTTGTTGATTGATATACAGACAGTCACACAGGCACGGCAGAGACAAAAGGAATATATATTTTGAGCCGTAGCTGTCAAGTCAATCAACTATTGATATCCCAGCATCAACTAATCCACTTATACTGTAGAGTGTTGTGTTAAACAACTAACAGCAGCCAACGTTATTATTGATTTGCAGTAACAGATGCCTTTCGAAAGAGGCGACTAAAGGCATAGGTATTGGGTTATCAAGCTTCCTAACTTGGTTGACGCTTGTCATCGTATTCCAACTGTTTAGGGGGGCAGTGGGGTAGCCTAGTGGTTAAAGCGTTGGCTCATCAAGCCGAAGACCCGGGTTGGGTACAATGTGTGAAGCCCATTTCTGGTGTCCCCTGCCGTGATGTTGCTGGAATATTGCTAAAAGCGGCGTAAAACCAAACTCAGTCGGTCCAACTGTTTAAGTCAATGATCTTGATATCAATGACTGAATAATCTGATCCCCTTTTTTCGGTATTTATTCAATGTCAGGGTCGGTAGGGTAGTGGTTAAAGCGTTCTCTCGTCACACTGAAGACCCGGGTTTGATTCCCCACATGGGTACAATGTGTAAAGCCCATTTCTGGTGTCCCCTGCCATGGTATTGCTGGAATATTGCTAAAAGCGGCTTCAAACTAAACTCACTCACTCACTATTCGATTGTCATGAGAGAGCTGGAATATTGCAGAAAGTTGTGTCACACAACGAACAGCAGCTAATGCTAACCTGTCTTTGTTTCAGGCGTCCTGAGGGCTCAGAAGCCAAGTCTGTACACTTAGAGGAATTAATGTCTCGTAACCCAGACCACATAGGAGGGTACCGCCTGGCTCATGCTACCTTCCAGGGAATCGAGTCACAGTTCGGACTTTGTTTGCCCAAATTTCGCACCACAGCTACAGAATGAGTGGTGACGGTTCGTTATGATAAGGAAAACATGTATGTGCCCTGGTTGCCAGTTTGCAGTTGAGTGACAAGAAATAACGGTAGTTGTGTGTGATGGCCTCAAATGTCCACCGAGAGTTAGATCCCCATCTCATGTCACAAGTCATCAAAACGCGCCAACATTTCCCGAGAGGTACAGACACTGAGTGAAGTCTATCTATACTGAATCTGTGATAATTGTCTTGCCTTTCAACCTTGAATATGCTCGCAGAGCGCCTCTGTCACTGGATTGAGTAGTATTGGGGGAAACATGCAGGGTATGGGGGCGTAGAAGAGAACTGAGATCAGGTCTGTGAACCAGCTCCGAACATGACCGCAGCCAACTTTCACATTTCAGTATCTGTGGTATTTTGTGCCATCATCAGCTCCTGACAAGGCCAGATTCTCTTGTTCATGTAGCAAGCATGAAAATCAGCTCCTCACATTGCCAGTTGGCTGCAACACAATCTCTAACACAGTGCCAGGTAGTTTCAAAAGCTCCTAACAGCGCAAAGTAGTTAATGCAAAACGGTGCCATCTACTTGCAAATGAAAATCTCTTAAACAACGAGGTGGTTGCAACACAAACTCTACAAGGGCTATCTCAAATCAACACAAGCTCCTAACAGTGCCAGCGACTGCTGCAACACAAGTGCCTGAGTACGACTGCCAACGTGTCTCCAGCAGAAGTTCCTTACACTGAGCTGGCATCAATATCCAAATACTACGCAGAGCTCTGCAGAGCCAACCAGTTCAGACTGTTCTGCACCAGCTTTTGACAGTGTCAGGAATGAGGAGACTGATTGTTAGGTATCTTGTCTTCCCAGAATCATTAAAGCATCTTCTGTCACAGATCACATGTGACAGTGTCAGTTCTCAGAGTATAGTACAGAATACTGACTGGGATATGAGTGTAGAGCATGGTGCATGGCTGCTTGGTTGAGACCAGTGAAAAACTCCCTTCTTGCAGGATTCTCCAGTGTAGTTGCATTGTATCAACATCTTCGATGGATAAACTCTGGCGATGTGGAAACTATCCGCTACAGAGTCTCTCTAATGGCAGTTATTTATGATGTCAACATCATGGTTACAGGTTGTTTGGAATGTGTTCAAGCTCATTCATTGTTACATGTTGCGGATGTTCAGTGAGATCCTTTTTGGATAAACACATATATACGTTAAGTTTCTTATTGCTAAATATTTTTGTTACGCAACATGAGTATTTATTACTGTACAGTCAGAAAACTGGCTTTGTTTGAACAGGGTAATCCAGTGTGAGACGTTTCCGAGCATTGACTGTGAGAAGTATTAGCTGTAGAACTCCTTGAAATACAACAAATTGAAAAAGAATGGTAAGACTTCTACCCGTATTCCCCATAAATTTTAACGATGACGGAAAAGATGTATATATATATATATTCAGGTAATATGATTTGACTAGAAGCCATAAACTAAGTTTAAAAATGACATTGTGCATACAGACATTAAATAAGGGTCAGGATAGGGTTAGGGTCAGGATAGGGTTAGGGTAAGTGTGAGGATAGGGTAAGGGTCAGGATAGGGTTAAGGTAAGGGTTAGGATAGGGTTAATGGGGATACGGGCGGAAGTCTTTCCAAAAGAGTATGGTATCAGTTTCTGAAATGATCAACATAAATGATAACATATCTAGAACGATAGCATGCATATATATATAACATATGTGTATCTCTTTAAACGTGATGAGAAGAAATGATAATTTTAACACTGCTTTATGAATAGTTTAGCATGAAAGGCAGGACTGTATTGATTAAAGTTGTGTTAGATTTATGTAAGTTTTGGTTCACCGGTGTGCATGAGATCGAAAGTTTGTTACTGTATCAGTAGTTGTTATCAATTACAATCTTCTCACGGTGGCCCATAGCATCCTTCAGCTGTATCAGGATCCCTGGTTATAGGGGAAAACCTGGGTTCATGCAACCTGGTACGTTTATTCTGAACAGTGCCTAAGATTAGGGTTTTGTCGCAGTAGGAACAGGTTACAACCTGTGTGACTTAGACCTCAATACCTGGACCCGTTATGATCATGTGAACAATTAGGCAATGTAATATCTTATTCTATATTATGACTAAAAGGTTGTATCGCCTTTGAAGATTTAGACATAATTACAGTCACTTCTTTTGAATATAATACATGATTAAGATATTGAAAAACTCAAAATTGTAGCCTCAGAGCTGAAGAATAAATCGCCATTTCTTACAAATTTGATGTCAGGAATTAACATAACGGGTATCCGGGTAGGGTAGGGTAATAGGGGGTGGGGTACCCGGGAAGAAAATATGGAACCATCCCAGCCCTATACAATACCTCTGTTTTTATAGCTTGTTCAACTGTTTATTCAGTATTGGTGACGTATGGCATAATACTAACAGAACTCCCAGTGAAAGTCATTGTGATGATCGTTACCTTATATTCCTGGGTACTTTAATGTATACACTTTAGTACCAGGCAAGTAGTATACACAATGTGATGGACCTGAATATATTGTTCCCTTTCTCAAGTGTATGAAATAAGACAAAAACCCAGCCAGACATCAGGGCTGGTAACTTATAAATGTTACCAGCCCCACGTGGATTTAACCTGAACAGACACCAAGATATGGTGAATTTACTCAGATGTATGGAACATCTAAAAAATATTACCAGACCATCAGGCTGGCTTGCTGTAAATTTAGACCATCCATCAGAAATCTAGCCTGTTTCGGGCGGCTGGACAGGCCTTATTTCATACTCTGCTTTCTCCAACTAAACAATTATGGTACTTTGTGACAGTCCCTAATGATTGTCTACCTTTAAATAGACCTAATCTCCTGGAAAAGGTAAGATCTTGGAAGAAGTTGACCACCATGGCACTGTAGCCATATGTACACTTAGTGTGCTTTCAACAGCAGTATGGTGGTCCCCGATGAGTGATGGCGCCATGATATAGTCATTTGCCTTTTACAGAAGGTAACGTGTGTGACCGCCTTATCTAAAGGTTAAGCTTTCATCAAACGGTTTTTTCTGGTGGTAAGACATTGTATCGCTTCGTCTGAAAGAACGAGAAAATGAATTTGTCAGTGAAGGTGTCAAATGTGTAATTAAGCATCATTAGACAAGATTATTTACCTTTTCAGTTCAAATCTGATTTTGCTAGACATTGTGTTATATGAAGGGAATTGTATACTTTCTGTAGGTATAACAGAATCCTTTTCTTGTGATTCTTGTCAGAACCAGTCCTGTGCTCATAGGTGTTAACGGTGTAGTAAGTATTGGCAGTGTTGGACTGGACTGGTGGTGGAAAGACCTGGCGTTCGTAGCGTTACGACCTGTCGTAACTCTATAATTTATCATAGGCTTGCCAATGTTGTAGCGCTACTAATGCTTTGTAGATCGGGACCCTGAGTACTAACTGGCGTCAGAACTGATGTCAGACATTTAATCTCAATTCAGAATGCTGTCAGTTTGAAAACAAATCAGGTTGCAAATTGTTGGACCTCTGTTTTACCAGATTGTCGATTGTTTCATTATGCCATTTAGATAGGGAGCCCTGTTTTTGTTAATTGACAGCTTACTGAAGCGTTACGATCGATGTCTCCTTTCACTCTGTTGATGTCAGGCCAGGCACATGAACATCTTTGGTTCCCAGATCCTACCACGAATATCTCTGTGTTATACAGTATTCTCTATTATCATGGTAACCAAGATTAGCCAATCAGAAAGGAAGGGCCAGAAATCAAAGATCAAAAAAGGTGTTTAGTTTGGGTTATCCAGTCATCTGAATATCGGGTTTTCCTAATGCTTTAAAGCTTTTTGAAGGCCAAAAGTCTTGCTTGGTGATATGGTTGATGTATCTGTGAGCTTGTCTTGCCTTGAAGCACATCATACAGTTAGTCATTGTTGCTGCTTTAAATTCCTCAGTCATGCAACGAATCAAGTCAGTCCCAGGGCATGATGTTACTGTTGCTGTGACAACCAATGTTTCCCATAATTCCTCAGGGCCATTCGCGATGGTATGTGTTGTACCGCATGTACACTGTCAAACATTTTGTACATTAGATGCCATGCTATGTTGTCCCACATCCTTCCAGTGTAAATGTTGAAAGTTCTAGATGGGATAGGGATGGATTATCTCCCCTGCTTCACACAAACTGGTACACCAGGTGGCAATAGTTAAGTATGTCAACTGCTCAAAACTACACAAGATTAAATGCTACCAGTGAGGGAAACTGTTAAATCTGAAGGTAATATTTTTGTGCATAATATTTATATATGAACTAAACCACTGGTTGTTAGGTCTGTTGTTAATAGTTGTTTTCCAGTATATTCGGTTGCAGCTGTAATATTTATTTAGTTCTCAAGACGTTACATGAAGGTTCAGCTCCTTCGTGATTGTTTTGTTATCAATGTCTGTGCAGAAGTAGTGGTGTCATGATTCAGATAGGCAGCTTCATTTGTTTATTTTTTTAATTTTGAACAGTTTTTCAATGTGTCACAAGGAAAATGGATGCCTAAAGTTTGTGTTAGTTGTACCAGGGCATATTTTACAATGAATAGTAAGTGTTTTCTTATGTCCTTTTGTCATTGGATCATGATAGCAGTGATTTTCTTATATATAAAATTGGCAAATAAATGTCACAATATTCTCTGTAAATTTGCATGTTTGGTTGTGATCTAACGCCTGTCTTAATTCTTTGTTTATGTTTCTATGGATATGTGGGTGTTGTGGCCTGTTTGGCTATTGTCCATTATTCTGCTTAATTTGACCATGATTTAACGTTTGTCCTGATATTTCAATATGGCTTCTCAAACTGCCATATTGGGAAAGCTAATTATAGGCGATATTTTTGTTTAAAACGGAATTCTATTTTTTACATATGGAGATATATGTAGTGTTATTACTTAACCTTTTTGCAGCATTTTTATTTTGACCTAGTTTTGAAATGCTCACTCTTACACTGAGCATGCTGAACTTGGCATGATTCTCTCAAGGAAATATTTTGTTCAAATCATTAGCTTCTTATCATTGTTATCTGGCATCGTTAATTCTGCAGAAAATCTTTGTCTATCAAAACTGACAACATTTCTCTTTCAAAAATGAAACATACAACTTTATGGATGACAAGTTTTTATTTATTGCATAGAGCAACATTTCGATGTAGCTTGATAACGATGTAAGAATCTACATCGAAACGTCGTCCTATGCAATAAATAAGAAGTTGTCATCCATAAAGTTGTGTGTTTCATTTTTGAGTCACCAACTTCTAGAATGAACATCAAACAAGTCTGGAGTATTTGTGGTCTCCATAGATACGTGAGCTGTGGCATTGTTGCAATTTTTAATCAAAACCTTTGCAAAATTAAGGGACAGTGTGTATGTGTAGTACATTAATAATTGATGTGGCAGAAATATGGAACAGGGACGATGATTAGTTGAATCATGACACTGCTACAAGACAGGTACGGTAACAGGATAATCGCTGAAAAAGGATAATTTCGTCTATGCACAAAGTGTTGTTGCTTCATGTAAACTAGTGGTTGTGTGGTTGTTTTTTCACAGAGTATTCATGGTTTAATGGTGAAGTGTCAGTGGTTCACAGGGGTTGAAACAACTTTAAAATTGCTAGCGTACTCCAGTACAGTGGCACATGTAAAATCACTTGCCCTGATAATTCGTCCACTATACCGACCAATTGTTTTGATTTTTTAAATAAACAACATAATTAACATTGGAAAGTCAACTGGACACCGGTACAGCTTGATATACAAATTTGCTTGCCCGACGGAAAAAAACACTGGACTGGGACGTCAGGCAATGGGTAATTTTCACCCCTGGGTTCAGTTGTTATTGTATATTGGAATAACTGCAATTATATCGCAAGAGTCCGGAGGATAGTTTTTAAGAGTGTCTCCTTTGGAATGTATTTTCTGATATGTGTTAAGAAGCATATTTGTAAATTATGCCTATATTTCCAGTTTGATGTGGCTTGTTAGGATAAATCTGTGAAATGTCCAATCATTTTGCATAACAGTACATACCAATGGACTTTCATGTTGTAGGGCCGTGCTGTAGGTTGCTGTAGAATACAAGTAAGGAACCAAGAGGTGTGCAAGAGATGTTTCTTGACATACTCATCATTTGATGTGCATTTTTGTAGAAATAATGGAGTTTTTTAAATTCCTGTTCAGTGATAAGAACATTAATTGCAGTGTTTTGATGGTACTACATAGCTGATTTTAAGAGGGCCTTTTTTTGTGGGTGGGGGTGTAAAACAGGTTTTTCTTTAATACACAATTAAGATACTTTCTGTGATAGTGTTTGATATAGATGGATAGGTTCAGACAGACTTTACATCATAATGTCTAGATATTAGTGTCGTATGAAAGAACCTTGGTCGAAAGTCATCAACCAATATTAGCGATTTGAAACTGATCGTTTGTTTAACAACTTTTATCCTAAGTTGAATAGAATTAATTTTAAATGTTCATTTGGCAAGGTAAAATTAGGAGGATTCGCAGTCTTAATTTCACTTTATTTGATTTACCTTTTTAATGAAATTCATCGGTACATTTTCCCTGTAAACAGACTATAGTTTGAATTGAAGTTCCACAACTGGCAGTTCTGGAATGGCTCTCATCAGAATAATGTATACAAGCATGGTAGCATTTAATTGACAGCCAAAGGCTGCAAGAATATTTTATTGAAACAACAATTCTCAAGTTACTAACATTTTGCTAAGTACTTAAAGTGTGTTTGAACTTAAATGGTTAGCAATGTAGAAAGAGGGATTCCTGTTAAGGCCCAGTTTATACTGATGTCTAAATGGTTCGTGGGTGTCAGACTGTTAAGGTATTGTTTGAGTTTGGAATGCAAGTATATTTCATGGAACATTGACAAGTATTGTTTGAGAATACTCACCTGTCCATTGCTGTTGTTTTTACCCAAGTGTATTGTGTTGTTGTGTTATGGTAGTGTGTCCGTTGTTTTACAAATGTGTGCATATTTATAGAACATCTGTTTGCTTGTATGTAGTCCAGTGATTATTTGCTCTGCTGCCCAGCAACCAATTGTGTAACCAAGGTAACAGCATTCTAGTCTACAGACCCATTTTGCAGATGTAGACAGGGTATATGGAAAAGGAAGTTCTGTCTGTTTTGCCAATATCATACAGTTTCTGTAGACAGCCTGCTGTATGTGTGCTGAGTATTAACCAGTGACTATATTTGTGACAGTTTTGAATATATTTTTGACATACTAACATGGGTGGACACACATCTACATATCTTTGACATGAGGATGACTTTTCAAGGTCAGTGAGACAAATAAGGAAACATCTTTTTCTTTCTGAACTTCCTACTGATCTCTTTGACCTAGGGCAGGAGTTTCGAAGTAGTGCAGAGAGCTAGAACCCTATGATCATGGGTTTGAATCCTGGTATCTAGGTTCGTCAGTGGGGGCTGTGGGGTAGCCTAGTGGTTAAAGTGTTCGCTTGTCACGCCGAAGACCTGGGTTCGATTCCTCACATGGGTACAATGTGGGAAGCCCATTTCTGGTGTCCCCGCCCTTATATTGCTGGAATATTGCTAAGAGCGGCATAAAACCTGACTAACTCGCTCACTCACAAGGTTCGTCAGCCCAGTATTGTGCTCATGGGTTTCAAGAACTGTAAATGTAAAGACCTTACTTCAGGTCCGTCAGGTCTGTGATCGAACAGAAAAATTGTGCAAAGCAAAGTTAAACTAAACTCGCTCACAATTTTTGTGATATTTTCCTGGAAGGGACAAAACTTTACTTCAGGGTTATGTGGGATTTGAGTCCCTCAAACACAATTTTATTTCTTTCCATCTCCAATTGTTTCTTGTCTAATAGTTTATGATCACCTTATTACATCCGAAACAATGTCTCTGGTTCTCAGATGACACTAATGACTTCTAGACCTAGACCTAACCATTGAGCTTTGCAGCCTGCAAAATTAATGTCAGCCCATGAGTACTAAATTGTGATTATGACAAGTAAAATCCATTGATGGTAGTAGTACTTGTAGCTGTTAAGGATCATCATAATCATCATAACTCTCTAATTTTTACGCATTTGGAACCAAATGAAACTGACAGAAAGCATAAACAAAGAAAGCCCTTATTTTTTTTACAAGCTTGACAAAGCAAAATTCTCAAAGGGCTATTAAAGAAAGCTTTACTCTGGACTAGTCCTAACAGTGATGAATTTCTAAGGTTGCAAGTACATCAGTTGGTTATTTTCCTACCTGGTGATCTTTGCTATTTACTTCCATACTTGATCTCATACTTACTGAGTGGACACTGAACTCTATATATTGTAACATATCAAGTGCCTGGTATGTCCGGTGATATGGCTGTGAAAATGATTTTTAATCTCAATTTGGTTTTCAACAGGAAAACCACAAAACAATGCATACTTGTCTCAAGTGTACATCCTCAACAATGCTGAACTATCATTGTGAACATGATTTGAAGTACAATTTACACTTTCTATTTTTGTGTGTATATCATTAAGATTTTGCTTCTTGTTGCTTGCTGTCAAACCTTTAAAACATTCAGGACAGGTCTGTGATCCACACAAAACTGCATCACACAGTTGGGGACAGACTGGCAGCCAGTTGAGGAATAACCATTTATTATGGATAATGTGTGGGAGCGGGTGTTATAAGGAGTTGGTATAAACATTCAAATTGGATTATGGTGCCCTTTTTCTTGATAAATGGTCATTCCTCCAATTTGAAACTGACACCTCTGGGGTCCTTAACTTTGCTAACCTCATTTGTGCTTATGACTACCAAGGGGGACAACTCTTACTATTTCTATCATCATTTTATCGGTTATTTTGCAACTGGATAACAATACTACAGAGACTTAAGGAATTTTTTATATTTTACCCATTTTAACCATGTGTACCTGATTTGATAAATTAATTGAAATCAAGTGAGATACATATTTTAATCTTGTTAAAATTTTGTTGCTTGATATGAAGACGTATGCATAAGTAATCACTGAAATACATTTGAAATAATGTATTAAGAATTGCCTTGATCACACTTCATGTTGAAGAGGGAGTTGTGGTACAGGCTGCTTCTTTCCTCTTGATATGTAGATTGTACATAGAATTTGTTTTAATAAACAACCAAACACAACATCAGATATGTTTGATTATTTCCGTCATGTTCGATATGGACATTCTTAATGAGATGCCGAATAAGGCTAGGCGGTAAGTAAGCCTAGTGGTGGTTAAAGCGGTCAGCTCGCTGGTCACGCACTTGGGATTTGGTAGATTTTCCGATTTGGTCGCCTGGTGATTCGATTCATCCCACATGGGTACGAATCAATGTGTGAAGCCCATTTCTGGTGTTCCCCGCCGTGATATTGCAGGAATATTGCTAAAAGCGGCATAAAACCATACTCTCTCTCTCTCAAATTCCTGGTATCTCCATCCATATGTCTACAAGCCGAGATGGATTCCAAGGGACTCCACCAACGACATCAGTGCTTACAGACGAGGTCATCGGGTTAGATGTTCTGATCTGAAACGATTTGCCACGATCGTCGACCGATCTGTTGATACGGTTACAACATTCACAAAGCCCCTTTCCACAAGGCTCCTTTCAACATTCACAAGCCCCCGGAGACAAGCGAGGATATTGTTTACCATTACAAGACATTAGGTGACTATATTCTACAAATATGGCCTCAAATGCAGAGGCACTACGCTATCTCCTCTTGTCTCTAAAGCGTGCCTCAAACCTGTGATAGTCAGTTGGAGGTGAGGTGAGGTGAGATTGGGTTTAACGTCGTGCTTGAGAATATTTCGCTCATATGACAACGTGCATGCGTGTGCGTGTGTGTGTGTGTGCGGCTGCTTGTACTAGCCCAGACTTCAGCTCGTTTTATAGTGCTAGCCCACTGAGATACCATGCCGCAGTGAAGCATGAATACCCCACTCAGACACATTATACTGACTCCGAGCCGACCAGTCCTTGTACCCATTAATGCCGAGCGCCAGGCAGGGACCAACAAGTACCATATTTTAACGTCTTTTGGTATGACGCGGTCGGGGATCGAACCCGCGACCTTCCGCTCTCGGTAGTCTGTTGGAATCGCGGTTAGCCCTGAAAATGTTTTTAGTTTTGACACCATCACACCCAAGCTTCATATATTTGCATTTTTCGGACTCGTGGGGAATATATTGATAATTGATAATCAAATACAAACACATATCTGCAAAGTGTTCCTTGGTCATAAGACTTCATTTTTTAGAGTGCACTGACATCTGTCGCCTCCATCGTGTTTTGTCACTGCTAGAAGCTCCGTAAATTTCGCAATACCCCTCGTAAAGGAAATTGTAGGTTTCTAAGTGTTTCATGAGCTGCTGATGTAACCGGTATCTAAGTGTTTAATGAGCTGCTGATGTAACAGGTATCATAGATAACAGAATACAGATAACAATCTACGTTTTTCACGAACAAAAATACCTACATTGGTCAAAAATTACCCCGAGTTCGGTCACGTGATCATGACGCGGTCACATGATCATGACGCAAGAAACTGTGATGACGCCTTATGACTCTTGTTCATCTTTCAGTTGTAAAACCCAGTTCTTCAAGGCCTGCAACAAAGAACGAAACATAATGTATCTATTATTGATACGTCAATATATAATCAAATACACATATTTTCATGTTAGCACTGGCAGGATTACATATTTCTCACAAATAGGCGAATTGTTCAATGCTAATAACAGACGCATCTTCACTACCATCTATTTCCTTTGTTATAAGGAACCGCCTTCGTGGTGTAGTGGTTAGAGCGTCCGCCCGGAGAGCGGAAGGTTGCGGGTTCGATCCCCGGCCGCGTCATACCAAAAGACGTTAAAATATGGTACTTGTTGGTCCCTGCCTGGCGCTCGGCATTAATGGGTACAAGGACTGGTCCGCTCGGAGTCAGTATAATGTGTCTGAGTGGGGTATTCATGCTTCACTGCGGCATGGTATCTCAGTGGGCTAGCACTATAAAACCAGCTTAAGTCTGGGCTAGTACAAGCAGCCGCACATACACATACACACGCATGCACGTCGTCATATGAGCGAAATATTCTCAAGCACGACGTTAAACCCAATTTCACCTCACCTCACCTTTGTTATAAGGTTAAAAGTTGGAGCTAGCGCCCACTTCAGAACACCATACATCGCTGCATTAGCGAGCATGGCGCCATTTTGCGTTTGAACGGGAATCCTCTTTCAATGAGTTTGGGTTGTTTGGTTCGTTTGTTTTTTAACGCCGCTCTCAGCAATATTCTAGCTATATGACTGCGGCCTGTAAATAATCGAGTCTGGACCAGACAATCCCGATGATCAACAGCATGATCATCGATCAGCGTAATTGGGATCGTTAAGCAACAAAAAAACAAAACTTGGGTCAGTTGTTCCATACACTGGAACCGACACTTCTCGCTTCCTTCTCTTACCATTATTCCATCGTAAACAGGGGTACAGAATTCTTGGACAAATGTCTCTGGTAGAGGTTCATCTAACCCTAGCTTTCTGCTGTTGGCGAGGGCGCCTTTGCCCTCGAAGTTGACGTAGCATAACCTGGTCGTCAGTTCCGTAAGCGGGCGGAGGTAAGCGGGACCACTCGCCATCAGCTGTAAAAGCGTGGTCAGATTCAGATTGTGATCTTCAAGACGACACAATAAAGAGCCTACGAAAATACATACAAAATTAACGCAGTGCAAATAGTAACTTCTAAGATGCAACTGAGAAGACTTCTAACTAAAGTAAGAAAATGTATTCGGATATCAGTCCTTCAATAATGTGATCATCTTATTCAGTTCTGCTGCTAAAGAGTCGCTAGCATTCACTGAAATACATTACATCAGCGATAAGCGAGACAATTTCCACAGAAACGATTGCAGTCAGATATATTCAGATTGTTTTCGTTGCAACAATTTCACATGAATTCATTAAGTCAGAAACCTCTACAATGTTTTCGTCTACTTAAGATCATTAAACTCATAATACTTCTACCTCACAGGTAGCCTAGTGGTTAAAGCGTTGGCTCGTCACGCCGAAGACCCGGGTTCGAATCCCTACATGGGTACAATGTGTGAAGCCAATTTCTGGTGTCCCCCCGCCCTGATGTTGCTGGAATATTGCTAAAAGCGGCGTAAAACCAAACTCAGTCAGTCAGTCTACTCACAGGACTTATGCAATACACATGGAAGCACACATGCACTGACCGCTACGGATGCCTCCTTCAATAGTGCATCACACATCTCCTGACACGTGGTGAGGCCGCGCAATTTCAAGGCCGCTCTTATGACCTCGAAATCTGGAAAGACGTAGTAGCCAGCCTTCGGAGTCACCATCTTCACCCCAACCGACCTCAGCTCTCTGCAGCATCGAAACGTTCAGATACACAGCTAAAAGTAGAGTGTGCCCAGCTCATGTACTCTATTCCTATAAACATACCACTGCAGTACGTGTTTCAGCTGATTTTTATATGAAGGCAAAATACTTCGGCCACTGTCCACAGTTAAACTCACAGGTACTTCAGCCTTTGTATTTACACAACAGGGTTTTACACAGACTTTTAAAAATGGGAGTCGTGGTGACTTACAATATTTATTTTTTGGGAGTCATTTTCAATATTTGGGAGTCATGAAATTTTAATATTTCTTTATGTAAATCATTCTCAGTATGTAACTGAAACTACAGCATTGTTCAATTCAAACAGCCAGGATTACTGTCTCCTCTGAGTACTCTGGAACAATCTGCCAGCTCTGTAAAAGTCAAACTATCATCGAACAATATCTTTTTTGTCTTATCAAATCGATTTTATTGAACTGAATAGTGAGGGCCACCCATAAAACTTGCGTCAAGCTTGACTCGTATGATACTATTTTGAGAGTCATTTACAAAATTGTTGCGTCAAATACGCAGGAATCACGCGTCATGTAAAACCCTGACACAATCATCAGCATACATATAAGTCAACCGGTAAATAATCGATTCTGGACTGGATGCTATCAACGTCTTACTCCTGACCGAACCCCATCACAATTCATTTAATCGCCCCTATCGACAAGGCTTGGTTACTTGGGATCTTTTACATCCCGGAAGTGAACCCGCGCATGTGCACAGAGTCCGACGCTCATGATATTATATCAGTTTTACATTACACTGGAGATCATTGTTTGTTTGGTCGAGATGACCCGGAGAAGTCCGTGTCATCGGGTAGATCGTATTGGTTTACCATGCCTGTATGATCCTGGTTTTGAAGGCAGTGACACGAGTCGAGGTATTCTCAGACATGTTCCAATGTGAATGTTGTTGAACATAGAGATTCTTTTTTCTGGGTTACATCTTCTTTTTATTCTTGAGTACAACGTTTCAGGGCTTGTTTTGGCCCCATCATCAGGTTAAACCCTCAGCCCCATCATCAGGTAAAACTGGGATTTACCTGATGATGGGCCAGAACAAGCCCTGAAACGTTGTACCCAAGAATAAAAAGAAGATGTAACCCAGAAAAATCTCTATGTTCATCAAATATCATCTTCTAAAATGCCAATCAAGCACGTGAATGTTGTTGGTAATGAAACACAATCCTGAAATCATGTGCTACTGTTAATGCACCACTTATTTAAACACAATACTGACGTCACGTGCGTGCATGATAAAGGTACTTTAACTCAATCTGGTCACGGTCACATGTCTGTACACGCACCTGCAGCAGAAGGAGGACACGGCCACCATGATCCGGGTTGTGTGACGGATGTACTCATCACAGGACACCAGGTCACCAAACATCTGGAACAAAGTTATGTTCCGTTAATTATTGTGTTTCCCTTAATACCCTCGGAGAGCGGAAGGTCGCGGGTTCGATCCCCGACTGCGTCATACCAAAAGACGTTAAAATATGGTACTTGTTGGTCCCTGCCTGGCGCTCGGCATTATTGGGTACAACAAGGACTGGTCGGCTCGGAGTCAGTATAATGTGTCTGAGTGGGGTATTCATGCTTCACTGCGGCATGGTATCTCAGTGGGCTAGCACTATAAAACCAGCTTAAGTCTGGGCTAGTACAAGCAGCCGCTCACACACATCCACACGCATGCACGTCGTCATATGAGCGAAATATTCTCAAGCACGACGTTAAACCCAATTTCAACTCACCTTAATATCCTCAATCTTACCATTACTCCTGTATCAGTGAGTGAGTGTGTATGGTTTTACGTACGCCACTTTTTGCAGTATTCCTGCAATATCACGAAAGGGGTGGGGGTTTAGCACATTGTACACATGTGAGGAATCGAACCCGGGTCTTCACCGTCACGGCCGGACGATGTACCTTTTGGCTGTGTTAGTCTCAGCAAACAAGTAGTTGGCGGTATGGTGAACTACTGAGCTGTCAGGTCAGATGGCATTCTATAAGGAGGTCAATGGGACCCATCTTTAGTCGACTCACGAAGGGGCGGTGGGGTAGCCTAGTGGTTAAACCGTTCACTCGTCACGCGGAAGACTCAGGTTCGATTCCCCTTATGGGGACATTGTGTGAAGCCCATTTCTGGTGTCCCCCGCCGCGATATTGCTGGAATATTGCTAAAAGCAGCGTAAAATTCACTCACTCACTCATTCCTAATCCTGCATCAGAAGTAAATAAAAGTTGATATTTTCCTACCCTCAAAATGCAAATTTTAAGATATAAGAAAAACGTTCCCTGTTTCAACGGTCACCACTGAATGGCTGCCCTGTGTATTTCATGGAGAATGACGTTGTTCCATGAAGATAGATAAATCTACACTCTTGATAGCTACTTTATAGCTTCACGAAGATGACTTAATGGTTTCACAGAACGACAAAGCCTGAATCGATAATCAGATGATTGGTTGGTAACTGAAAATTAATTCTAACTTTGATGACACCGGTTGCTATGTCTACAAAAGGCGTGATTCTCACTTCTCTACTCACTCACCTTTGCAGCAGCAAACTGCATTGGCGCCGGTGCACAAGAATAGGTGTGACTCGCTTCGCCCTTGACAGCAGCCAAAGGGACGAGAGCTCAGGTGGGTAGATGTGATAGCCAATCTGTGGAATAAAAGAATACAAAAATTCTGTGTTTAATAGCATACAACTCATTCTGTCCCTTATATACTCATGCCAATAATGGTTGTCACCCCTTTCAATTTTTTTAATTGGAGAGGGGGTGGGGGGAGGAACAACCATTATTGGCATGAGTATATGATAATGACGTTGAATTGTGTTCCATTGCTTCAAATGGAATGTACCCTCTTAAATGCACAGATGCAACATTGATTGTGTGTTTTTGGTTTTTTATATATTTGTAAAATTGCGTTCAGCAATGTTCCAGCTAAAGAGCAGTCTGTAAATAATCGAAGTTGTAAATCCATACCATACGTTGTTATAAAATAAGGTTGATACAGAATATGATTTATAATATTGATTCATCAATACAGCTAAATGAATTAAAAATCGAAGTTGTAAATCCACACCATACGTTGCATATGAAATATGATCGATACATTGAATTCAAGAAATGATCGTTGCATATGAAATTCACATTTTTGTGTGTGCCTGAACACGAAGGTATTACTGCATTCAGGGCAGCTGCTTACTGTTTGGTAATATTGACTAAAACGTACAGGTATAAGTTGGCAAAGATGTTACAATCATAAATCGTCACATGATCACGAGATAATGTCTTTCAAACATTAACCGTATGTAAATCAAAATGCAACAGCGATTTTCGATCTGTAATTGTCACCGACTTCGGTTCCGTGTGTACGCGACACACTATTTATAGGCTCTCAGAAATGACAGTTGGTGACTTTGTCAGTTTTTCCAAAATCTAAATAAACAGTCGTACCCTCCAGCCCCCAGCACTGGCCCACTTGGACAGCCCACTACTGATGATGGTTCCCTCAGGGTAGTGCTGAAACACAAGACAAGAACGGGATGTGGTGAACAGGCATCGATATATGGTACAGTCAAGGGCAATATGTGATGAACAGGCGGTGATATATGGTACAATCAGGGGCAATATGTGATGAACAGGCGGTGATATATATGTGTACGGTGATATGGTCAGGGGCAATATGTGATGAACAGGCGGTGATATATAGTACAATCAGGGGCAATATGTGATGAACAGGCGGTGATATATAGTACAATCAGGGGCAATATGTGATGAACAGGCGGTGATATATGGTACAATCAGGGGCAATATGTGATGAACAGGCGGTGATATATGGTACAATCAGGGGCAATATGTGATCAACAGGCGGTGATATATAGTACAATCAGGGGCAATATGTGATGAACAGGCGGTGATATATGGTACAATCAGGGGCAATATGTGATCAACAGGCGGTGATATATGGTACAATCAGGGGCAATATGTGATCAACAGGCGGTGATATATAGTACAATCAGGCGCAATATGTGATCAACATGGTACAGGCGGTGATATATAGTACAATCAGGGGCAATATGTGATCAACAGGCGGTGATATATAGTACAATCAGGGGCAATATGTGATCAACAGGCGGTGATACATGGTACAATCAGGGGCAATATGTGATCAACAGGCGGTGATATATGGTACAATCAGGGGCAATATGTGATCAACAGGCGGTGATATATAGTACAATCAGGGGCAATATGTGATCAACAGGCGGTGATATATAGTACAATCAGGGGCAATATGTGATCAACAGGCGGTGATATATAGTACAATCAGGGGCAATATGTGATCAACAGGCGGTGATATATAGTACAATCAGTGGCAATATGTGATGAACAGGCGGTGATATATGGTACAATCAGGGGCAATATGTGATCAACAGGCGGTGATATATAGTACAATCAGGGGCAATATGTGATCAACAGGCGGTGATATATAGTACAATCAGGGGCAATATGTGATCAACAGGCGGTGATATATAGTACAATCAGGGGCAATATGTGATCAACAGGCGGTGATATATGGTACAATCAGGGGCAATATGTGATCAACAGGCGGTGATATATATGGGTACAATCAGGGGCAATATGTGATCAACAGGCGGTGATATATATATGGTACAATCAGGGGCAATATGTGATCAACAGGCGGTGATATATAGTACAATCAGGGGCAATATGTGATCAACAGGCGGTGATATATAATAGTACAATCAGGGGCAATATGTGATGAACAGGCGGTGATATATGGTACAATCAGGGGCAATATGTGATGAACAGGCGGTGATATATGGTGCAATCAGGGGCAATATGTGATCAACAGGCGGTGATATAATAGTACAATCAGGGGCAATATGTGATCAACAGGCGGTGATATATAGTACAATCAGGGGCAATATGTGATGAACAGGCGGTGATATATAGTACAATCAGGGGCAATAAGTGATCAACAGGCGGTGATAGGTAGTACAGTCAAGGGCAATATGTGATCAACAGGCGGTGATATATAGTACAATCAGGGGCAATATGTGATCAACAGGCGGTGATATATGGTACAATCAGGGGCAATATGTGATGAACAGGCGGTGATATATAGTACAATCAGGGGCAATATGTGATGAACAGGCGGTGATATATAGTACAATCAGGGGCAAATGTGATAAACACGCAGTTATATATCATATATTAGGCGCAATACATTTTCATCTCGGCTGTTTAGGGTTTGTAGCAGGGACATGTGCATATACCTGTGACAGATGTTGAAAACGCACTAGTTGCATATCGAAGTACACATCCTTAGAGGCAAGTGTTGTGATTACGATTATGTACCTTATGACAGGGTTTTTAGTCTGGTAGTGAGTGAGTGAGTGAGTTTGGTTTTACGCCGCTTTTGTTCCAGCAATATCACGGCGGGGACACCAGAAAAATATTTAACACAAATTCGAACCGGGCTTTTGGAACACGCTTTAACCACTAGACTACCCCGCCGCCCCTTTAGTCTGGTATGTTCAGAATAGGTAAAATATTGGAAAACGCTATGGAACAGTACGTAGCTCGTGTCAGTATAAACATCGTTCATAGCTAGCAACTTAGTCTGTCTCACAGTCCTTGAATGACATTACTTTCCCTACTGCCTAGCCCTCCCTGCAATACTAAAGCCCTAAATGCAGCAAGTCGCAGTCCAAATTTCGTCAGGTTCTGAATTTCCCATCTCACTGGGGCTCCTTTAGACTAATGCTTAGTCCCTGAATAATATATAATTTTTGATAGTAAGAAATACACGTACATCCATTTAAATTGAAAAGGAGACCCTGTGAGTTAGGAGATAACCTGGGGAAATCTAGACTTGCTTCATTTAGGGCTTTAGCATTGCAGGGAGTGCTAGGCATTAGGGTAAATAATGTGGTTCAGAGACTGTGCGACAGACTAGGGCTCCTTTTCAATTTAAATGGATTGATCTATTATTATCCAAAAATAATATATGATCAACGACTAAGCGTTAGTCTACGAGTAACTCAGATATACGGATTCCGCAGCAATGACACCCTGCTTAGACAACTTGGTGAATGTAAATACACCCACTGTCAAAGAGCTTCGTCACCTGACACCTGTTTGAGTAGCGACGGATTGTGGCATAACTATAACATCTATCGACTATGTAAACACTAAGGAGAATACCTCATTGAATAAAGGGGCATCATTTGGTTCCCCTTAACCTACTTGCGTGACCTCCCCATACAAGGCCACAGAGACGCTATTCTGACGTAGTTGGCTTTGTAGAGTTGCGTACCTAAAGTGAACCATTCTCTTCCCACAGAGGTTACTCCTGTCATATCTTCCTACGTAACCTCTGTTCTAATACGGCCCTTTCATGGTGTGAGCGTTCAAGACTCGTGATTGGAGGCAATCAGATTTAGTTGTGCAATCAGCGACGTTGTTTCAAAAGTGATCATTCGCAAGGCCTCGGTAATTTCCGTATGCTTCGAGAAAACTAAACTTCTTCCCCTGCGCGATGCGCAAACGTTTCTTCTAGACAGAACTCAGTCATGTTATGGCGGATCAGTGGCGTCTCCATCGCCCTCGTTGACAACGGACAAGCTAGCCATTAAACGTCTTGTGTGTAACATCAACACAAGTCGCCGGCAGATGGGGGATATTTGTGCCCCCCCCCCTTTGCTTGTGTTAGTCAAGTTGAATCTAAGTCGATGTAACACGTGTTCTGATTGGATAGAAAGAAGGGAGATAATTCGTGTTGCGATCTTTTGCCGCTAGGGGATTTTTCGAGAACCCGGAAATATGGCCGTATTAGAACAGAGGTTCGTAGGAAGATATGACAAGTAACCTCTGTGGGGAGAGAATGAAAGTGAACCAGAAACCCAAGAACGCGGAGTCGAATTTCACATCGGCCCAGATTACGTACGTTTCTTGGCGTGTCAGGGGAACACCTGTGCTCGTGGGTTCACTAAACTGGTACACGCCTAAACCTTTGGACTTTCTTTCGGCATCAAGTATACAGTTCAAAGCGGTTTTAAATGAAACTCCAAGGTTACAATTCCGTTCTTACACAGAGCTGAATTTGTCTTGATACTAAACACCATTCGTTAAAATGTATTGTGTCAAAGCTTCAGGACGAAGAAGGAAACGGTCCACCATATTATGTCAATAGATCGTTGTTGTGGCCCTTATAACACTAGTATATAATACCTGTGTATTAAACACATTTCTTTCTATCAGACATCTGTAGAGTGCACACAATTACTTGCATGACAATGCAAATCAGAAAAGAACAAGGGGTATTGTGGGTTCATCATTAGTGGAACATGAGGCACGTATTCCTCTCACCAACCGGCTCTTTTGATGGAATTAATACACATACCAGTGTTAAGAATTATTCATGCGTGTATACAGGCACAGGGGCTTGTAACGCTAGAAACTGCCATTAGGGTATGTACTAGTGGTGTTCTGATTAATTTAAATAATCGAAGATTGGTCGCAGTGACCAAACGACCAAGCAATCGATCACATTTTCTCATGATCGAACATAAACGATTTTGGAACTACTGTTTTAATCTTTGAAATACTTGACAATGGAACATATCGTTGAAGTTGTCAGGGCCTGAAAACGTGTTTAATTCCTAGAAAACTCACTTCACTAACTGAAAAACCATGACTGAATATTTCTTGAAGACTCCGGGAAGTTTATGTTCATGATATATTAGTCATCATGTTATACATATCTGCAATAACAACCTGGATAGGAAAATCTGAAAAATGACGCTAACAAATTTTTGTCGATGATTGTTCGTTGGTAATGAAGCAATCATCAATTGTGAGATTTCAACCAATTCCCAACACTAGTATGTACGGTCACTATAAACTAGGATAGTGCTTGGCACGTTAGTGACAAAAAGGATAGTGTTACAAGACCCTGTGTATACAGGAAACTATGTTTTAAAATACAGGCCCTAATGAACTGACGAATTCACGAAGCGTTACAAGCCCCTGTGTATCAGTCGAAATGGTATAAAACTATGTTTTAACAATATCAGGCGTTAAAACGAACTGACGAATATCACGAACTGCTTTTGGGCCCCTGCCACTTGCCGTGTATATCAGTCGAAATGCGTATAACGAACTTCTGTTATAACGAACTAACATTAGTGGTCTCGTTGCGTTCGTTATAACCGTACATTTCTATAATATGTTTATACCTACTGAAAAGAATGTCACATAAAGTACGTACCTTCGCAAGTGTCACATGACTTTGAGTGTAGTGAAGTCTCGCATAGATCTCGTCACTCAGAACAATCACGTTGTTCTTTCGGAAAGCCTTACTGTAATAAAACAGTCGCTGTCAGACAAGCACTTCAGCGCCGTACATATAAGAGTGAGTGAGTGAATATGGTTTTACGCCAATTTTAGCAGTATTCCAGCAGTATTACAGCAGGGGACACCCAAAATGGGCTTCACACATTGTACCTATGTGGGGAATGGAACCGGGTCTTCGGCGTGACGAGCGAACGCTTTAACCACCGCCCTCTACATATAAGAGGTCCATTTACATGAACTAGCAGCAAGATCATACGTCAGCACCTGTACACACTAATCTGAGGCATTAACTATAAACGTAGACTTCTCGAAAACAACAAACAAACCAACAAGTGATTTACGCACATCATCACTAATGACTGTGCGTCAAACTGCCTCCATGGTGTAGTGGTTAGCGCGTGTGCCTGGTGAGTAGATGGTCAAGGTTCGAACCAGCAGCTGCGTCATACCAAACAATGTTGTATAAATGTTGTGTTTGTGGTTACTTTTCCTTGTACGATAACAGGATAAAACAAGAACTGTGTCTAAGGGGGATTCTTGCAAAACTGCGGCGCGATATTTCCAGGGCTACAGATAAGGGCCGTATCGGTGTATGTACGGATAAAAAATATACACGATACGGTAGGAAATAATTCAGAAAACGTAGCAGATACGCACCACAGCAATTGTGTACGGTCTTAGAATCATTTACAGACATATTTATCTGAAAAGTATTGTTTAATTGTTTATTGACCGTTTACACCAGAGTAGCAATGCTGCCATGCATATATGAAACGAAGCACAAGTTTAATGATACACCATTAAATTCCATTCAGTACTCTAAATGTACTCTTATTGTTTTCCAGTACTCATATATTGAAAAAATAAGGAGTACGCACTCCTGTTGATGTAGAAAAATTATCTGGAGCCCTGTATTTCAATAATTGTTTGTTTTTCCTCACATCACCTGCTGCACCTTACGCAATTGTATTGTACATAAACACACAAGTGGTAAGCGCTGTCCAGGACAGCATTCCATTCCTACTAAAAATCTATCAACTTATCTATTTAAAAAATTGCAACCAGCGTGATCTTGGCCTTTATTCACCAGCAGCAAATGGGTAACCTATGGGATAAGGCATATGACTATACCCTTCAAGCGCTGAACAGGCAGCTTGGGTTATCGGGGAAATACCGGGAAGCCTCGTATTTACGCCCTGGGCTCAATTTCGAATTTGACCCATTTCATCTAAGAAACATTTTTTTCTGAATTTAAGCCCTGGGCTTAAATTCGAGAGGAGGTAAAATACAACAAAGCGTTGTTCCTTTTAACTTTTAATGGAACGAATCTTATTCCATGAACAAATTCAACCATCTTTTCAATATAACTATTATAATTTGAGAGAACTCTTTTAAAATTCAAACTGTTGCATTGAAATAAAGGCTTCGGTCATTCGTCCGCCTTCGGAAACAAAGAGTTCAATATTTTTGGGGACTTTGCATTTTGGAATATTCACAAAATTCTTTAAGATCACCATAACTTTGAGAATGTGACCATCCATGCAAATGCCCAAGACCACGGTAAATCTGTTCTTATCGTGTCCAGTAGTGAGCCCATCTCAGTAGTGAGATCACACTAAAAGTAATTTCAAATTTAAGGCCATGGGCTTAAATTCGAAAATCAAAGCTTAAATACGAGGATTCCCGGTAATGCCCTTTGCGTTTAGAACATGCCCGTACGGCGTAGAGTTCTGCGCTATATAAATGGCCTTATTATTAATATTCTTTTCGTGGTCATACATTCACCTTTGGACACAAATACGCTCGCCTCTGAAGACTCTAAGACTATACCATTCTCTAAACCTACTAATTAGATAGATTACCTCAGTGCAACCAACTGGGCATCCCCGTAGCTGGTTCCGGCTGAAAGAACAGGCTGTTGTAATACAAACAGGACGTGCGCGACGCCATGGTGACGGTTCATACTTACACACGTATTTACTATGCGTAAACAGTTATATGCAGATACGTATATTATGGGAGAAAATGATAGATGTCAGCTTCTGTATTATAAAGAACACAAGGCGTAAGCATATACTTCGAAACGCTGTGTTGTCTGATGAAGGAGTAAACACATATTCGGAAACCTAATCCTAAAATGATGAATGATTGAGCATTAGACTAACATGTAGTCTTTGAAATAAACATATTGTACAGAAACAACGGCTCCTAAATTAGATTGATATATTATGGTAAATTAATTCAATCCTGCCACAATTCTAAACTTGCATGGGATGTAGTGGGCACATTGTGTCAGGGTCTGTATGAGTGCGCATAAAACATTATTCTGAAACATTGTCAACGGAAGTGAGCTTAAACCTTGTGTTCTGTAACACAGAAGCTGACATTTGTAAATTCTCTCCCTTATGTAAATCACTTGATTTTAAAATTAGTTTTATACATGCATAACGCATTCATGATATATGCTTATTGTTAGGACATTGAAGATTAGGGAAGAGTTTTTTCACAAAGTATATTTTCAGTTGACACTTTCAGGGAATTGTTATGTTACGAATTTATCTTGTATGCATACATCTATTGTTGTGCCTGATCCGTCATTGCTACATTGCTATCAAGGTAACTCATCAACCCGCCAACTGGCCATTCAAAATAGTTCACTTACTGGGATTATCTGGATTGTTCAGAATCAGAAGCTTGTTTCCGGTCACATGGTTTGACTCGAGTGCCTATCAGAAAAAAAAGATTATTATAACGATGTTATGCCATTGGCTAACAGGTTCTACTACACTTTAATGATCTTGAACATCCATGCTTTTGTACTAATGAAAAGGAATTTTTAAATTCATAATATGGGTATGAATAACCGTAAATAATGGTAGTCTTATAAGTTGACACACCATCGATGAATCCGGATTTGTGCTGCATTTTGGACATTGCTCTAGCAACATCTCAATGGCATCCCAGAAACCCAACAATGTGTCCTTGAGCCAAAGAATCCATCATACAAATTGGAAAGATACAAATTCTGCAATCGACCGGAAAAACCACGGCTTTGGTCATGCTGTTCTGAACTGGGCGCCTGTAGAGATACTTGGCAAGCCAACATTGAAAACCATAATTCCAGCCAGTTCGGAAATGACTTTTATGGTCAGTATACTCCTCTGCTTCGGGAAGTTACAAAACAAGTGGCGTGAATATGGTTTTACGCCGCTTTTAGCAGTATCCCAGCAACATCACGGCGAGGGACACCAGACATAGGCGTCACATATTGTACCCATGTGTGGAATCGAACCCGGGTCTTCAGCGTGACGTGCGAACGCTTTAAACACCAGGGCCCTTATTCTCGAAACGTTCGTAGCCCTAAGAATTCTTAACTTTGATCGTAGCCAATGTGTTAAGAATGGGCTTAAGAAGTTCGTAGGGCTACGAACGTTTCGAGAATAGCTAGCCAGGCTACCCCAGCGCCCTGACGTCTCAAAGAACGTAAGGTCCGCAATTTCGGCGACTATTTTTCAGTGGATACATACTTTTGCTCGGTAATGTATTTCTCGTGGCAGCACCATGCCGAGATATACTGTAGGATATACGGTGGAATCTTAAACTAACCTGCTCCAGCAACTCAGGTGTTAGTTGCCAGTTGTTGTCAAATGAGGTGGGTATTATAACCGGTTTCTTCCCTGCCAAGACCGCCTGAGGTTCATAAGTCGGCCACGATGGTGCCAACAGCAACACCGCTGTCCGCAGACAAAGTCATATATATCAGACAACTTCTGTAAACATAATCTGCTGTACAATATTATTTTCGGCGAATTTTAAACTGGGCAAACATAGGTACCTTAAAAGGTTCCTATAATATCAAAACAGATTATAATTTTGAAACCCGCCTGTGAAGACTCCAGTTCCTATGGTTGTCTGGCCAGGGTTGTACACGATTGAGCAGGCCCCATTACCCATGCTTATCTCTCCATGGCACCACTTGACAACTCCGTCGACGGAACCAGCCCCAATGTACCAATGCCTGTCTCGCCAAGAGATTGTTCGGAAGAACAAACCCCAACATTCCCGGCACGTCGTCACTTTCTAAAGCTGAATATACCTCTTGAACCTCTTATTGGTTGAGAGTAGGTTACGCCGCTTTTACCAATATTCCAGAAATAACTCAGCGGGGAACATCAGAAAATGGGCTTCACACACTGTACCTATGTGGGGAATCGAACCCGGCTTCACGAACGAACGCTTTAACATTAGGCTACCCCACCGCCCTTTGAGAGACAGAAACCCTACTGCGTGCATTGTACTCACTCCCATTGAAGATGTTCAGGAGAAGGTAGATGAGCTCCTTACTGCCAGGGCCAGCAATTACGTTGTTAGGGTCGAGGCTATCCAGAGAGTCATATCTTGCATGGAAGTTACAGATTCCCTGTCGTAATTCCGGTAAACCTGGCAAAAAAGAATAGAAGAAAATGCAACAAAATCATTTGCATCAACGATACGCAAAGGCTATGTCTTAGTATTTATTCAGCGCAGAACCATTTCCGAAATTGGGCGTTGGCCCGTGCTGGTATCTGCCGAGACATTGCCACGCGTGTGTCTTAATATCAACGAAGCAAAGTCTCACTAAGCCAAGCACTCACATACTTTGGTGCAGTGATAATTGTCATCTTGGGTTACAAGGGTCGATCAAAAAGTACGTAGCCTAACTATAATCTCGATGTCCAATGCTTGGAAAGCTTCCATTTTATTTTGAAGGAATCGCTAGCAAAGCCATATCCAAAATTTCACATGTGTGGGTAATGTGGTTAACCAGATATTTGTCATCACAACACATTGGGGTATAATAGTTCTAACAAAATTGCAGAAAATGAAAACGAATTGTCTTTTGGTACCTCTTGGATAATGGTATGCCCTCAGGTAATGTCATATCAAATATGTTCTGTAAGTATCGGATGACTTCCCGTCATGATCAACAGTCAAAGATTTGGATTGCCTGATTTATAATATAGTCGGGGACTATTTTTTAAGGACACCCCCATTTTAATCTTTCTAAAACATTGTGTCCAGATATTCAAGCTGGCACTGTTTACAATATATTGTGAGCTGACACTTGTGTGAGCATTCAGTATTGGCGTAGAATCTGGTTCAGTGATGAATCACGATTTCTATTGGAACGACGCGATGGAAGAATGCGGGTGTACAGACGACTTGTAAACGACTTGTCTTTTGGTACCTCTTGGATAATGGTATGCCCTCAGGTAATGTCATATCATATATGTTCAGTAAGTATCGGATGACTTGTAGGTATACCTGTAGGTATGATATCCCAAGAAGCCATCTATAAAAGCATCACTTGAATCCATACTCCAGTTTGCATATCAAAGCTTACAAGAAAGGCTGTTCAGCTGCCTCAATAACAACCCTCAGGTTAAAATATCATTATTCATAATACTCAACATCAATTCATTGTTCAAGTATAATCCATCGTTTATAAATGTACTTTCAATGAACATTCATTTTTTTCCAAGTCAGAAATGAATTTCATGCATATCAAATATAAAATTCTTATGACAAGCATGGGTTACTGAAGACCAATTCTATCCCGGATCTTCACGGGTGGTAATGACAGATTGAAGATCGAGGATAATCAGCAAAACCATCTGACATCAAGGGACATAACTCTCTCCAAGAAACAGCAATGTTTTGTGACCGGCCACCTGTGCCCTCTATGAATTAATGGAGATGGTTGTGTTCAATGTTCAGCAGCCTGACCTCAGTACAGCGACATCTCATTCCTTACTGAAGACATAATACTGTTTCGCACACGGCAATCAAGCCCTTTTCACACAGAAAGGTGCCTTGCTTATTTGAATTTCATCACCTCTGTGCCGAGAAATGCTCCTGCCTTAATGTACACAGGCGAGGATTGTGTGATGGGTCCAAATACATGTAGTATTGCTTTCCCCTGCACTGTACCTGCCCTTATTCTTGCACAAATCTTAATTAAAACATACCATATTTGGGGTTATGTATTCACAGGTCACATTTAAAAAACTTGAAATCAGATTTTGCATGTTTCTTAATACTTTACTCCTAAAAACAGAATATATTTGTTCCTACGACTATTGTTTATTTGTCATGTCATAAGAAAAGAGATTAACTGTAGTTATATGAAAGAATCAGGTTTTCTTTTGAATGGAATAAAACACTGAGAAACAAGGATTTGGATTGCCTGATTAATATATAGTCGGGGGCTATGTTTTAAGGACACCCTCATTTTAATCTTTGAAAAACATTGTGTCCAGATATTCAAGCTGGCACTGTTTACAATATATTGTGAGCTGACACTTGTGTGAGCATTCAGTATTTTGTTTGAACCCTTGGCATCATGTATGCATAAGTGAAAACATTAGAATAAGCTATGCCCTTATGATTACGTCATCTGAAAGGGGGATGGGTAGTGTCTCCAAAAGAAGCTCTTTCAGTCAACATGAAGGGGGCAGTCACTTTAACAAGCGATTGTAATTTCAAACTGCTTTTTTATGAACTTTAATATCTAAGTGTGATTCTAGGGGACTTCTATCAATCTCAAACACACAAAATATTTCTTTGCATATTTTGTTTCCTGAAGTTTTTCATGCATTTATTGTAGATTTTGCGTTTTTTGAGGGTACCAAGATAAAAGGTCAAACAAAATGGGGATCGTGAGACTGGAACATAGCGAAAGATTGTTGCTTGAGCTTGACAGATTATGAAGAAAAATTAAACATACAAATAACTGCAGTTGTGTCGTTTTCTTGGTGATTCTACATACTTTTTGATCGCCCCTCCTATCTCGTCAACATTCGTATAACTAAGCTAAGCATGCGGCCTGTTAAATGGGTGTAACTTCAGTTGATTCAACCCGCATAGTATTCGTCAAGAAGATTAGAGGATGGCACTGGTTATTTTGCTTTTGGGCTAATAATACATAGTTAATTGAAAACAGTAGCGCGGATGGGAGCAGTAACAGGTGGTAGGGCGGTAGTAGCAACTTCAACGAAGGCAGAAGATGTAACATTAACGAGGGAAGTAGACGCAACAACCGATGACAGTAGACGCAACACAAACGAGGGCGGTAGAACCAACATTAACGATTAACCAGAAACAACAAGCGACAACAGGCTGAAGCAAGGACAGGGCTGACTAATAGAAAACAATGAGTTCCTAATTTATTGTCCCAAATTACCTCCAGATATACCTGATATAATTTGGCGGAAGTGTGATTCATGATTCATGAACAAATGTACATCTGTTGCACAGAACTACGCGGCATGCGGTGACAACGCCTATTATTACCGAACTAACTGATGTTGGAAGAAAATGCATATTTAGCCAAGTTCAAATAACAAACTTGTGTATGCAGTTGTGAAGTAGTGGGTGGTAAATGTTCAGGGTATTCAGCATATACACTGCATATGGTACAGATAAGTAATAAATCGGGCATACATCTCTTTAAACGTGCTCCAGATGAATTTGTTCAGTTTGGCTTGAATCATGTCTTCGTTTAAACCTCTTTTCATGTACAGCTGTCGTTTTTCATCCAAAAAGTCTTTATTCAGCTCACGTGAACGTGAATACATTTGTCTTATACCTTGCTCTTCGAGATCAGCCATCTTTTTTTTTCCTGTTGTTTTGTGTGACATCACTTAATGATTCATCATCATCATCATTTTCCATTTCAGGACATTGTTTATCGTGTAAATGTCTTTGTAAGTTGTGGTTATTGCTAAACACTTGACCACAATAGTCACAATCTGACAGTGGACGTGGTGCCTTCACAGGAGAGAAGTTGTCGTCTTCCTCCCACTTCCTTTTAACTTGGGGTATTCCAGATGGACCCACTGAAGACTTTACGGGACACCAGTTTCTTCTGTGTTTTTGCAAATCATGCACGTCTTGAAACATGAGTCCACAGTCATCACAAGATTGCATGGTTGGGAGGTTTTCTTCACACGTCTGCTCACGCTGAAAGTCTAACTCGGACGGAATTGTCCTAGCTTGGAGGTCTCCTTTTAAACTGAATGCATTGGGACAAAGTCGTAAATTGGGAGGTGTTTGGGGTTTTAGATCAACCAACAAGTAGCCATATGGTTTCTGGATAGCCCTTTGAAACGGCTCCATGAAATGGTCTGTGTTACCTGCCTCGCCAATGTCATGATGGGTTGTTGATCGATAGGGTTGTTGAACAGAAGCAGATAATGGCAGTTTCTTCGTTGTGTGGGATCCTTACTGAAATACAAATTTTGGTTCAAGGCTATCACTGAGAGATTACGATGATGACTTCCTTCCGTAAAAAGATCTGTAATGCGTGGATCTTTGCTCGTGTAGACATTAAGTCGTCGAGGATAACCACATTCACCACATGGGGGTCCAGAAACGCATCCTTTTCCAGGTCAGAAGGAATGCCTGGATGAAATTCCACATAGGGATAAACATGGGTTTGAATGGTGTTATACAAGGGCTGCCATCGTTTGTAGAGCCATATAGTACGTTCAGGATAAGGTTTAATGGTTATCCTTTCTAGAAGCTGTTTCACTAAGTAGGTTTGCCCGGAGACGATCATGGTGAAAGGGTGTATTAGTCTAGATTCTTCCAAAACACCCACATGTGGCTGTACGGGTTGCTGCTGTTGCTTTTGTTGCTGCTGCTGGTAGTGGTGGTGCTTTTGTTGCTCATTTTGCTGCTGCTGCTGCTTGATATCTTCTCCTGAATGTTTTGTTCGAATATGACGGGACAAGTCATGAGCCCAAACATATTGTTTGGAGCATACGGGACATGGATGCATAATGATGTTCACACATCGACACTACAAATGACACATTTAGCCTTTTGTCTCTATCTAAAAATCTTTTTTCATTCGCTTTGTTGACTCTGCTTTCATTGTGTTTTCCCTATTGATGACACTTTTTCTTTCTCGCTTCAACTTGGCTTTAGCCTGTTGAACGATTTGTTGGTCGGGAGACGTGAGAGCATAAGGTGTCTGTAGAAGGGGTAGGTCCATTTTGACGCCTTGCTTCTCATAATAGATCACATAATCATCAACGTTAGTAAAGGCCTTTAGCCTGCAAATAGTAATATTTGGTCCATTTCTTAGGGTCGTCCAGATAGGGTCTCCAGTATCTTCTGTTCATTTTCTTGTTCCAGTTGAATACTGACTCTCACACAGAGGTTTCAGATGAAGTGTCACTATCACTGGTCCACGACTAAATGAAACTAAATCACCGTTCTGTCCTTCATATAGATATCCACAGTCTGTACATTTTTTCAGTTTGAAGGGTACATAGACATCTCTTAAGGAGGAGGGCCACGTTAACTATAAGTGACACATAATGCAGACACATATCTATACACTAGCATATCATTTAACCTTGGGTTGAAAGTAAAACGATCAAGAATATCATTCA